TTTCCACTCACGAGGGCAAGTGGTTTCCACTCCCAAACATGTCAGGCACAGTGGGTCATCCGGCTGGTCACAAATAGTAATGCAGACCATTCGGGATGGGCTACGCAGATTGAAGCCCTTGACTAATTCACATGCTGACATGTTATTCACTGACTTGATATGGCCTAGACTCAATTCCACCACTCGACACACTGAGGTCAGGGCCACGGCCAATTGCCTACCGAGAGGCATCTCGCGGTCGAAGAAGGCGGATCATGTCAGCGATCATACCGCGTTGCAAACTGCAGACCACACGGCAAGACGTGACTGTTTTGTTTATTTAACCTGCGCAATGCATTGGCTCTGCACTCACTTCACAGGGTCTGCGGACTCCGCACCCTTTCGTAGACAGAGCACTCTTGGTCAGGGAAGCTTCTCAAGACTCATAATGTCGGAGGCACCATGTACACCATGCGTGACCTGTGGATGGCGCCCCTGCAGATGCACATCGTTGGAGGAAGCCCTGCACAGCATGCTACCTGGCGAACACCACGAAAGGCAGACATCTGGAGGTTCTGGCGACTCCTCTGCCAGCATGATGTGCATTTACTGTCTTGAGCAGCCGTGCGTCTGCATGCAAACAGCTGCAGTTCCGATTGTCGTGCCGAAGTCTACTCGCACGGAGGGCGAAGATGACACAGCACACTTCCTGGAAGAGCCCATAGAAGTGGTGAATGCACAGGAAAGTGAAAGGGAAGGCGGACTCCGCACCCAAGATCACCAACCAGTGGAACATGATGCTTCTACAAAAAAGGTAAACACTACGTGGCTTCGCTTCCTTGACGTTGCACAGAATGATCAAGAAGCATCCCTCCTACGAGCTCTTCCTGAACCATCACTGGAGGTAAGTGACCTTGCGCGAGCGAGCTTCTTCCTTGAGCAGATACGCCAGCTCCCGGACCCCTTGAAATCAAGGCTTGTGAATAAGATAGAGGAGCAGCATTCGGATCTCCTACGAGAACCTCGGGGTGTAGATCTGGTCGCACGCTTTGAGGCGCAGCGATTGGAGACGGCGACCATCGGGACAACGGCAGGACCCGAGATGCCGACACCGACAACACCAGTGACAGGACCGGAGGGGAATGCGGCCTCCGCTCCTTTCACCACAGAAACAACAGACCTCGACGAGTTCTTAGCAGGCTTTGCTGGCACTTCTGAGACTGAAGACAATAGTGCAATTCTGCAAGACATGGGCAGGCCATTTGCAGACAGTGGAGCGGCCTCTGGACAAATGGCGTCCACGCCGGATGTACAAAGTGAGGAATCTGAAGGAGATGGGCCAAGGTGCTCCAACCGGCCGCCCACTCGAGCATATGAGAGTGCATGCGAGTGTACAGTCCTGATGTGCACAGCATACAAGAGTGCTAGGGCATGCAACACGGGTGCTTACCGGGCTGCACGACATTCTGCGCAGGCCACCCACTCGCAACACGAGAAGCGCGTTGCAACTGGGAAGGTGGACTCCACACCCAGCCGGACACTCAAACGCGGAGAGAGTCACCCAGTTTATGCGATTCATAGCAAACCCCATGCATGCGCCGACCGCCATCAGATCGATGCTGTGAATAGACAAGAACTAATATCTGATTTCAATAGAGCATACGTGAGTGCCTCTAAGATCGGATTGTTCACAAAAGATCACAGCTGTGCGTGTGATTGTGCTGCAACGATCTGGTATGCAATTAAAAAATACACAACCCCACAGCCCATCCGAATACACGCACGACCTCCACCTGCCCAGGCTGACAAATCCACGAGACGGCGCAACGATCCCATCGATACTGGGAACGTGGTCTCCACACCCAGCAGGGCACTCAATTGCCTTGCGAAGCTGCTGGTTTGCATCCTTACGTACACACATGCAGAACATGAGATCAGCCACCGAATCGGAGCACACTTTGGCTCATACCCATCCCTCCCCCCCACCATAAGACTGGCCCTGACGGAACCACAAGCTCCTCGCCTTCCACTTCTTACACCTGACCTCGGCCTCCGTACTTGCACTGAAGATTATGTGCAGGAAACTGAACTTGAGATAGGTCAGGACACCCACAGCGTCACCATGAACCCTGATCACCTATCTACAGGGTTTCAGGGACCAGCACCGGGGATACTGGTTTTAACTCCTGCCAATGTGCCTGCTTGCAACATGGGACCCAGTCCGAGTTCAAAGAAGAAGTCATCTCGGCGTTTACCCACAAGACTACGCCAGTCGGGCGCTGAGCCCACAGGCAAACTACTTGCCCTCAGACAGGCCGCTGTGGCAAAGGCGCAGAAGAGGCAAAGGAGTACAGCGGACTCCGCACTCCACGAAGTTACGCAACAAGACGAACCTGGAGAAGAGCCATCAAGTAGTAGCCGAGTGCGCTTCCACCCGAAGAGACGTAAGAAGGCCAGCTCGGAAGACATGGTGGAGATGGACTACATCATAGAACTCTCTGAACCAGAAGAGGACACGGAGCAGGACACGGTGCCCATACCGGCGCACAATCGCAACCTGACAGCGGTCTCCGCTCAGGCAGCAAGAAGCCGTCGACACCGAGAAGATCTGCCAAAGCCCGCCTCGGGCGAACGCCCAACCGCGAGCAAGCGGGGGGAACCACCTAGACCACCGCTGGCGCGACGAAGAAAGACGGCCATATCAAAAGCACTCACGGACGTCCTGAGACACTCTGGAGCAAGGCAAGGATTGGAGGTGAGAGCAGATGCACTCTTTGACCTCCGTGCCGTTCTGGACACGCACAAGCTTAAAGCGCTACATGCACAGGAACACGAAATCCTGCAAGTGGTCGAGGAGAGCGACAAGAAGAGATTTGAAGTGATCCAGCGGGAAGGGGCAAAGTGGATCAGAGCGGCACAGGGCCACTCCATGGAAGGCATAGACAACTCCACCTTCTTTCAAGTGCGGGTGCCCAGACGCCTGCTGCCACAGGAGCTGTATCACGGCACATATGATGATGCCTACAGCCAGATAGTCCAAAGTGGACTGTTGGCGGGTGGTCCGAGCCGCAAGCGAAATGACATACACCTCACGGAGGGGCTGCCGACTGATCGTCCTATCTCAGGAATGAGAAATACATGCAACATTGCACTCGCGATCCTACCGAAGGAGGCTGCGGCAGAGGGGTGCACGTTCTACAAGAGTGGCAACCAGGTCTATCTCACAAAGGGTATCGGCACACAAAAGGTCCTCCCAGCTCGTTTCATCCACGCCGTGATTATCCTGAAGAGCGGAGAGAGAATCTTGCCAAGAACCGCAGATGGGCCACCGAGCCTCAGGGATGTGCACGCGGGTCTATTGAGGGCCAACGAAGGCATGCGGGCTCCGCGCCGGAAAACCAAAGCAAGAGCTCTTTGCGCAGGGCATGTCAGTAGGCATTCCTATAAGCTTGGATACATGATGCGCAGCCAAGCCACACTGCATACCCTACGCTCTAAACATGACTACTATGCATGTATGCTTTCCGCTGCCCAGGCCAACCGAGCAAAGATCAATGCCGGGAGCCTGATTCCAGGGCGCACTGCAACTGAGCCACGCTGCATCCCAGTGCACGGCGTTCATCTAAGCAAGTGGATGAGCCCGGCTAAGCTCTTATGCAAGGCCGCAATGCCTGAGACCACGGCCAGTCTCCTCCTCTCGATGGTCGGGATCTCTGTCAGGGTCAGACGCAGTGCATGCCAGGAGAAATTGATGCATATACATAGAGCTAACATTCCTGAAGGACCGCAGGACATAACATTGATCAAGCAAATGCAGTACCTGAGTCGCCGCCACTGCTGTATCATACAAACCATGATACCTTCTCCTGAGACTGCCCTTATCAGCCAGAGACAATCCACTTACCCCTACCGGCCCCACCCGACACATGAATGGACCTTACTTATAAATACCTCGATCCGAACTGCAATGCCGTCACCAAGCTCGCAGAAAAGATCAGCACGACGACTCCCAAGCCGGCTCCGAGAGACAGGTGCGGAACCTACGGGACACCTACTAACCTTGCGTGAGGAAGCAGTAGAACGAGCCAGAAATCGACAAGTACAACAACAGGACGGAGGAGACGAACGTGACTGGTGGCATACCTGGAGTTGGTGGTCTCCACACTCTCAGGAATGGCTATGGCAGACCTCGGAGTTGCGGTGCAACGAGGAGATCAAGAGCAAGTGGAGGTTCCGCCTGCTTTTTGAGGGTTGTGAGTATTGGCTCAGGTACCAAGCCGACCACGGGTGAAGTGTGGAGACCACCAGCTTCACCAGAGTTAGAAGGGCTTGCCCCCTCTATGAGGTCGATGGGGAGTGTTCCTCCACTCCCATCTTTTCCATGAGGTCCATGTCTCTCCTCCCTCTTGTTCATTGTCTGCTGCTTGTCCAGCCCTGTGTTTTCCTCCTCAACTGTCACGGCTGTGGATACGTTGCGGTCGAGTATCGCCAGTGTCAAGACGGGGTGCGAGGACCGCATGTCCTGTGTAGACGCTGCTCCTATCCATGGTTCGAGAAGCTCCGCGAGCGAGTCAAGCGACTGCCTCCAGCACAGGCGGTAGTAGATGGCGTGCGGGATTCCTTGCATCAGGTCGTGGAGGGACTTTGCAGCCTCCCCATAGGTTGCCAGCAGGGCAAGGTTCCCCGCCGTCTGGCTCTGGTATAACGTGTACAGGTATCCCTCTACCGCGTCGCCCAGCTTTCCCGCGTGGCTACGCCTCCAGACGTTGGGGTGGCTTTCCGGCCTTGTCATCAATGCTGCAGTAAGCGACCATATCCAGTTCCCACACGCGGGCATGTTCACCGGGTTGGCGTGGTACGTTGCATGGTGCCGCCTGAAGTAGCCGTTGAGGAAGGTATGGAGGTCGTCTCCATGCGGAATCAGCTTGAGCACTGCCGATTTCGCGTCCCGAAGTAGACGGTGCTTGACTTCTCTCACCTCTAGTGGCGCTTGTACCAGGAGTAGATGGGGCCGTGGCTCAATGGTACTGGCCCTCCGAGCTGCAGACGATCGTGTTCTTTCCTCGGGCCGAGGCTCTATGGTGCTGGATCTCCTAGCAGCAGATGACCGTTGTCTGGTCTCCTGCTCATCGGAACATCGGCTCGAGGCAGCTGGAGCCTTCATCGGCCCTATATCGGGAGAATCATGATCAAGTGGAGGTTCTTCAATCTTCTGGATTGTAGTGAGTGTCAGCCCGGATGTTGAACTGCTCGCAGGTGAGGTGTGGAGACCACTAACCTTACCGGAGGCAGGGTAGTGCACCCCCCCAACAGGAGCATTGGAGGAGGCACTGTCACTCCCAGTCTGGAAAGAAGGGCTTGGGTGCTCAGCCTCCTGGTTCGTCGTCTCCCGTAGATCCAGCCTGGAGGTCTCACTCGTCGTTGACGTGGGTGTGGACCGCTTGGCTTCTTTCCTTCTCGAACTTGCCGCAACGCCGGTAGCCAGCTCTTTGAGGAGTCCCTCCATGGACTGTGTTCGTCTTGTTTCGGCCTGCGTATTCATGACGTTCACCCCCCATCCCTGTGCGTCTCCATCTGTTGCCCCGGTACAGATGCCAGCTGCTTCGAGCCAGGGCCTTGGCGAGCAAGAGGCCAATCAGCGATCGACTGCAGCTAGGAGGTCCAATACAAATGAACCACGACCAGAGGAAAGACAACGATCGTCTGCTGCACGGCGGGCTAGTACAGTGGAACCACGGCCCCATCTACTCCTAGCACAAGCACCAGAGGAGGTACGACGCGCTAAGCAGCGCCTACTTCAGGAAGCGAAATCTGCAGTGGTCAAGCTAATTCCGCATGGAGACGATCTCCACAACTTCCTCCACGGCTACTTCAGGCAGCATCATGCGACGTATCACACCAGCCCGATGAACATGCCCTCCTGCGGAAACTGGATTTGGTCGCTCACAGCGGCTTTGATGACAAGGCCGGAGAGCCACCCCAACGTCTGGACACGCAGGCAGGCGGGCAAGCTGGGTGACGCGGTTGAGGGCTATCTCTACACGTTGTACCAGAAACAGACGGTGGAGAGTCTTGCCCTGCTGGCCATTTACGGGGAGGCAGCGAGGCACCTCCATGACCTAATGCAAGGAATCCCACATGCTATTTACTACCGCCTAAGCTGGCGGCAGTCGCTCGACACGCTCGAAGAGCTCCTCGAGCCGTGGATAGGAGTGTCAGATGCACAGGACAAGCGGTCTCCGCGTCCTGCAGTGCCACTGTCAATTCTCGACAGCAAGAAAGGGCCATGCAATCAGCTTGCGACACAAACTGCTGCCTGTACACATGTCACATCAAATGTGCGCAGTTGTCTTGGTAGACGAGGTCGCAAATGGCGACTTCGACCGACCGTCAGACGCAGACACCTACGAGGCAGGAGGCGCCGAAACTGCACTTCTTATCCATTACAAAAACTATTCAGGCTTGCCACAAAGGCGCAACACATTAGGAACCTCCTACAGCAACTCACTAATAAGATTAGCAGCCTGAGTACATGGCCATCGACGACAGCAAAAAAGTCTAAACCAAGACGAAAAATACCTGAGAAGACGAGCACAGCTACACCTGGACTGAGCTTGCCCGGTCCCAAGTCCGGGCTCTACGCACTCATTTGGATGACACACCGCATCACACGCGTAGGGGGGGTGAGGGTTCCCGTCTCCCACGGGGCGGGGGGACCCACAACAACTGATCACCACTTTCCCGCATCCCTGGTGGGGAAGCAAGTGGCTGGCGAAACAACGGCGCCGGTGTTCGGGGCCGCAGGTGTCACCACTCAGGTGGGACGAAAAAGAAGCTTTCAGAGAGCACAACACCAGAGTACACAGAATCCACTTGGCTACACCCGATATCGAGGGAGGTTTATGCATTGCAGTCAGTTGGGTCTCCACACTGCAACCATGCCTAGCCTAACGACGGCCAAACCACGCCGACCTCCATGCAGACCACGAGGTGGGGCACAGCAACGTCTCAAGGTCCTGTCCATCAATGTTAACAGCCTAAGCGGGTTCCTTTGGGGTGAAGTCAAGGCGTTTCTTGGTGGAGAGGGCCTGCAGTATGACTTCATATTCCTACAGGAAACGCATCGCACTGCCTTTTGCGCTTTCAAGGTTGATAACTGGATGGCAGTTGGCTCCTCAACAAAACGGGGAGAGGGTGTGCTCACACTAGTTCATCCTCGTTACGATGCCTCCATGGTTCGTTACCAGGAGATAATCCCAGGCAGAGTTCTAAGAGTGAAGGTATGCCACAAAGAGGCAGCCATCGAAACACTTAACATATACCAACATGTTTGGATACACACGGATGATCCGGAACAAAACAAACAGAGGCGGCAAACCCTGCTCGATAAGTGCACTGCCACAATACAGGGCATGGCTAGAAGAGACACCCTGATTCTAGCGGGAGATTTTAACTCAGAGGTACACGCAGTAAATGGATTGATCGGGACACGCGTGAACCGCTCAGCCTATCACCAAGCCCTTGACCCACTCACACTTCCAAGATTCATACAAGACAACGCCCTGGTTGCTCTAAACACTTGGCATATGAAGGACCCATGCACCAACTACACCCGTACGGGCAACTCTCAGATTGACTATATCCTTGTGCGCGCACCAAGTGCTGACACCAGAGCGAAGCAAGTAGTCAAACAAGAGGCACCCTTTGGGGCGTGGAAAGAGCTCACACACTCGGCCCTCATTGCTGATGTCCGAATCATCAAGCACTTCCACTTGCCCAAGGCCAAAATGCAGCAGGAACTACAATACTCGAGACATGACCTTGACTACGCGTATCGCCAGAAGGATCACCGAATCACACAATTAAAGAGTAAAGTGGAGTTGGAGATAAATCACAGCTTGCACCACGGCCTCCCACTGACTGCAGATCACATCAATCACACATTACTGCGTGAGGTCTCTGAACTCTTCCCAACAGCTACATCAGCACACACCAATCGAGGCCAAACCAAAGCACAGTGCAAGGCCATCTTTGCTGCGTGGAAAGAGCTGTTGACCCACCCTGACGAAGTAGGAGGCTCGACCATCACACTGCCTGCCCGCGTCTACCACATGTGGCAGAGACGTAGGGATCTTCAGCGATGCAAGCCATTCACCCTGTCAGGAGTGCTTCGCACATGGCAATGGGTGCTCCTCTTCAACAAGGCAGGACGGCAGAGCAAGCAATATCATCTCCAGCATCAACGGGCCATAGCACTGGGGCACTTACAGCAAGCTGAAAGGGCCGCTCAGACGCACAACACGAAGCGTCTCTATGGTGCAGTCAAGCGACTCCTGCCCTGGAAGCCCAAGCCCAGGATCATGCTTAAGCACCCGGATGGATCGCCCATGTCTCTGCACCAGGAACACCAAGCACTTGTCCAGCACTGCAAGCAACTCTTCGCACCCCCGGCGGCATCTCCCAATCGACCAGGCCAGACGCTTAGCATGCCATTGACTGCCTGTGAATGGACGACACAGCTCAAATGTACTCCTATAGGCAAGGCCGTGCCTGCGGACTCCGCTCCGGCCACGGCGTGGAAGGCCTGCGCGACGATTGTGGCGCCAGCCATGGCCTGCATAGCCAAAGGACTTCAGCCGGTAACCTCAGCACTACCTGATGCATGGAAGAACCCTCAGTTGTGTTTCCTTCCCAAACCACATAAGCCTCCATCCACCGCAGCTGCTCTCAGACCTATAGGCCTACTCAGACCGGATGGCAAGGCGTTTGCAGGCCACATCAAAAATCAGCTACTGATGCAGGCCTGCTCCAGCCTTACTCACACTCCACAGTATGCATACCTTCCGGCACGGGACACGACGGATGCGCTGGCAAGGGTCAACGCATGCATACATGACATCAAGGACGGTCTCAAGGCCTTGGGTGGGAATAGGTTCCTGACGAGACAGCGCAAAGAAACTGGACAGGTCAAAGGCGAATCAGGAGGGTGCCTCCTGTCGGTCGACCTCAGCCAAGCTTTTGATCGTGTCAACCGTGCAAAACTAGATAGAGCATTGGCACTCCACCAGGTTGATGCTGACCTTAGATCTACCGTCACAGCCATCCACGAGCAGGCTGCTTACCAGGTCAGGGATAAATTTCACCGGACAGATATCTGCGCGACGCAAGGAATTCGCCAGGGATGTCGACTAGCACCGGCCCTATGGGCAGTGCTGTCGTCTCAGTTACTCTGGGATCTTACTCCCGCTGGTCAAACGCCGCTGCAGCTTCCATTCACGTTGTTCGCCGATGACCATTTAGGCCATTGGCTCCTCAAAACGGTGGATGATGCCAAGCGAATGGAGGAGACGATAGTGGCACTTTTTCACATGTTGGAAACATACGGGCTCAAGGTTAATCCGGATAAATCCAGTTTGGTCATTCGGGTCCAGGGAGCGCAACTTGAAAAATTTGTCAAAAGCCGCACGGTTATAGTTCGCAACCAGGCGCATTGGAAACTACAAGATGGAGAACAAACACATCTCATACCGATGTGTGAATCCATCACTTACCTTGGCACCAAGCTCACACTGAAAGAGGGCACCGGCCATACACTTGACTTTAGGCTTGCTGAAGCTGAGGCGAAAGTTACGCAACTTCGCAGAAGCATCAGATCACGCAAGGGATTGTCCAGGCACTACAGAGTACGGGTTTGGCAGGCTTGCGTGGTAAACAGTGCGCTTTATGGTCTGCTAACTACTCCTTTCTCTGGCCAAATGATAACTAAGCTGAGGGCGTGGTTTCACCGCCAACTCAGAGCGGTCACAGGTATGCCAGCTCACCTCACAAAGGTGAGTAATCAGACGCTGAGAGAAACCTACAACCTGAAGGATCCTGTACATGTGCTGACGGAGCGCATTGCGCGCAAACTTGAAGCTATGCAACAAGGACGAGGCGATCCTGCCACGTGCGAAACTAAGACCTTTGAGTATTGGCAAATGCTACACAAACAACTTGCTAGCCATGCTGTGGAACCACGCAATGTGACGCTGGTGGAACTCTCCAGCTCTAGCCAACATGCCTGCTCCATATGTGGCCTATACTACCCGACCCAAAAAGCCCTTAGGCAACACCAGGCGCTCAGACACGGACAGATTCAAGCCAACAAACTCAGTATCGACTACAAACCCGAACAACATTCTGTTGCGGGCATGCCACAATGCAAACACTGTCTTCTGAAGCTGTATGACTGGGGTGCATTAAAAGGGCACATCATGCAAAACGTGTGCGGTTGGCACACCAAACAGCTCAGCGACTCGAACAACAATAGCCAGCAGGATACGAAGACTGTTAAAGAAACAGTGCCTGTTCCACACAAGGTCGACACCCCACATACCCCGGTTGACCCTAAAGAGCGGCAACACGAACCACGGAATACCACGACTGAGGAGAGCACGCTCCTGCAAAACGAAGCGACACTGGCATTGCTTCAAAGTCATGAGGGAATATGCACCCAAGCAGCATTACACAAAACCTACCTCAAACAGCACTGCGGTTTCTGTGGCCGCTGGATCGCTGATGCCGGCATGATTAAAACGCATATCCAGAGAGTGCATACGAATCTTGCACGGCATATCACCTCAGACATACACACTTCATGCCAGGCCTTCAAGCACCTCTTCAAAAGGGACCATACATGTGAGTGGTGTGACAGAATGGTGCACGGCTCAGATCGGCATTGCTCTCAATGCCCAGTTCTTTTTCAGCTGATACTTGCAAGGACCAGCAGACAGGCGGCCTCCGCTTCACCTGAGACCCAGCTCCCTGCAGTATGGCCTGTACCACACCCAGGGATGGACGTTGCGATTTACCTCAAATCACCTACTCAAGATGAGATGCAACTGCACATACAGCACATGTCCACGCTTGCCAAGACACGATGTCTCCTATGCGGTGAACAGGTGCAAGACATCCAACACTGGCGACGACACATGGCGCAGCGGCATGACTCTCAGAAACAGCTTGTCCAGAGTCTAGCTCAATCCGAAACACTGCTACAAGCACACGTTGCGCGACCTTGCTGCTGGTGCAATGTCCACTTCCCAAAGTCTGCTCGAGAACACAGACGTAAGTGCCTCCCTTTGCTGCAGCTCTGCCTCCACGTCAGTGGAGACCACGCCGGAGCAACAGATGGCGGCAGTGTGGGGCCTCAGCTCACCACTGGCGACGACGCCTACACCACAGAGACAAGCGTCCGTCAGACACAGACTGACGCAAGGGACGCCGCAAAAGTATCGAAAGGGCATGGGCAAGGGCGCAGGCAAGGCAGCTCCCAAGGCAAAACGGGATCGGGACCAGGAAGCAGAAGACGAGTTGATGATGGACCTGGAGTCGCTGGACGAGGAGACGGTGAGAACGGCCTTGAAAGCCTTGGTCAAAACAGCACTCAGACACGAACACCAACTGACGATCTTGGAGGCAGACCGGAGCTACGTGTTCTTCCTGGACACGACGAACCACGGCATTGTCTCCATGCTGATCCAGGCAGCGCAACATGGAACACAAAGTTCGAGGAAGGCACGGTCAACACCTCGCTGAGGGCCACGCTATGGGAGTACTACTCATGGAATGGAAAGCAGGCCTCGAGAAAATCGAGTCCGACACCAAGGTACTACAGGTAGCAGAAACAGCAGGATGGGCAACGCGGTCTCCGCTCCAGTGGATCTACAACGGTGGAATCCGGTACAGAAAAAGGCGCTACCATCAAGTCGGAACAACCTCACTCACGAGGACGCAAAAAAGGCAGTCAACCAGCTCATCACAAACACCGCCAAGGACACAGTGCACCGGTTCCAAAGCCTACGACCACTGAAGCCGGCCTTCAAAGCCCTTGAAGCCCCCTTTAAGCCCCCTTTTAAACCACCCTTCCCCCCCGTTTGAGCCCTTTAAGCCCCCTTTAAGCCCCCCTTTAAGCCCCCCTTGAGCCCCCTTTAAGCCCCCTTAAGCCGCCCCTTAAGCCCCCCCTTTAAGCCTCCCTTAAGCCCCCCCCTTAAGCCCTCCCCCTTGAAGCCCCCCTTTAAGCCCCCCTTTAAGCCCCCCTTTAAGCCCCCCTTTAAGTCCCCCTTTAAGCCCCCCTTCAAGCCCCCTTTAATCCCCCTTAAGCCCCCCCTTAAGCCCCCCTTAAACCCCCCCCTTAAGTCCCCCCCTTTAAGCCCCCTTTAAGCCCCCTTTAAAGCCCCTTCAAAGGTCTCCAAAGCCCCCCCCCTTTGCCCCCCTTAAGTCCCCCTTTAAGCTCCCCTTTAAGCCCCCCCTTAGGCATCCCTTCAAGCAAAGGTGATGGGCCCATCAAGGCTTCTGCAGCCGTTTTGCTATTAGAGTGGACGCTAAAGACCATAAGCTTACCTTGGATCTTGCTTGCACCAGGGTTTTCAGAGGCCAACGTGGCTGACTGTGCAAGGTCCCTGCCTGCAGGCGGAAGTGATCACCATGGTCCTGACGCTCACCGTCCATCAACAGGCGGCAGCCGTTTACCACGACCTGGACCTCTTGGCAAACAACTGCGCGGGCAAGCTGATCGGTCTACGCTTGAGACGGGAGCGAGTGGGCAAGACGGCGCTCACCAAGGAGCTCGAGAGACAGATCTGAAGAGCAAGCAAGAGAAATCCGGGGGAAAGCGGACTCCGCGCCCCATGCTCAGTCAAAAAGAGACTGAGAAGGAGCAACTGCAGACAGGCATCCGCAATTTCTTTTCAGCCCCCGTCCATGCCATGTCAGCGAAAAAACCCCGTAGCACTCTGAATGATCCGGCTTGCACTGAGAACAAAGGTCAAAGGCAGCATGGATGGGGCTTCGGGACATTCGGTGAGTAAGACCACTGAACAACCAGTGAAGAGTACACCGAAACAGGGTCAAGTAAGCATCCCATCAAGGGGGAAACATGGGACTGCGGGCGCAGAGACAAAAGTGGAGGGCTCTTTATTGGCATGGCGCACCCGCGATCGTATAACCAATGAGCCTCATGCTAGATCACTCGCACTAACTAATCCCCATAACCTTTGCTATGCCAACGTAGTGATTCACATGCTGCACTATGCTCGGTCCCATGATGCTTTCATATCAGGTCTGGGCGAAGTCAATGGGGCCATCGTACAGGCCTCAAGATCCAACCAGCACCTGTATTGCCAGACACCCGGCATGGAACTTCATATGGCCAGGATGGCAGAAGCCCACGCGACAGCATGACGCGGCTGAGTTTCTGCAGCACCTTTGCAACCGCACGGACTGCGTGGCACTCAAGGGATGGGAAGCTAGACGCACAAGACCCGCCACATGCCTTAACTAGACCCCCCGAACTTCTTATCCTCCAGATCGGACGATTTGTCCAATTAGCCGGAGGCATTAGGAAAACGCGGCAGGGGATTGAAATACACAAAAATCTCACAGTTTCCACCTTCACTGGACATGCCGGTGACGTTGTCACCACCCCGTACAAGCTATGCGGAGGGGTCATGCACATAGGCAAGGTGGTAACGGCCGGGCACCATCAGGCATTCTACTTTCCTGGTGACACTGAGGATATTACATGGGAAAGTGGCCTCCACTCCCCACTGGTGTACACAGGACACTCATGATTCTCAAGCTCTTAAACATGAGAGGCTAACTCTCAACACTCAGTCCCAACAAGGCCCGCTCGCCTTGTGAGTCGACACTCGGACAAGGAGTAGATATGGACTGTGGACAAGCTGGCCCTCATGATGTCTCCTGTACAGTTTTTTTGCTTGTTAGCTTCACTTGTTAGTTCCCAGCTGTGACACCTCAGCTGTCGGGCTCGCATGACAACTGCCACAGTTGATGCGAATGAATGAATGAAAAAACGATGCTCCAAGCAGAGGACTGGTTGCGGAGACAGCAGCCAAAGGTCGTGAGAATGCACGTTTTGAGAGTCTGTGTGCAAAGTGCATGGCTACTGTACAGATACCCTGGGAACTTCTCAAGTTACGGTCACTTTGAAAGGGGGTTGTGCGTGTTGGAGCAAATCGGCAACATGCATCTAAGCAGCCAGTGCGCATCTCAACGCACACATGCTGGGTGCTCCAACTGAAAACCTTCGAAAGAACTCTTCACTCTTCGAACGCCTCGCTTTTGATTGACTCCCGACCGTGGAAAAAAGAAGGAAGCGTTCTCGTACCCTAAACCCTAAACCCTAAACCCCCCTAAACCCTAAACCCTAAACCCCCCTAAACCCTAAACCCTAAACCCTAAACCCTAAACCCTAAACCCTAAACCCTAAACCCTAAACCCTAAACCCTAAACCCTAAACCCTAAACCCTAAACCCTAAACCCTAAACCCTAAACCCTAAACCCTAAACCCTAAACCCTAAACCCTAAACCCTAAACCCTAAACCCTAAACCCTAAACCCTAAACCCTAAACCCTAAACCCTAAACCCTAAACCCTAAACCCTAAACCCTAAACCCTAAACCCTAAACCCTAAACCCTAAACCCTAAACCCTCAACCCTGAACCCTAAACCCTGAACCCTGAACCCTGAACCCTAAAAACCCTGAACCCTGAACCCTGAACCCTGAACCCTGAACCCTAAACCCGAAACCCTAAACCCTAAACCCTAAACCCTAAACCCTGAACCCCAAACCCTAAACCCTAAACCCTAAACCCTAAACCCAAAACCCTAAACCCTTCCTACCATATAATTATAAACCTTAATGGTATTCGTGGGCAAGGCCCAAATATTCGTGGGCAAGGCCCAAAGATTCGTGGGCAAGGCCCAAATATTCGTGGGCAAGGCCCAAAATCCGGATTTTGGGCCTTGCCCACGAATTTTTGGGCCTTGCCCAACGAATTTTTGATCTAGATTCTTTATTGAACACATTGGAATAGATTGGGAATCATTGTGAAAACTTAAAGACGGCGTCTTCGCGAAGCGACAAAGTTGTCTTTTTGTTTTCAGAGCAGCCGCCTTAGCTGAGCAATGATTCCAAAATCTTTCCAACTTAGTTTTGAACTTCGCACACGTTCATGCTGTTTAAGGGTGCTTTGCACCACTGGAGGCACCCTTGTGATCCGGACTAAGAATGAACACGTTATGGATACATGGTCGATAAAAACTTCGTTTTCTCTTGTATGTGTTTGAAGACACAGGCACAAGAGCGGGCTTACTGGTGTTTTGTAGATGCGGGAACCCGGAGGATCCTGAAAATTCCCGGAATTTTTGGAAATCCCCGGAACCCCCTGCAAGGCCCCACATAGGGACTGGCAATGATATTGCGCGCCGTTCTTTCAGCATGCTCGTTTCGCACTGGCACACATGCATGGCAGTCCATGATGTACGCAGACATGGGCAATGCCTGTGCTGAGCTATGCCAAACTTTTTCACCCGCCCTCCCACCCTCGGTGTTTCCTTGCCGATTTGGGAAGGGGGGGGGGGTTATGCGTGTTGGGGCAAGTCGGTAACATGCACCTAAGCAGCCAGTGCGCATCTCAACGCACACATGCTGGGTGCTCCAACCGAAAACCTTCGAAAGAACTCTTCACTCTTCGAACGCCTCGCTTTTGATTGACCCCCGACCGTGGAAAAAAGAAGGGAGCGTCCTCGTACAGAGTTTATGTGATCTAGATTCTTATTGAGCAGAACTTGGAATAGATTGGGAATCATTGTGAAAACTTAAAGACAACTAGGTAAGACTCATCTTGTTTTCAGCTGTTTCGCAGAATATTCGTCAAACAAGAACAAAATTAGGATTTTGTCTTTGGTCGAACCCTTTGAAAAAAGTTTGTGCGCACAATTTCATGTGTCAAAGTGTGCCCGGAGTTGTAAATTCATCAAAATTCATCTCTTCTTGTGTCCCAGCATCTTTCGTTGATTTTTGTTAAAATTGAAAAATGCATTTTTCAAAAATATTTTAAGAAATCATTGAATTTTCAATTTGTCTCGGATTGGTCTTGAGACACCAAATAATTTTTGAAGTTCCTCTGTTTTGTCGGAAGAAAAATTGGTGGTCCGACAAGGCTGGTGGTGTCGTTTTTTGCTCGCCAGATGTTGCGTGGGAGTGGGTCACGACGAAACAACAAAAAACTGACAGGCCGGCGGTGTTTGTTTTTTGCTTAACCCCGGCTGCAAGGGAGCCTCGAGGCTCCTGCCATGGTGTTGGTTTTTGCTCAGCCCCGACTGCAAGGGAGCCTAAGCAAAAAGTCTCCTGACAAGGGGTGTATGGCTTCTTTCTGCTCAGCCCTGGCCGAGGGAGACAGCCTCAGCTAAGCAAAAGTCTACGAAAAGTTGCGCAGCCACGGCTGGGCAAGACAGAGCTTCCACCATGTGGGGCATAGTGGGCACAAAAGAGTGTGATTGCTCGTTGTGGCAGTTCTCCTGTGCGCACTGCGATTGGATGATTTCGTTTCATGTTTTTCGGGTGTTCACATACATGCATGATTATGCAAATGCAAGGACCGTTTTCTCAGCTGCCGCGCAGGGTAGCTGGCGATGTGACACGCCAGAGTGATGATGCTCAAGTTCGGCTGAATATCATGCGGCGCTTTTTCGAGTGCCGTTCAACGAACATGTACAAACCGACAAAAGTTCGCAACACTGCCAATACTTGTAAAGCCATTCGTTGTTTATTTGCATTGATACGCATGCACCGCTTAGAAGCTTAGCATGTTGCGGTCATGTCAAACAATGGTGACACATTGGATTGCAAGCTTGTTGGCCAGGGCCTTGGAAGAACTTCGTGTTTTTCTGCAACATGCACAACGCCGACGCAGACGAGTTGTTGGTCATTGTAATTTTGTTCATCACAGCACGATCAGCACGGCGGACGCAGGGCATTCATCCAACCCACAACATGAGGTGATCCAAAAAGCGTTCGCTGGCCCACCAGGCTGTGCAGTCGCAGTCGCATTCCAATTCGTTTGATTGTCTTCGAACCGTGAAAAAGGACATCTGCGTGGTCCCGGTGACAGCTGGATCCTGCCAAGTCATTCTTTTGAACGTACTTTGCCTTGGCATGATGATGACACTTGGTCCCAGACTTAAGCAGCCATCGGCAACTTAAAGAATGATGGAAGCATGTGCGGCCTGCAAGCAACCAATTTGTGGTTTGCGTTGTTTGTGTGAGGTTGCTCAGCGCTGCAACAATGCCGATGCAGGAGTTTAACTAATCAACTAATCAAATAGCTTTACATTCGAAACTCGGTGTTCTGTTGCATACCTTGGCAGACCGCAGGACCGTGTGCTGCTGATGCCCGCAGTCGCAGACAGACACGCGTTTTTGTGGAATAAGAAGGCCTGAAGTGGTGGTCATGGTGCCAGCTGTTGTGTTCATTATGTTTGTCAAAGCAGGCGAAAGGTGAAGTCGTCCCGGATGCAAATCGATCAGATAGGGTCAGATTTTGGGAGACATGTAGCCTATGCAGTCTCATATGCAAAAACATTCAATGGCAAACCAAGAGCTTGCGCAACTCATTCATTGCGGCAGCCTCGCATCATCGCTTTTGGCATTGTTGTGCTGTTGAACGTAGGTTTCATGCTTTTAGAGGGGCCCGTCTTGCCTTGGTTATGAAGCAAACATGGGGTAATCCTGAGAGCTTCTGATTCAAAGCAAGCTGAGCCACATCATTAGCTGCAGGCAGGAAGTGTTCATAATTTTGGCGATTCGGAGTTGTGTTTTGCAGCAGAAGCATGTTTTCGAGCTCTGTGCAATTGTCGTGACTTGTGCTTCGTGTGTGATGCAGTGTGATGCAGGCGATTCAGTCCACAGACTTCGAAGTTATATTCACCGTATCGGGCAGCCTTCCTCGCAGAAGCACGCAGCAGGATCACACAGATTCTGATGCCTAGCGTCTAGCGAGTCTAGCCGAGTGCTTGTCCAGAGTCCAGCTTCACGTTCAGCTGTTTTGGCTGTTTTTGTGTCTTCCCGACTTTCGTGTGTGAGGATGGAAGTTTGGCCTTCTGGCTGAGTACAGAAGATGCTACGACGAACTTCAACGAGAAGGCAGGCCGAGCGAACACACCACATCCCTTGTAGTGAAAGTTTCGGAAATGTCGGAATGAATGCAGGTACTGATGGAAAAAGTACTTCGAGACAAGAATAAGGATTGGTGCTTGAGCGGCAATTTCCGTGGGATGGGTGTGCTTGAGGGTAGGTGGCTCTCGCGTGCGTCCAGAGGTGTCACATGCTAAGGAGAGTGGGCTTGAAGGAGTTGGGCTTCTCTGAGAATGGCTACAAGTCTGAACCTCAAGACCTGCGAACAGTTGTGGCTACTGGATGTTGGAGATTCTACCCAGGCCAGGTTTGAGAGGATTCGCCGTCGTATTCTTGCCCTTTGACCAGGATCGGAAGCTGAGGTTCCGATTCAACGGATTGGAAGTCATGTGAAGTGATGTGAAATCATGTTATATCATGTTCAGCTTCAGGCTGATGAGTTCTTGCTTGCAGGCAAACGGTCACCGCAGTCTATTCGGATGGATCGCCGCCTATCCCAACGCCATTGGAGGATGTACTGAAGGACATCGGGAAGCACTCAGCGGCAAGGTCCACTTGCTCATACACTCGCGCCCAGGACTCCCGAGCAACTGTTGTCACCAGCGACTGGTTAATGGATCTGAACACTTCCTCAACTCAGGCAAGCAACCTGACCATTGCTGCAAGTTGAGTTTCAGTGTACATGTCAGTTGTGGCAGGTGAAGGTTCCCGGCCTTATTATTGACTTGTGTATACTTGTTTTCGACAAGTAGCACGCCGTTGCTTTTGACAGCTGCTGTGCTCTGTTCTGCTCTTCAAAACTTAGGTGAGGGTGCATGCTGATGGCAGCATTGTGGTCAGCAAGCGAGTGACGGTCAGCTGCCAAGCCAATCCAAGCCAGTGCCTTCGGGCTTAAAGACACGCAGTGATTTTGCAGGGATGTGAAGCAAATAGCACAACCACATGACCATGCAGGGCTTAACTCATCTTCCTGGAGCTGTTTGGTCTTGGGCTCCAGACGGCCATGAAGCTCTTGACTGAGCTTTCTCGATGCCTCAGTAAAGCTTGGTGAGGGAGTCAGGGAGTCAGGGAGTCAGGGAGTCAGGGAGTCAGGGAGTGAGGGAGTGAGGGAGTGAGGGAGTGAGGGAGTGAGGGAGTGAGGGAGTGAGGGAGTGAGGGAGTGAGGGAGTGAGGGAGTGAGGGAGTGAGGGAGTGAGGGAGTGAGGGAGTGAGGGAGTGAGGGAGTGAGGGAGTGAGGGAGTGAGGGAGGGAGGGAGGGAGTGAGGGAGTGAGGGAGTGAGGGAGTGAGGGTCTGAAGGAGGGAGGGAGTGAGGGAGTGAGCAAACTTGAGGAGGACTTTCGTCCAGTCTAATCCCTACCCAATTTTAGGAAATGGGGGACGCGCCACTCGGGCATTTTTTCGAATACAATCGGCTGAAGGCTTGGAAGAGGAACTTTCGGAGCTCCTGATGCTCATGATGCTTGTCGACGAGTGTGCAAGGGGAAGCTGCCATAGGACCGATGGTGTGCAAAAGGGGCCGGAACAGGAATGACTGGGCGCAAGCATGTCCGGAGGCGTACTCCGTGGCGTGCTAGAGTGACGGTTGAAACCCTCACAGGCCTTGCGTAATGAGACGCCCCATATCGCCCCATATCGCCCCATACACCCCAAATGACTAAAGCCTATGTCGGTCAGGGATCACTCTCCAGGTGTAGCCTCCTGTATACACTCTGAATGAGCACCGGCAATGATGTCTTCTGAAGCGTAGCATTACAACCAGAATGGGATATTGGGCGACAAAGTGAGACCATTCTTCATTTTCCACATGCTGCCGGCTTGTCTTAACATAGGGACCTTGATGAGAGAGAAGTAGAGAGAGATGGGGAGAGTGGTGATATGTGGTGGTAGATGGTGGATCCGCAAATTTGCAGTTCTAGCATGTGTATGCTACCTTGTGTGCAGTTTGCGCGCGCGTGTGTGTGCGCCTGTTCGCGTGTGTGTGCGCGTGCGCGCGCTGTGTGTGTGTGTGTGTGTGTGTGTGTGTTTTGCTATTCCAGATATGCGCTTTGTGTAACTACTAGTTCCTATGACCTGCTTCCGATCCCGTGTGGCCCGTCAGTCATACATCCGGTCGGCGTGCTTGCGTGATTGCGTGCTTGCGTGCTTGCGTGCTTGCGTGCTTGCGTGCTTGCGTGCTTGCGTGCTTGTGTGCTTGTGTGCTTGTGTGCTTGTGTGCTTGTGTACTTGTGTGCTTGTGTGCTTGCGTGCTTGCGTCCTTGCAAGCTTGCGTGCTTGCGTGCTTGCGTGCTTGCGTGCTTGTGTGCTTGTGTGCTTGTGTGCTTGTGTGCTTGTGTGCTTGTGTGCTTGTGTGCTTGTGCGCTTGTGTGCTTGTGCACGGGTGTGCAGGCCGGTGCTTGTGCGCAGGTGTTCGGGTGTGCGGGCGTGTGCTTGTGCGCGGGTGTGCGGGTGTGCGGGCGTGCGGGTGTGCGGACGTGCGGACGTGCGGGCGTGCGGGTGTGCGGGTGCGCGGGTGTACGGGTGTGCGGTTGTGCGGGTATGCTGGCGTGCGGGTGTGCGGGTGTGCAGGTGTGCGGGTGTGCGGTGTGCGGGTGTGTGGGTGTGTGGGTGTGTGGGTGTGTGGGTGTGTCTGTGTGTGGGTGTGTGGGTGTGTGGGTGCGGGTGCGGGTTGGACAGGAAATCAGTAGGTAGACTCATCAAAAGATTGGGTCCAATCTTCAAACGGAAGACGTTGGTATCATCCAGCCTTGGTGTGTGTGACTGTGTGTGTGTGTGTGAAGCCTGTGTCGCACTTGTCATCACAATGTCATTGACATGCTGTGAATGCTAGCAGCCCAACGTCATAATCTGACCGATATGGGTCAGCGTACAGCGTACGGCAATGATTGTTTTGAATCACCTGCCAAATGAAAAAAAGTTTCGGCAAGGTCAAAGGGACTTTCGTCCTGCAGCCAGACAACACACTGAGCTGGAAGGCCAGCATGTCATTGTAGTTTTTCGAAGTTTTGTGCTGCTTGCAGTATTGCGAGGATCATCCCAACTCTGGCCGATGGAACCTGCTTCCAGGCACACGACTCCACATTTTGGAGTCGAAAGTTTGTCATTCGTTTCAAACGCCATGACAAGGTGGAAAGCTCAACATGACGCTTTTCGAAGCAAACTTCATTCTTCGCATTGAAGGCTCGCAGTTGTTACGGTTCAGACACGTTCCATCTTTTTCATGACTTTCATGGCAGTTCCTGGACATGAAGGCAACCGTGCGGTGCAAGAGCTCCCTGACTTTCCAGTTCGGGCGGGGAGCACAGGTCAGAGCACAGCGCATCGTTTCGCTTGTGACAAGTTTTTGTTTTTTTTGGGGGGGCGGTCTTCGATTGCGTCTGCAACACAATGCATTGGACGTCGACAAACAATCAGGTTAAGATAGCATGGAGAGTTTCGAAGTCTGACATCCACCCTTATCCCGGCCAGCATGCCTGCCCGTGGTAGCTTCGGGCATACATGAAGCCTGTGTCTCAAGGCCATAGCTTACCTTGGCGGACAGGTGCCAGATGCGTACCCTGCCATGCACCAGTGCCTGTGTCTACATGCAGTCTCTGATATGGAGGCTGTCGAGGATGAGCCGTGGCAAAAGCTTGTTGGCTTCCCTGCCAAGACCCTCCCAGTGCCACAGCCGCACAAAGCCAGCCTGCAAAAAGTGATGTGACCAGAGCAATGTAAAGCTTGTGTTCGTGTTGCCAGCGCAAAGTGCAGATATGGGAAACTTTGCCGACTGGATTGCGGCTAAGGTGCCTGTACCGAATCTGTTCTATGGCTTCACAGGCCAGAGCTTAACCACACTAATGTGTCATGCCAACAGCTGACATGGTCTGGTGATGTTGGGAGTCCGTGGATGTGAGACGATGATTCTTTCCTGGGAGATGGGAAGATTCCTAGTTTCTCGAAAGCATGTGGCATGCCCATCCAGGCTACAGCGGCACTAAGATCGGCATGGAGGCAGGATACTCAGAGACACATGAGTCGCCCGCTGCAATGCAGGCACAGAGCTCGCAGGTGAACTTGAATTATTTGGGCACCTTCAACCACGATCCCCATGTCGTCGGAGAGGACATGGTTGCACGTTAGAGACAGGCAAGGGAAGTTGAATTGGCTGGCTGTTTGTTCTGTTACCTCGCTCCAATCTGATGAAGTTCTTCGTCAGTGCCTGTGCACTCAAGCACAGAGGGGCTCCAACGTCATTGACAACTCTCGTGTATCATCTGCCCGGCTTTCCAAGTTCGTTTGTTGCCCATTAGGGAAATCATTAGGGCTGAGTCATGACTTGTGGTCCAGAGAGGACGGCTTCAGCATTGCCCAGTCGAAGGAGTGGAAGAAGGCCAGTTTTAGCAACAATTGACAACTGCTTGGCACCTCCGGCAATCTCTGCAGGCCCTGGCAGACGAAGCGCGCTTCATTGATCGGGTGTCCCAGCGCGAGGCAATCATCATGGGTTTGCAGCAGTGTAAAATCGTGCACATGGAAGCAGAGTGTGCGATGTACGTCGATGTGCCCGTTGCGTTTTTTTCGAGGCCATCGAGCGCTTAACCAAGCTGCTGGCTGACCATGTCGCAAACGGCTCAGACTGTGGCAGCAAGTGAATGGTTGGTTCTGTGCCAAAACCTGCGCCGTCTGCCGTGCTGTTGAAGGCATTTTTTACAGCTCTCTTCAGTTTTGTTTTAGGGAGAGTAGTTGCAGCCGCCATGTCCGCTTTCGTGGCACTTTCCTCGGCCAGCTCGGCCCCGGTGGAGAGGGTCCAGTCCTTGCGCGGCGCTGCCGGCGAGGCGCCAGCGCCTCGGGCCTCGTCCACGTTGTCTTCGCCCTCGGCTTGCGCCGTGGCTGGCGTCGCCGCGCTGGGTGCCGTCGCCGCAGCAAGCCAAAGGCGCAAGCACCGTGCGGCCCTGGCCAAGGGCAGCAACGTCAAGATGCAGCGCATGCCTCGTTCGTTGGCGAACGCAAAGGTGATCGTCTGCGCGGGTGCGACCCTCCCTGAAGGCCGCAAGCTCCGAGTGGCAGTGATCGGTGGAGGCCCCGCAGGTGCCAGCTGCGCAGACGCCCTTGCTGAGGAGGGAATCGAGACTTACCTGATCGAGCGCAAGTTGGACAACTGCAAGCCGTGCGGTGGTGCGATTCCGCTGTGCATGATCGACGAGTTCGGCCTTCCCAAGGACATTGTGGATCGGCAGGTCCGAAAGATGACGATGATCTCGCCCACAAACAAGGAAGTCCAGATTGGTCAGACGCTGAAGGACGACGAGTTCATCGGCATGGTTCGCCGCGAGGTGCTTGATGACTTCCTCAGGCAGCGGGCCAAGAAGAACGGCGCCACGCTCATCAACGGGCTCTTCATGGGTATGACCCTCCCTCAGCAAAAAGATGACCCGTACGTCCTCACGTTCAACGACTATGCCGAGGAAGCGGGCAACGCACGCAAGGGGGTGAAGAAGACGCTGGAAGTCGATGTTGTGATTGGCGCGGATGGGGCCAACAGCCGCGTTGCCAAGGACATTGAGGCGGGGGATTATGAGTATGCCATTGCCTTCCAGGAGCGCATGCGCATCCCGGAGAACAAGATGGACTACTACAAGGATCGAGCCGAGATGTACGTCGGCGACGACGTTTCCCCCGACTTCTACGCGTGGGTCTTCCCGAAGTGTGATCACGTCGCTGTCGGAACCGGAACGGTTGTGGACAAGAAGGGCATTCAGAAGTACCAGCAGGGCATTCGTGACAGAGCAGCCGTTCGCATCGATGGCGGTGAGATCATCCGAGTGGAGGCGCACCCCATTCCTGAGCACCCGAGGCCGTGGCGCGTGAAGGATAGGGCGATCCTGGTCGGTGATGCGGCTGGATACGTGACCAAGTGCTCCGGTGAAGGCATCTACTTTGCCGCCAAGAGTGGACGGATGTGTGCGGAGACCATCGTCAAGAACTCGAAGAACGGGGTTCGCATGATCGATGAGGCGGACCTCATGGAGCACATCCGCGAGTGGGATTCCAAGTATGGGCCCACATACCTCGTGCTGGACCTGCTCCAGAAGGTTTTCTACACCAGCGATGCTGCTAGGGAAAGTTTCGTGGAGCTCTGCGAGGAGGAGTACGTGCAGAAGGTAACCTTCGACTCGTACCTGTACAAGACCGTGCAGGGCAACGCATCTCGTTCCCCAATTTCCCAGTTGCCTTTCTTGCATGCTTTCTGGAGCAGTTGCATTGGGGGGTAAGCGGGGAAGTGGCAAAAGCGAAGGCCAAAAACCGAGCTGACGACGAGAGTTTGGCAGACTGTTTGCAAGCACACTAGAAGCTTCACAATGATTCACATAGTCTTCGCATAAAAACCCATTCCCGCAAACAGGGAAACCTTCGGTTTGAAACGTCCGCTTCCTGATGTTCTCGAAGCAGATTCGAGCTAGGAAGGCTGGGTTTCTGCATGTTTCTGCCCACACCAAGAATATCATCAACCCTGACATTCCCCCGACTCCGCGCGGCCGAGTCGTGCCTATGAACCCCCAATTTAACCGCCTATGCTTTTTTCTTTCGGATGCCTTGCGTCTGCTGGGGGTACTGGTGGGGTGGTACTGGCTTCCTTGCGTTGCCACTTGGGCAGGCGTATCCAAAGAAGAATCCGAGCCCTCAGTTTGTTTACCATTGTGTGCTTTGCAGCCAAATCATGGCTGCCGCCCAGAAGAACCTATAGACAACAGAGCACCAGGGAGGTGAGGATGCGGCTGATGGGCTGGGTTGGGAAAAGAGACCAAATGCCGCACCGGCAGAGGCAAATGTGCAGCAAGAGTTCATATGTGAATTTAGTTAGGAACACAGAATACACATCATACGGACGCGAATCAACTATGCAGAATGTTCAGAAACTGGCCGCGCGTGCAACGGTACCCGAAGTCTGAGCATTCCCGGAGCTAGGGTTTTGATCTCACAAGGCTCGTAAGGCTTTAAGGGCTTGTTAGTTTTGCATGGTATGCTTGAGCTCAGGACCCCGTGGGCGACCTGAAGCTTGGATGGAAGACCCTCAGCTCCCTCTACAAGTTCAACAACCAGAAGACGCCGGACCCAATGCGAACTTTGGTGTAAGCCTCTTTAACAACAGGCATGGGCCCTCTGTAGCTTCGTAGCTTACCTGGGGCCATGTCGGTTATCGAGCAAGAGCTAGTGATGCTTGATGCTTGCCGCACGGCGCTTTCTCCACAGCTATCCCCGAGCGTTTCGCTCCGGTGTGCGCTCTGTATGGCGCTCTGCGCTCTGTGGCCTGGCTGAGCAAGGCTGAAGAGAGGTTTCAAAGAGAGCCCCCGTTGGCACACACTGCAAAGCGTGTTGGTGTGATGTCTCAGACACGGAAAGGCATTGGCAAAGCAAGGTGTCTTGAGTTTGTGGAGCAGTCTGTTTGCTTTTCTGAGTTGCAAGTTGTACGATCTTTTTGTTCAAGCTGCTTTAGGCCGAAGAAGGCGCGCTTGAGGAGAAGATTCGATCTGACCTGGTCAGTTTGGATGGTCGCCCTCCACTCAGCATTCATGTGCCAAGCAGTACATGCTCGTGAGCTGCTTGTGATTTCCCCACTGACACAGTTCCAGTGCAAGCATGGGCTTGCAACATCAGTGACTATGTGCAGACTCTGTGCTTTCTTTGGGGAGTGCTGTGAGGTTATGGAAGGTTATGGATGGTTGCGGCGTAAAATCGTGCTAGGAGTAGGCTGCTTGATTCGATTCTGGCGGCGTGCCGGTTCCAACATGTACGGTGGGATTTGGGCGCGACAACGGGATTCTGCGCAAGGCTGCTGGGAGCTGCTGAAGATTGTAGCGTGGATATTGTCGTTGGCGTTCTTTTCAACGTTCTCGTAGCACTGTCGGTGCATCTTCTTGCGTTGCTTCAAATCGGTCGCGTCGTAACAATCGGTTTGGGAACGGCACTAAAAAGTTTGCCCCCACAACTCATTACATTTTAAGATTGTGAGTCACAGATGGTTGCAGATCACAGCCGCCGCCACACCACGATTTTGCGTGTTGCTCTGAACCAGTGTTGGGTGATCGTTGAGCATCGAAGATCCATGGGCATCCGGCATCAAGCTGCCACAAATATCTACAAATCAATTTGAAGAGAGGCTGCGTTGTTGGACTCAAATATCAATAAAGTTTAAGTGCCCGGCTCGACCGAGCAACTGATCCACACGTACGGGCAAGCAGAGAGCCCCGCAAAATGTCACAAAATGTCACAAACAAGGGGATCTCCAGAGCCTTGGAAAGACAAGCTTTATAACTTGTCCATGTCACACGCCACTGACCTTCGCTTGAATCGAAACGTTGAATTAGACAGGCCTGGAGCACCTGGGTGGCGACGTGGGCACCTATTTGGCTGCAACGGAGGCGTCCAGTTGCATGACCCCGCGCCATGAAGTGCATGGAATTCTACTTTGAAGCTCGTTCTTTTGCCCGTGTAGCCTGTGGCAGAAGCCGTTGGCTCAGGAATCTGTAAGTTGCAGCATTCCCAGGATGTTGGAGCCTCTGTGCTTCGCCAGCCGCTGACGGCTTTGCGGCCTCGGAAGCTGCAACTTGTGAATCTTGTGACGGATGCCACCTGCGAACTCTGACACGCCAGCTGTTGAACTGAGCGACGACGAGAAGAATGTTTGGCAACTCCAGCTGATCTAGGAAGTTTTACCCATGCCGCATTCTTTTTGATTCTCAGAGTTCGTCAACCAGATTGTTGCTTGGTTTCTCGCTCATATCCTAGCTTCTTGTGGCCGATGGTTCTTTACTGTTTGCGTTTTTGTTTCCTTGTTGTTGTTGTTGTTGTTGTTGTTGTTGTTGTTGTTGTTGTTGTTGTTGTTGTTGTTGTTGTTGTTGTTGTTGTTGTTGTTGTTGTTGTTGTTGTTGTTGTTGTTGTTGTTGTTGTTGTTGTTGTTGTTGTTGTTGTTGTTGTTCCGTGCATTCTGCTGACTGCTCCTGCTACAAACACGTTGCCTTGTTTTCTGCTTCTTATAAACTCTTTGATTTTTGAGAGACGTGCGGCATCTTGAAAGACCGAAAGCCACCATAAGCCACAAAAATCCCCGCATCGGGGCCAGAGGCCATGTGCCAGGGCATCCCAGGAAGCACTTGTGTCAAAGGACTTCAGTTCCACAATGGCAATCGTATGCGTAATCGTCATCAGAATCGTTGGCTGTAGAAAGAGGTACCCAGTTGTGGCATCATCACAGCATGCTCACCCCGCATGTGAGGCGACAAAAGCTTGCGTGGGAGAAAGGGCTTGACGAGCAGAGAGAACATCGAATGGTCCGAGAAGGCAGCATCGGGTTATGGTACTCTGCACTTCTTAGCACAAGCCGCCGATCAGTTGCGTACGGATCTTGAAACATGCTCAAGAAGAAAGTTCCCGACCCTGGTCCTGCAAGGTGTGTTTCATGATGACGTGAGCTTGAGGGGCCTCAGTGATGACGACAGGCCTATGCTGGCAATGTAGAGTTTGGCATGTTTTCTTGATGCACTTCATGTTCTTTCCCGACAAATTGGCAGGATGTGGGAGATCATCAAGATGAGCTTTCTGCAAGTCGCCCAAGTGCTGGACAGTTTTCTGCCCGCAGATTCTCACATCTCTAACTGTCAGTGGAGCTCGCATTGTTCCTGTCTTTTTCTTTGTGCTTCCGACTTCTTTTTTGGTCTCCTGGTCCTCTGGTCCGGTCCCTTCGTCTCGTGGTCCTGTGGTTTCCCGGTCCTGCGGTCCCGTTCTCCACTTGCGAAATGACACCTTATTGAGCCCTGCGGATTCGGTGCTGTGCACTTGGATGCCTACGGACTCAAAATGGTCGGGGAGCTTCGGCTCTGGAATCCTGAGAAGTGAGGGAGAATGGACTTCGGAGTAATGGTTCAAAAGATTGAAATCAATGACGAACTTCGATGAAGGTTGAGGACTGCACCCCGACAAACAGGTTGATGAAGCATTGGATTATCGTTGGGTGAAAGTCTGGAAAGATGAGAATGAGCTCAGATGCCGCGCGGTTGTCGAAGTTGTTTTGTGCATGTCGAAAGGAATGAAGAGGATAATCTCTTAGCATCAAGACCAATTTGATCCACACCCACCCACCTCGCCTGTCCCGCCCCCGAGTCCTCGCTTCGTAAGGCCAACCAGCTTCATGCCATTTCGAAGACCTTTGAGCATGGTTTTGCATGTTTCCGAAAGAGAGCCGGGGAATGGGGTTTAAACTCCTTGCGAACCATTTTGCTCTATGAAAGCGCTTCGTGCTGTCGACTGAGGGTTCAAAACCCACCAAAATGCCAAACATTTCTCAAGTCTAACAGGGAAATCCCAATTCAAACGCGCAAACAAAATGACACACGGGCAAGGTTGGCGTTTCATGTATGGAGTTAGAGTTTCGGGTCTAAGGTTTAGGCAATCAGGAGGATTTGCATTGAAAACGTGCGAATCCTTGACAAAACCGCCCGACGTGGCAGCTGATGTCAGAGCACATGTCAGGCCACTTTCAGGGCCTCTTTTAAAGCACCTTTTCAGATCACATGTCAGACATATGTCACGACATTCGGTCGTGTGAGGCCGACCCGTTTGCCAAGTTTTCGCACAACTAAGGCGTTGGGCTGGTGCACTACTTGGAGTACTTCTTGCAGCGTGGCATTCTCGGGGCAAAGCACATGCGCTTACTCACACTGCCACTTGCTTCGTGAGCACTGTTTTCTCTTGGATGGGATCGTGAGTTCCCTTCTCCGTTCTTGCATCTCATGTGCGGGTTGTCTGGTACACGCTAGCGTGGCAATTGCCATCATCATGAATGCGCTTGGAAAGGCAGTACGTGCAGACAAAGATGCCCAGAATCTCTGATCCGGATGAGCAAGCAGCGATTGTGGATGCAGCTGCGATTTGCATGCAGGATGAGGTCCCGATGGCTGTCCTTCCTGCATGTCTTCCTGCCATGTCATCGAAGTTGTACCGTTGCAGGACAACCGCTTCTTTGAGGCAAGGTATGGCGACATTGACCGGCTACTTGAACCTGTAAGGCATTCCATTCACCAGAAACTCTTCCCAAAGTCGGCTTACCCACACGTGATTTGTCGCTTGCGAGCTGCTGATGAGAATGCGGGCATAACGTTACATTTTAGGCTGCATCGTGGCTGCATGTGTGTCTAACGCCTGATTGGTTGGCTCATGTTGTCCAGACTGCAAAAATGATCCATTTGTTGACGATTTCCAGGAGTGCCAGTTGCACACCACACCACACATGCCAAACGGTCACGACAGTGTCATGTTGTGTCCATTTGTCTAGCGGCAGCTGTCATTTGGTCGAGGTTAGTGCTGGATTGCCAGCATGCCCGCCGATTTCTTTCAGAGAAGACCATTCACGAGACTTGGTGGCCCTTAGGGAGTACTGACGGAGTGCTGCGGAGGAGCAGCGGGTCGCCTCAGTACAGGAGAAGTGGTTGCTGGACCAGTACGACTTGACAGCCCCATTGCATGATGACACAAGCAGCCACTGACTCAGTGCTTTTGCAGTTGTGTACTGTTCTTGGCTTCCAGATGGACAGTGATGGACATTCAAGGCTCCATCGTGAAGTGGCATGTGCCAAAAGCAGATATGGATTCTTTCAATGATCATGCAGCTCGCCACAGCATTCGCAGCGCAGGGCGGCATGGGCATCTGTATCTCAACCAAACACTTGCTGCATCAGCCGCATCTGAGGAAGATTGGGTGGCCGCGACTGGCTGCGATGGCTTTATGTTTCTTTGGCCTGTCATTCCTGGAAACCGAGTTCCTCCTATTGTGAGGCCATTCGGGGTCTGGTTGATTTTTCACACTAGAAGAGGGTGAAGCGGTGAAGTAGATGGATGTCGGGACATGTAGTGGACATGACACACCATCAAACCGGGAAAGCGACATATCGCGCAGTCCACCAGCACTGAGTTTTGGGAAAGCCTCTTTGTTGCAGTTTTGTGAAGGCACTTGAAGCCTTTGTCCATGAATACTGGCATGAGCGCTCGCGTATTTTGCTCGTTCATTGACTATACTGGCTACACCTGGCTGCTGTAATCTTGGAATGCCCTCGGAATTTCGAATACTCGAAATCGGCCATCCCCGAACTTTTCACAGAGCATGCATATGCCAACCACTTCTCACGATTACCTCGACCTTCCAAAGCCTGCATGTGCCTGTGCAATGATGTCGCTTTTGGCTTGTTGGTGCGAATCTGCCTGGTGCCCTGCTGAACCACATTTTCTAGGCCAAGTGATGGTGGGATGGAATGGGGAGGGGGACGGGTGGGCGAGCCTGTGAAAACCATCCAGGAGGAGAGCTTTGCTGATTGTCTGGACTGGGAGTTGCGTAAGGCAAACAGTGCAAGTTTGTCTCAGTTTGTTGTTTTCGGCCAGTTCGTCATGTACGGGGAATAGGCTTGAAAAAGGCATTTGCTTCTGCTTGGCATTCGCAGTCAAGGTGTGTTTTTGTGGCTTGATTTTTCTGCGCAGGTGCAGAATGGTCCACTCCATGCCATGCATTGATTTTGTGGTTGACTGGCGCCTGGATAGAAATCAAAGACATGCCGTTTCCTCAGTCTAGGTTTCCGTGCATCGGCACATGCACAAGAACCGAGGCAGACCATGCAGGCGGTTACCTGTGGTCTTGACAACAAGATAGCACTCTACAGTTTCGGGCAGGCACTGCCAGCATCAAAAACTCCGGGCAGCATGTGGCTGTACATGGCTGCACATGTCTGCATATGCATGTGCGAAGCACGTGGAACCTGTTGTCAGAGGTCGGATGGCCGTTTGTTTGCCCTGTCTTCTGCAGGATAAGATCCAGGGAACATTTCGCGACAAGCACACAGAGTCGCAGGGCTTCTTGTGCATTGCCTCCTGGAAGCATCTTGTGAACTTGAGCATGGTTCATTGCGTGCTGATCCTCTCATGTTAAGGTTGTTGATTCTTTTCAGTTCTTTGTGACCCCTTGTAAGCCCCATCAGCACTCGTGCATAGGTTCTCTGGATCGCTAAGTTTATCTAGAGGCAAATGGTCGACATTTCTTGTGGTGTCCACAGTGTGTTACAAGGATGCCAAGATTTCACACGAAATGGCAGCTGCTGGAACTAACTTCGGTTACGTCAAGCTCTTGGATATGCGGAGCGAAGAGTTCATCTTGTCACTCGACTGAGGAGGACAGGGATGACGGGGCCGACTTGTTTTTGTCAACTTCTGCTGAGCACCTGTATAAGCATATCTGAAGCTCGGAGTCACCGCTCAGGTCTTTGCCTATCCATACCGATCATTGCAAGGCCAAGTCTGCAACCAGGGGCAACATTCCTCGCAAGGGCACGGTACATAGCAGTACGAGTGGCATGGAGTGCTCTGTGCTCTCAGTAGGAGTTGTGATGCTCTCGATATTCCTCGATTAAGTGCTTGGCTGCGCTGGGGGCTGCAGGGCGTGCGTGTGGACTGGGATGCCAGATTTGCTGTATCTTGCTCCTGGGACAGCTTCGTGCACCTTTATGAGCTTCAGCTGGCATTCAAAGGGTTGATATAGTCATGGCAAGGAGTGACAAGTTGTCAATTTCGTTATTTGGCGGCGCAGTGCAAAGTCCCCCCCCCCCCGATGCCGAGCTTTGTGCGATACCCCGCATTTCTCGACATGTTGACATCTCATTTATGGGTTGTGGGGAGTCCCCAGACTTCGGACAGAATCGACTCTGGCTTGTGGGGGTGGTTCTTGTGAAGGGAGAGCCAATGACGTGTTAAGCCCGTATCGACTGCGAGTGAGGGAAGGTCACGGGAAGCATCAAGGCTGGCTCGCTTGTGTCGCTGGCGAAAAGCCGGCTGAGGGCGGATGCATGCGGATGCAACCCTAACAAACAGAGACCTTTGCAGTCGCGCTCCTGCCTCTATGGTCTCTTGCTTCACCGCCCCCTCCTCCCCACAACCGAATGACTCCATGATCATGGACCTGGTCCCACGGCAATGGGCAATGCACTTCGTAAATTCGTCCGCCCATGCCACTGTCTTGACTGCTTTGCCTGGACCTCTTCGCTTTTGAACCCAGGACCTGCGCTCGGCAAAACTCATTCACAAGTTTGTTGGCCACAATGCCAATTGCGCCTCGGCAGCGTCCAGCTCCTGTAGGCGCCCTGGCGTATATGCCTCGAGTTTGGAAAACTAGTTGAGATTAGGATAGCGTGACCTCGTTTGTGGGTCTGGATGCGGTTGTAAAATGTTGTAAAGCAAAGTTTGCTCATTTCAATGTTCCAGTTGAGAAAGAGTGCAGCTCGCGCAATGGCGCGGCTTTGCCCAGTACGAGGCAGTTCCCTCTATGTGGACTTCGAGAACTACGTGGCAGCATCAACAGCGAATGAATACAAGTTCTTTCTTTGGGACTTAAGGACCTGATTCGAAAATTGCAATGATGATGGGGGATTAGGGACCTATAGAGTGAGGGCTACGGATATCCTGTGCGCAAACTAGTGTTGTTGAGTCTCTACCGTGGCAGGAATTATCGTCAGCTAACATTATGTGAGACCCCTGGTCACAATCCGAACTGAGACTTGGGCCTTGATTTGAGATGAGTCATGGCGGTTCTGATTATTTACCACACCTTATCCTCCAAGAGTTGAAGAGCGGCCCTTTGATGTTGGGATTGAACTCGAGGCCTGAGCATGGATGTATCAAGCGGCAGAGTTGCTACCGGTTCGGATGATGGACTTGTGAAGATCTGGAATCTGAAGGGTGGGACACCCGTGTGGGAGTCCTCCATTGATTGCAAGCACGAGATGACCATCGCCATCGATGCCGATTGGGACGCGAAGCGCATTGCGACCGCTTCCTGGGATTACAACGTTGACCTCTGGGACCTCGAGACCGGCGACTCGGTACTCTTCTTCTAGCTCTTGTTTTAACGTCGTAGCTGTGCATTGGATATTGGATGTCGGCCATGCTTAGCCCGCCTAGTTTTGCACACACTGAAGGTGAGCTCCTGCACCACTTCGTCAAACCACGCAGGTGTATGACACAGGTCAGGATGCACTTGAGCCCGGCCGCAAGCAAAAAAGCGCCGCGTCCTCGTGCCGACGGCTGGGCATGAAATCGCCGCTTATGTGTACGTTGGCCGACTTGGCCGCTTTGCTGCCGCTTTGCGATTCTTGCTTTGTGGCATTGACTTTGCCTTGCACAGGCTTGGTCTCCAGAGGATGGCCAGCTTCATGCGGAGGTGGGGACGGCTTGACAAGGTCATTTCATGCCATTTCAGGTTTGCGCAAGGGTAGGCGGGCATGCTGCCTGAACTCTTCGTACATGTTTTGAGAAAAGGGTGCCATCTGCCACGGATATCTCAGGCAAAAGCATTCATTCGTACATGAAGTGTCAACCAGCCTTTGCATGCATGAGCTGGGTGATATGGCCAGGCCATCAAGAACCACCTTGGCAAGGTGAAGACCTTGCTGACGATGGGCAAGGCCGACACTCTGAGAGGTAGGTGTGATGCAGAGGATGCAAGAGCTGAAAGAGGAGTGAGAGTGTAGACCTTCAAAGCTGCCAGCCCCACGGCATAGAAGCTCGTCAACGCTGCATTATCTTAACACATTATTCATTTTCTTTATTCTGTCACTTTCCGAAGGCTGAGCCTAATGTTTTCCAGCGACAAGCATTGCGTAGCAAAGCCTTTGCCTGTGCACGGAGCAATCGCGGCCAGTCGAGAGTGGAGTGCTTCTCTTGTCCTGGACATGCTTACAAGCCCTCTTTAAGGTATTCCTTGTACCTGCAAGGGTCTTGCAAACATGTAGAGTTTGCCATGGATGAAGCAGATGAAGCTTGTTGTTCTTGTTGGTTAGCTGAATGTTTTCTCTCTCTTCTCTCTCCTCTCTTTCTGCTCTCTCCTCTCTTTCTGCTCTCTCTTTTGTTATTCTTTTCTCTCTCTCTTCCTCTCTTCTCCCTCTTCTGTGTCTGCTCTCTCTCTTCTCTCTCTTATCCCTCTCCTCTCTTTCTTCTCTCTTCTCTTTCTCTATCCCTGCTCCCTCTTCCGTCTTTCTCTTTCTCTTTCCATTTCTCTTTATTCTCTTTCTTCTCTTTCTCCTCTTGCTCCTCTTTCTCTTTCTCTTTCTCTTTCTCTTTCTCCTTCTCTTTCTCCTTCTCTTTCTCTTTCTCTTTCTCTTTGTCTTTCTCTTTCTCGTTTTGTGGGCATGAAGCCGTGCCGGCGGAACCAAAAAACACTTGATGTTTACGAGGTTTTCTCCTCTTAGGGACCGCCCCACACAAGCATCATGAGCATCAGCTGGGTCTTTGGGCCGTGGGCCTTCTTCGGGCCCACGAAGCCACCGGAGAAGCGATAGGTCGATGATGCGTCCCCACCCCGCGCATCAGAGCATCAGCAGACCAACATGGGTTCCGATAATGCTCGCTTTGCGGCGGGTCAAGGGTAACACGGGTGGGGGTCGGAGGCGTGCGTGAAAAACTTCTGAAAAAAACATGGTGTTTGTAGAGATTTCAGCGTTTTGCAGCGTTTTTGGGTCCGCGGGCAAGGGCTGCTGATGCTCATGATGCTCCCCTGGTTTTGGGCTTCCGGTAGACCCCCTGCAAACCTTGAGAAATCTGGTTTCGCCCTGGTGCACGCCCGATGTGAAAAGGTAGGGTCGATGATGCGTTGGCCCGAAGGCCCACGAAGCCACGCTGCTGCCCCCGACCCCCACGCATCAGCAGCATCAGCAGACCCTCCCCCCCGGACATGGGTTTCGATGATGCTCACTTTGGGGCGGGTCAAAGGCAACATGGGGTCGGAGGCGTGCGTGAAAAACTTCATAAGCAACACGGTATTTGCAGCGATTTCAGCGTTTTGCAGCGTTTTTGGGTCCGCGGGCAAGGGCTGCTGATGCTCATGATGCTCCCCTGGTTTTGGGCTTCCGGTAAACCCCCTGCAAACCTTGAAAAATCTGGTTTCGCCCTGGGGAGGGTTTAATGGGGTGCTGCGGGTGTTTGGGGGCCTCGGTTTTCAAAAACCCATGGATTTTACGAGGTTCTCGTGCTTTTCGCACCACCGCATGTTGCCGTTTTGAAGGCCTCCCAAACGGCCCCGCCCGAATTTGGAAGAATTTGGGGCGGGGTCGGCGGCACGGGCGCTGGCCCCATAAAGCTAGCGCTTTAGAGCGACGCGGCCTCCGCCCTGGACCACGGGCTGCGGGGGCCGGGGATGCCGGATGTAAGGGCTGATGCCACTGCCACTGCCGCCGACCTTGCAAAGGGCCAGGGCCGGGGGGGCCCGGGGCCGAAATAAGGTATGGGGGTCACAGGAGCAGGAGAAGTGGAATTTTTGAGGTATTGGGGGTGACATTCACTTGTTGAAGGCATGTAGTCACAAGTACTGATGAAGAGGTAATGAAGGCAAGACATGCGTGTGCAGGAGGTGCACGAGGCGGCGCTCCAACAAGCGCAGCAGGCAGCCTCAAAGCTGAAGGTGCCCTGATGAGAGAATGAGATAGGAAAAAATATGGCAAAATTGAGCCGCTTATAAAAGGATTTGGGTTCGCAGTCGGAGGACATCCAAAGCAAGAGGATGGCTTCGACAGATGCCAAGCAGAAGGCTGGGGGTTCCACTTCGGTGCGGTGTTGGCATCTGCGTTTTGAAGCCCAGGTCCAAACTGTTGTGGATCAATCACAAACGGTCAAGGACTATGCTGCTGCAGGCTCCAAATTCTTGAGATGCCTTTAACACATCTCGATCATACTGTCATACTGTTTCGATTTGCAAAAGTTTCGGGGGGGCCAGAGAGATAGCGGCCACGGAAGGCAGTTCGCAGAGCCAGCTGCTCTTCGTGTTGATTGCGCTCCCTGCTGGTTTTGAAGGGGCTGGCCGTAGAAGATGCTGGAAAGAGCATGCAAGGTCTGGAGGAGAGTGGCTGGGTCGCTGCTTGTGCCCAAAATGATCTTCAAAGCATCACATGGCTAGAGCACCACCCGAGGCTCCAGAAAGGGCTAGAATGTAGCTTGCACTGATGCAGCGCAGCAACAGGATTTCATACAAATCGCCCTCTCTATGCCTCTTTCTTTCTTGCTTTCTGACTGTCTCTATCGCTCTCCCTCCCCTTCTCTGTCGATTCAGATGGTTGCCAGGTCGTTTGCGTCTCGGTCCTTGGCGCCATGTTCTTCAACAGGATGCGATACTACGAAAAGAAGCACTTCATCTGAGCCTTGACGCTGCCCCTCTCGGCAGCTGATTCTTCACGAACTTCAAGCCCATGGCCACCCTGTCTGAGATCAACGTCGGCTCAACGCCAGACGATTATTACGAGTGAGCAGCTGCGCTCGTGTGCTCGTGAGCTGGGCTCTGGCTTGAGTTGGAGCCGTTCCAGTTGGCAGAATGGGAGCAGGGTGTCGGCGTGCTTTCGGTGCGTAGATCGCGCAAGCACAGGGTGCCCATGCTGCGTTCAGTGACCAGTTTGCCCTGCCTGCGAAGCACAAATAATGCAAGCGCCATGGGTCAAGACTGGCCTTTGTTTTGTCTTGAGAAGATGTCAGCTTCTGCATCAGTTTCTTGAGAAGCGTTCCCTTCGCAGTAGCTCGGCTTAGCGTAGGCTACAGTTTTGCTTCAGGGGCCTCTGCGACCGCCATGTCCGCTTTCGTGGCACTTTCCTCGGCCAGCTCGGCCCCGGTGGAGAGGGTCCAGTCCTTGCGCGGCGCTGCCGGCGAGGCGCCAGCACCTCGGGCACCGTCCACGTTGTCCTCGCCCTCGGCTTGCGCCGTGGCTGGCGTCGCCGCGCTGGGTGCCGTGGCCGCAGCAAGCCAAAGGCGCAAGCACCGTGCGGCCCTGGCCAAGGGCAGCAACGTCAAGATGCAGCGCATGCCTCGTTCGTTGGCGAACGCAAAGGTGATTGTCTGCGCGGGTGCGACCCTCCCTGAAGGCCGCAAGCTCCGAGTGGCAGTGATCGGTGGAGGCCCCGCAGGTGCCAGCTGCGCAGACGCCCTTGCTGAGGAGGGAATCGAGACTTACCTGATCGAGCGCAAGTTGGACAACTGCAAGCCGTGCGGTGGTGCGATTCCGCTGTGCATGATCGACGAGTTCGGCCTTCCCAAGGACATTGTGGATCGGCAGGTCCGAAAGATGACGATGATCTCACCCACAAACAAGGAAGTCCAGATTGGTCAGACGCTGAAGGACGACGAGTTCATCGGCATGGTTCGCCGCGAGGTGCTTGATGACTTCCTCAGGCAGCGGGCCAAGAAGAACGGCGCCACGCTCATCAACGGGCTCTTCATGGGTATGACCCTCCCTCAGCAAAAAGATGACCCGTACGTCCTCACGTTCAACGACTATGCCGAGGAAGCGGGCAACGCACGCAAGGGGGTGAAGAAGACGCTGGAAGTCGATGTTGTGATTGGCGCGGATGGGGCCAACAGCCGCGTTGCCAAGGACATTGAGGCGGGGGATTATGAGTATGCCATTGCCTTCCAGGAGCGCATGCGCATCCCGGAGAACAAGATGGACTACTACAAGGATCGAGCCGAGATGTACGTCGGCGACGACGTTTCCCCCGACTTCTACGCGTGGGTCTTCCCGAAGTGCGATCACGTCGCCGTCGGAACCGGAACGGTTGTGGACAAGAAGGGCATTCAGAAGTACCAGCAGGGCATCCGTGACAGAGCAGCCGTTCGCATCGATGGCGGTGAGATCATCCGAGTGGAGGCGCACCCCATTCCTGAGCACCCGAGGCCATGGCGCGTGAAGGACAGGGCGATCCTGGTCGGTGATGCGGCTGGATACGTGACCAAGTGCTCCGGTGAAGGCATCTACTTTGCCGCCAAGAGTGGACGGATGTGTGCGGAGACCATCGTCAAGAACTCGAAGAACGGGGTTCGCATGATCGATGAGGCGGACCTCATGGAGCACATCCGCGAGTGGGATTCCAAGTATGGGCCCACGTACCTCGTGCTGGACCTGCTCCAGAAGGTCTTCTACACCAGCGATGCTGCTAGGGAAAGTTTCGTGGAGCTCTGCGAGGAGGAGTACGTGCAGAAGGTAACCTTCGACTCGTACCTGTACAAGACCGTGCAGGGTAACGCATCTCGCTTGGACATGCTTGGACAGTGCTCGCGAAGGTGTAGGCACTGTTTGCTGTAAGTGCCGTGCGCCTTTTGGTAAGACTTGGTGTTGTCCCACTCAATGACTCAATGGGCCTGGGCCGTTTTTGAGAGATGTGGAGGCTTCGTGGCCTGAAGCCTCACGGGCCCCCCTGGTGACCTGACCCGGCCCTGCTTCATCAAGATTAATCAAGGGTACGCATCGCATGTCCTACAAGTGTCCTGCTGCACTGTACCACATCCAATCGCTCTCGTTTCTGTACGAGACAAAAGTGTAAGCGCGGTATAGCAGGGTAGGAATGGCAAGTGTTTGTAAGGGTTGTTGCACGTGGCGTTGCATGGCGTGAGCCCAGGATCCTGTGGGCGACCTGAAGCTTGGATGGAAGACCTTGAGCTCCCTCTACAAGTTCAACAACCAGAAGACACCGGACCCAATGCGAACCCTGGTGTGAGCCTCTTTAATGGACCCGGGGCCCTCCGTAGCTTCGTAGCTTGCCTGGGCGCTGGATTTTTTTATTGGCAGCCGTCCATGTTTGCGGGCAGGCTTGCTTCAATTTGCATCATCATCTTGCTTCTGGATTCTCCGGTTAGCTTCTCAATGCTTCTTAAGCGAAGGAAGGTTGTGGCTAAAACCAGCCGCACCGATCCAAACCGGCACCGGCGATCACAGGGCAGAGACCAAAGATGTGTTTCGATGAGCTTGACACGTATGAGTCTGTGCACTTTCGCCATCTAGCAGAACAAGCTGGTTTGTCCCTCGCAGTTGCTCGGCTTAGCGTAGGCTACAGTTTTGCTTCAGGGGCCTCTGCGACCGCCATGTCCGCTTTCGTGGCACTTTCCTCGGCCAGCTCGGCCCCGGTGGAGAGGGTCCAGTCCTTGCGCGGCGCTGCCGGCGAGGCGCCAGCACCTCGGGCACCGTCCACGTTGTCCTCGCCCTCGGCTTGCGCCGTGGCTGGCGTCGCCGCGCTGGGTGCCGTGGCCGCAGCAAGCCAAAGGCGCAAGCACCGTGCGGCCCTGGCCAAGGGCAGCAACGTCAAGATGCAGCGCATGCCTCGTTCGTTGGCGAACGCAAAGGTGATTGTCTGCGCGGGTGCGACCCTCCCTGAAGGCCGCAAGCTCCGAGTGGCAGTGATCGGTGGAGGCCCCGCAGGTGCCAGCTGCGCAGACGCCCTTGCTGAGGAGGGAATCGAGACTTACCTGATCGAGCGCAAGTTGGACAACTGCAAGCCGTGCGGTGGTGCGATTCCGCTGTGCATGATCGACGAGTTCGGCCTTCCCAAGGACATTGTGGATCGGCAGGTCCGAAAGATGACGATGATCTCACCCACAAACAAGGAAGTCCAGATTGGTCAGACGCTGAAGGACGACGAGTTCATCGGCATGGTTCGCCGCGAGGTGCTTGATGACTTCCTCAGGCAGCGGGCCAAGAAGAACGGCGCCACGCTCATCAACGGGCTCTTCATGGGTATGACCCTCCCTCAGCAAAAAGATGACCCGTACGTCCTCACGTTCAACGACTATGCCGAGGAAGCGGGCAACGCACGCAAGGGGGTGAAGAAGACGCTGGAAGTCGATGTTGTGATTGGCGCGGATGGGGCCAACAGCCGCGTTGCCAAGGACATTGAGGCGGGGGATTATGAGTATGCCATTGCCTTCCAGGAGCGCATGCGCATCCCGGAGAACAAGATGGACTACTACAAGGATCGAGCCGAGATGTACGTCGGCGACGACGTTTCCCCCGACTTCTACGCGTGGGTCTTCCCGAAGTGCGATCACGTCGCCGTCGGAACCGGAACGGTTGTGGACAAGAAGGGCATTCAGAAGTACCAGCAGGGCATCCGTGACAGAGCAGCCGTTCGCATCGATGGCGGTGAGATCATCCGAGTGGAGGCGCACCCCATTCCTGAGCACCCGAGGCCGTGGCGCGTGAAGGACAGGGCGATCCTGGTCGGTGATGCGGCTGGATACGTGACCAAGTGCTCCGGTGAAGGCATCTACTTTGCCGCCAAGAGTGGACGGATGTGTGCGGAGACCATCGTCAAGAACTCGAAGAACGGGGTTCGCATGATCGATGAGGCGGACCTCATGGAGCACATCCGCGAGTGGGATTCCAAGTATGGGCCCACGTACCTCGTGCTGGACCTGCTCCAGAAGGTCTTCTACACCAGCGATGCTGCTAGGGAAAGTTTCGTGGAGCTCTGCGAGGAGGAGTACGTGCAGAAGGTAACCTTCGACTCGTACCTGTACAAGACCGTGCAGGGTAACGCATCTCGCTTGGACATGCTTGGACAGTGCTCGCGAAGGTGTAGGCACTGTTTGCTGTAAGTGCCGTGCGCCTTTTGGTAAGACTTGGTGTTGTCCCACTCAATGACTCAATGGGCCTGGGCCGTTTTTGAGAGATGTGGAGGCTTCGTGGCCTGAAGCCTCACGGGCCCCCCTGGTGACCTGACCCGGCCCTGCTTCATCAAGATTAATCAAGGGTACGCATCGCATGTCCTACAAGTGTCCTGCTGCACTGTACCACATCCAATCGCTCTCGTTTCTGTACGAGACAAAAGTGTAAGCGCGGTATAGCAGGGTAGGAATGGCAAGTGTTTGTAAGGGTTGTTGCACGTGGCGTTGCATGGCGTGAGCCCAGGATCCTGTGGGCGACCTGAAGCTTGGATGGAAGACCTTGAGCTCCCTCTACAAGTTCAACAACCAGAAGACACCGGACCCAATGCGAACCCTGGTGTGAGCCTCTTTAATGGACCCGGGGCCCTCCGTAGCTTCGTAGCTTACATGAGGCGAGCTCTGTGCAGAGATGAGCCAAGCATGTTGCTGGCTGTCGCTGGATTCTCCTCTTGGAATGGCTGTTCCCGATGGCTGTCACATGGCAGAAAGATTTGTGGTTGACTCCGTGGGGACACAGCATTCATAATTTATGTGCTAAGCCTCAGCTTGCACTTTTTGTCTAGAACCAGCGATGCTTTGGGTGCGAAGGAGCTCACCAGTAGTTCCAACATTCGGAACTGGGAACACTTGTTACCAGAAGCTTCTTCAGCAACCCTAGCCAGACCGATCTGCGAAACATTGCAGTAAGCAAAAGCTACTGAACGCCAATGAGGATTGCTGGGTTTATGCAAGGGTCCCAAGGTCAGACTTAGTCTGTGACCTGGGCGTGCTTCAAGCAGAGTCGGACAGGAGGGTTCAAGGTGCTGAGCTTGAGCTTTTGTGTTTCTTGACTCTTTACTAGTTGACATGGCTTCGATTTTGCTGCACTTAGCCGGTGTTAGCTGTGGGCTCTTTGGCCTTGCCTTGCTCAGACATTCGACAAAGCCTTCTTGGAGCTTCAGGGCTTTTTTTGGTGCGGGGCGCCGCAAGTACATAAAAAGCCCGCCGTTTTAATGGAGTCTCTTCTGCAGCGCGCTTCTGAGTGACAGGACAGACGCAAGCACACATCAAGAATAAAAGGTATGTAAATATCAATACAAATACAATATACATACACATGCAAATAGAAACACAAATATCGTCAAAACTGACTACCTAAACAATCAACAATATCTAGATCTGTGTGTATATATCTATCTATATCTATCTACCTATATATATATATATAAGTATCTGCGTCTACATATGGTTCCTCTCCCTACAAAGGATCTCTTCTTTGTTCAAAGCATGTCATGTTGACCCCAATATTTTTAGTTTTGACAGCTCAATGGGCTCAATGCTTTTCATCAAAAGCCGGGCCCGAAGGTAGAAGATGGAGTATGTTTTGGAGTCCCAGCAAACTTCATTCAACCCTAAACGCAGCAGAGTGGGTTTTGAATCCCAAACTCAATCGCTGATGTTTTGAGGATCTTCTTCGATTTGAGCCGACGTTTCCTATACAAGTAAAAATTGACTAATAAATAAATCGATATATATATATATATATGTGTATATATATACATATGCATTCTTGGGGTTTTCTGTTGCGTTAATTGTTCATGACGTCTGTCTGTGCATGTTTCTGATAGCTGTGCAAGCCTGTCAAACCTTCTCGTATTCCTTCGTGTCAACCTTAAATCTGTTTGGGGTCTGCGCTGGCATAGTCTCCCAAGCAAACTTTTTGCCCCCTCCCATGCCCGCGCTGCAATGGGCCTCGGGCCCTACGCCTCACTCCCACCCCCGCCTCGCCTCGGCTTAAGCACTGCTGACTATATTTTGCTAGCTCTTTTGGGGATGGGGAAGTGTAATGCTTACATCTGTTCCCGCCCTCCCCACCCGCGGGGTTTGTTTTGTTGTTTTTGCCCTTCGTTTGTTAGATGGTTTTGCCCTCCCCCCCAGCACCCCCCTCCCTGATCAAACACATGCTTGTGAAAAACATCCCCATCACGTATGAAAGCCCTTTCAAAGGGACCCTTAAAAGCGTCAGGCCGCACCGTGCACTTTCCTTTCTGTCTTATGAACATTTTGGCTTGCCAAATTCCGTATATACGACAAACATACATAGAACAAGTAGGTCTGAGTGACAGGAGTATCTCCGGGCAAGTTTGGCTCTGTGGCTTTTTGGGTATTTGGGTGTTGGCAGTAGCATTGTAGAGGTAAGGACTCAATAACCAATGAAAGTTGCACAGCAAGGACTCAATAGTCACTGAAGACATCGACAATGCTTGGGAATGGCCATTACAATGGCATGCAGAGAAACGAGTCATACGTTTGTTTTACAGTGGGTGCCCTCCGTATAGGCTATAAACAAATATCAATCCTCACCTCTTTGCGTACTTTTTTCTTACGATGCAGATATTTTTTTTACCGGAACGCATAAGGTCTTTAAAGACTGGAAAGATACTGGGTTTGTCCATGTTGAGGGGGTGGACCATATCCATGTGTGTATATGTACATGTACTAGCGTATATATATATATATACATACATACATAGCTACATACATACATATATATATATATATAGACACAGGACAGCACATACACGCATGTGTGGACGCATCATATGTGACCTCTGTGTGCATGCACATCGGGTGAGGGTTCCGGGAAGTTCAGCCAAGCAGTTGTCGGACTGGCAAGCGCACGTAAATAGCAGCTACGAATTTCGACAAGCCTACCATTGGAACTGCTGACATCTCAGAGCTTGCCCGGCGCAATGGATTTGGATCCGTTCTTGGCTCATGCCCAGAGTGGAGACCTGGATGCTGTGAAAGCAGCTTTGGAAGCGAAAGAGGCGAGCGATGTCAGCAAGTGCCTGAAGGCAAGAGATGAAGACAGGAGGACGTGGTGTCAAAAAGGCCATGAACAACTCGATCCTGGGGCATGATTGTAAACATTTGCATGCGCCGCCTCGGCAACCGGGCCAGCCCAAGGCCAAGAAACTCGAAAAGCCTTTCGCAGGTCTGGCAGGCTCATAAGGTTTTAGGGGATGTGTCAGGGAAAGTCCCAGAAAAGTTTAAAGGGGGGTCCGAGGGGGGGTCTTTTGGGGGGGGTCCCAGGAGAAGGCCCAGGGAAGGTCCCATGAAGGCGTCCCAAACAATGTTGGCATTCCAGTTTCTTACATTTTTGATCATTTTTGGGCGCCGCCTCTGTAGGAACCGCCGATGGCGGGACAGCCCACAGCATCGGTCTGCGGCTCATCCAAGAGGGGGGGCGCGTCACTAAAAACAATTGTGGGGGAAAGGGCTGGGAAGGGGGGAAGGAGACGGGATCCTGGTCTGCTTGTTCTAGACGCTTCTCGGCTGAAAGCCGAGGTGAATTTTTAGAGCATAGTTTTTTGTGAAGTTGCAGATGTCTGGGGGATGGTTCTTTGATCAAAACAGGACTGCATTGCATCGAGCGTGTGCTGCGGGGCACGAGCAGATTGTAGCATATTTGCTTGAGCTACGTGCAAACCCAAATACGGAGGATGCGGAGGACCGGAATAGCACGGCAATGATGTGAGAAGTAGAGCATGTCCGTCAGTCTGGAACTTGTGATAGATCGCAACAGGGTGAGCTCGTCGTTGCTCGTATTGCTCGAGGACTGGACGCCGCTGCATTCTGCAGCCAGCCGTGGCTCGGCATCGCTTTGTACCCGCCTCACAGAAGCATGTGCTGACTGCGATGCCGCAACGTCTTCTGGCGCCACTGCTATGCATTTTGCCGCCTCGAAGGGCCACGACGATGTAATCCGAATCCTGGTCGACGCAGGCGCCAAGGTCAATTGCAAGGACCGAAGCGGCGGTGTGGCGCTCCTGAGGGCGGCTGGAGCTGGCCGAACCCAGGCTTTAAAACTTCTGCTCGAAGCCCAAGCAGACATAAGATGCAAAGACAGAGTGGGAGAAAATGTGTTCCATATCGCCATCAATGGCCATCATACGTCGATTTGCGAGATCCTGTTCGAGAGGGACGAAGCGGAGAAGCTCATGGGACAAGAAAACGAAGACGGCAAAACGGCTACTCAGATGCTCCTGGACCTGTTGCCAATTGAGACTCGAGATAAGATCAAGTCGATATGGAGGGAGAAGAAGGGAGGCTAGGTACTGACTTTGGCTCTTTACTGCTGAATCTGCTGAGTGAGAAAGCTACAAGGAGAGCCTTGCTGGCATGTGGCTGGCATGTCCAGGATCGCTGGACAAGTCTCGGTCCATCTTTGCACTCTGACACACCCAGGCTCTGCAGCAGAATTTCTTCTCACTCCTACTTGTAGTTTGCATATGCAATTTGATCGACAGCTGCAGGCTTGGAGTGAGGTTCCATGAATGCCGGCACGAGGGGTCGCGATCCAGGTCTGGAGGTTAAATCCAGCAAATCGAGCCAAGATTCCATACTAGGGTTTTGCTTTTGCGATCGGCTATTTCTTCTAGGCGGCTGAATCATTGCAAACGGTCCGTGAGCTAAATGCTCACAAGCGGTGGCAGTGTCCCCTGATCTCGGATAGCAGGACGATGCTGGAGGAAAACAGAGGCATTGACTGCTAGGTCTCGAAGAATCCAGGTGTTTGATTGTCGGTTCGCAAAAGAAGAGACATGAGCGAATGCAAGTAGTAGCCAACAAGCAGCAGCGCTGTCACAAGGTTTGCAAGTTTCGTGACTGGAGGTGAGAGCCATAGGACTCTAAAGGCTTGACAAGACCTTGTAGTACCACATAAAGCAACAAGAAGCTGGCCATCCCATGCTTGGCACGGTGCATGCAGCGGTTGCTGCTTCTGAGCTTCTGGAGGCTCGGCAACTTTCCAATGATAAGCCGTCAATTTTGCCCATTAGGCCTGAATGCCCTAAATGGTCATGCGGCGATCGTTTTAGGTGGTGCGAGTGCTTTTGAGCGAGTTCTGACGCGCGTGTCGATCCGAAGGTCTTGGATAGCTCAGGCTGCTGTGACATCGTCCAAGTGGCGGCTGGTAAGTGCTTCAGTGAATTTAAATGCATAATCTACATGAGCTGTCTGCTGAGGATGCATGGATATGCAGCATTATGTGTTGGGATGCATTCCAGGTCGGCCGGGATGCAATTGACTCCTGGGTCTGGCGCTGTGCTTTCGGGCATCCGTGCGGTGAGAGGTTTGACAAGTTGTCTTTTTGCTGAGGTCGTGAACGAGATTGTCTTTCACTCTGACGCAGCCTGTACGACAAGTATAGAGGCATGGGCACGGGGTCCAAGGTGCACGCGTGCTTTGTATCCAAGGTGCGCGCAGGGGTTGTGGCACAGGGTGCGGAAGCCAGAGAGTGTTTTTGGGCCGGCAGGTCTGGGTGGGGGACCTTGGCTGGGGCCTGGGAAAACTGTGAAAGGCTGGGATGAAAGCCTGCAAGCTCCAAAGGGTTACCCGGAAGACCTTGCTAGAAAATGCCCACCGGTTGCGTGCCATGCAACATGTCCAATTTCTGTTCTCGACAACCTGTACTTCAAAGGCAGGTATCGCATGGCCCACCCCCTAACTCAAGAATTCGGGGGGTGGGGGTACCCCCCCCCTGCAGACGGGATTCTTTTTCTAGATTGTAAAGCTCTAGACCCTAAAAGGTCATGTTGGGTGGCAAGCGTTAAACCCAAAAGGTCATGTTACGAAAATGTCTGAAGCCAAAGCCCAAACCCTGTGAACCAAGACCCTCAAAAAACATGGTGGGTGGCAAGCCCTACGCCCGAACAGAAGATGCTGGGTGGCAAGCACTGGACCCTGAAAGGTCTGGCAAGCCCTAAGCCCCAAAAGGTCAGATTGGATGGCGAGTCCTAAACCCTAGAAGCTCATGTTGGATGGCAAATCCTAAGCGGCTAAAGGTCATGTTGGGTGGCAAGCCCTGAATCTCAAAAGGTTTTAAGCCAAAGAATAGCCAAAAACCTAAAAGAAGATGATGGGTGGCAAACCCTGGACTGTAAGGGTCATATTGGATGGCAAACCCTAAGCCCTAAACAGAAGATGTCGGGTGGCAAGCCCCGGATCCTGAAACCCTCAACCCCAGGAGGTCACATTGAGTGGTAAACCTTAAGCCCTTAAAACTCATGTGGGGTGCCAGGCCGTAAACCCTGAAAGGTCACATTGCGTGGCAAACCTTAGGCCCTTAAAGGTGCTGAGCCGGAAAAAGCTTCCAAGACCCCCTTCTCGAGGCTTCCGGAGGCCTCGAAAGCACTGGCCTGTGCATACTAAACGGACCCCGAAGCCTCCAAGACGGCCTCGAAAACATTGGCTTGTGCGTACTAAACTGGACCCCGCGCGCGCCCTGGACTCCCCCGAGATCCCCCGAGTGCTCCGTGCACCTTGGACGCGCGGGCGTGTGCGCCTGGGACCCCCCTACTTGAGAGGCATCAAGCTTGTGGACTGCGGTGACTTCAATTCTTGTGAATGAGATGGTGCACTCGTTGAAAGAGTCTCGTATTCAATGCGTATCAGGACTTTGGCCGGTTAAACGCACTCATGCTATCTCATGCTACTGAGATCGATGCTGGTCCTCAAGCAAAGGGAGTTCCCCATCGGGGATGAGCATGAATCTCTTGGTAGCATGCAGAAAACGGATGATGTGACATTGGGAGGCTCGACCTTTCCGAAGTCTTCAAGGCAACTTGCAAGTTACAATCAAATGGCTTCGCAGTAATGGGGGCTGGACTGTTGGCTCTCTTGTGGCTTAGCAATGTTTAGTACCTGAGATTTGGCACGCAGGAAACGGCTTGCGGTATGATGGCAGCGCATTCTCTGCGTGCAAAGCCAAGCTTCCAGTAGCGTTGAATGAAAAGTACCTTCAGGTAGCAGCTGGATTGTTGACCTTTCGTAGCAAGACGGGACGCAATGATACCACGGCAAATGTGCTGAATGCTTGATGGGCGGGCAGAAGCTTCGGATTTCCGCTTCAATACCCTGTAGAGACAAAGTTCGTTGATAGACCGCGAGCCGCATCATGGCTGGGGGCGAGACCCCTGGGCAGATTTGACCTGCCAAGGCCGCAGTACGTTCGACCGGCTGGACCCCCTGCTGATGCTTTTGAGGCATCCTTTCAAGATGTACGGTGATGTCAGGAGTAGGCAGGCAAATGCACTGAGATTGCGGCGTACGCTGTGAGCATGTTTACCCATTTTACCCGTAAAGGCAACCAGTGGACCTTGGGAAACCGGTGTTCCATGCCCGTCCTCAGGCTCATGACTGCCACCACATCTAGGACCTCCGAAAACTTGCGCAAGTCCCTTGCAGGTGAGACCTGCCAGATCGGTTTCAATTGGCTGACCGACCAGGCTTCTTCATGAGGCTTGCTTAAAAGACTCGTATAAATCATATAACTACAGCATTGGCAGGTGGATGTGCCTGCCGGAGGCTTTGCGACAATCGGCACGCTCCTCAGCTCAGCAGACAGCTCTGTGTCAGGAGTGTACGTGACCTGAGCTTCGGAATCTCATGCTGCGTCCAGTAAGCCAACTTAGGGCGGCTGGCCGTCGGCTCGGCAGAACCGCGCTGCATCCGCCTGGACCAGAGCACCGAGGCACCGAAAGCGAGTGAGTTCCGTGAGTGCCGTCCCTGCCTCTCGCCCACCCTCCCCGTCTCCTTCTCCCCTCGCATTTCCCGCGCTTTTCCATTCCAAGAAACAAACGTTTGACTCGCTTGCAAACCCTCCCTCTTGCTCAGTTGAGTGGGTGCACGGAAGTCAGTAGCCCTTGCCAAAAACTCTACCTTGCACTTGAGGCCAGCAAGTATGCGACAAACGTTCTGGTGCAGTACTGGTCCGATTCAGCGAGAAGCTGGCTCTGGCCCTGGAAGGGAGCTCTGGGTCCCGGTGGGTCTCTCTTTAGGGTTTCGAGATTCCGTGGAATGGCCTCCTAGCCTCCGAGCCTTTTTGGTCACGCGATCCCTTCCTGGTGCTTTCGTTTTCTACCGACAACGGTCACAACCCCCACCCCAATTCTCGCAACCATTGTGCTTAGGCTCGATCTCTAAGTTGTTCAAGGTTCGTTCATACCGTAAACTTCGTCTCTGCCTGCGTTCTAATTTCGTCGCAGGTCACTGATGCCTTCTCACGGTTGGGTGCATGCGAAGGTCATTCATTACTTGGAGAGAAGTATGAGAAGTATCCCTTATGTCCTTATGTCCTTATGTCCTTATGTCCTTATGTCCAGCTTGGGAGTGCCGACAAAGTACATCCTCAATGGTACTGTCTGATCAGTCTTGCCAATCAGTGTTGAAGGGTGACTTGAACTGCAGGGCATGGCGGTTAGTCAGTCGGTTCACAAGGCGACGTGATACGAAGTTGAGCTTGTGCTTCTAGTAGCCTCTACTGTCTTCTTTTCCTTCTTGTCGCATCCTGGCCCAAAACGTCCTTCAAGTTGTGCGCTTCGGTTTCTTGGACATGGGGTAGATGACAGCTGGCCCCTGCAGTGCCCTCCCAGGCAGGACCACACGTTGTTCACCGCGCTGACCGGCGGAGCTGTAAATCTTCGACTGCCCGAGGCGAAGCACACTTGCTTTGCAGGTCGATGAGCATACCTGGGTTGTGCCAGTGTCTGTAGAGCATGGATGAGCATGGTGAAAACTGAGCGTGAGCTTATCTTTGAGGTCATGCAATCCGTTGACGAAACTGCCTTTTTACAGGGGGTTGAGCTGAAACCCTGGCTGACTTTCCGCCTGTGCCAGGTGCCAGTCCGGTGAGCGGTGCTGTGATAGCAGCTCTACTCCAGCTCTCATGCTGACCTTCAGTGATGTGATGCATGAAAGCCGACAAAAACCAGCGTGCGCTGTGATTGCGCCAGCTTCCGGTTTGCCAGCTTGGCAGCGTTGTGCTCTTGATGGCGCTTGCTGGCCCTGGTGTTCCGAACATGTCCTAACATTACAAGGCTTTTCAAGGTCAATCCGCCGCACCTCCGGGCTCAAAGGGGCAAATGGAGGATCCCGGGCTCTGGCCTTTGCCGGCCCATGCAAGCGGGCACCTCGTGTAGGTTTGCGTGTGCTCGACTTTGTTCGAACTTCTTTGGGGGATTGCTACCAAACAAGGTTCTGGAAGCATCTGCGCGCACTGAATGCCCAGGTCGGCGGTCTTGGTGACCTCCAACTTGCATCAAATGTGTGCATGCAGCTTAACCACGGCTTAAGAGCTGTCACAAGCTGTGCAAAGGATTGACATGGATTCACCCATTTTGGCACATGGTTGAACCCCGAGGATGATGGCAAATGCAGGGCAGGAGCTCCTGAAGCGAATATCGCGCTTGTTCTGGGCTTCTGGCCTGCGCTTCACTGTGCTTCACGTGCTCCTCCGATACGTCAGATGTTGCACGATGTGGCACGGTGCACGCTGCATGTTTCACATCCACCAGATAAAAGTTGCTCCTTGCATTTCTGTTCTGCTGCGTGGAGCAGCAGTTTTGACCTACGCCTTTAGATCACTTACAGGAGCTTCTGAAGCGACAATGCTGCCTGATGAGGCTCGCACAGTGCAAGAATTGCTGAGTCCAAGCTGGAGCTCCAACGAATCAAACCGGGCTCGCTGCCATACTGCAGACCCCACAAATCCCCACAATGCGCCATCAGAAGCTTGCTGCCATCATCGCCCTTCATCGCCCACCATCGTGATATCTTGTTCCTCTTTTGAGCGAGCCTTTTTCAAGTCTGCTAAGGCAGGTTTCCAGAAAACAACACTGCCCCCTCAACTTAATCACTTGGGGAGGCGTTTGTTTAAGGGCTGGTTTCTTGCTTACATAAGAAGGCTTCCACCCGTAAACATTAGTTTGCTCTTTCTTATTCTTTCCTCGTTCCTCTGCTGCAGCGTAGTATGAGCTTCATGAGCTTCGCTTGGAAGCGCTTGAGATTTCCGTTCAAACGTTGAGCGCGACGTGGCGACGCTGCGGTTGTTGCATGTTGCCATCCCCTTCTTCCCAACTTTCTCATCCGAGCTCGAGAGATCTCCATGTGTCGGGGGGCTCGTCTGAGCAGTAAAACCGTTGTGGATCTTAGAGTCGGCTCAGCAGGCCCCAGCTACGCATCGTGACAGACACATGAAACACCTCTAAAAAGCTCTGAAAATGCTCCGGCTGTTCTTTGGGGCAGGCTTGTGCTCAACACAGGGGCTCGTTGGCTGGGGTCAGCGGATTGTGGGAAGCGCATGTGTTTTGCTTGAGTTGGTGCTGGTTGCCAGGCCGACAAGCACATTAACCTGAGCGTCGGCATGAAGATGGCAAGTAGATACATTGCAGATCAGGTTGGCACTGGGCATAATCATTTTGTGCTGTCCCTACTGACAAACGGTCCGCCAGATGCTGGAGCAACGGCATCTCAAAGTGCTGCATAAGACCTTGTCTACTGCCTGGAACAGGACCGTGTTGCCCAGTCACTGACCGGAACTTTGTACGTAAAACGTCCTGAAACCCAAAATGTGTACACACGTGTACACCCAGGACCGGCCAAGTGCAGTCACTCTCTGCAGCTATCGCCCTGATGGAGCAGTCCGTTGGCTGCATCGGACAATGCTGTGCGTGAGAGCAGAGAAGAGAAGCAGAGCCCAAACCCACGCAGAAGGCTGACTTCGCCAAGGTGCTTCTGAACCCGAGTAACCCATTGCTTGCCCCAAGATGCCCCGATCCCTTCTTGTGCACGGGTGCTGTGAAGTGTGCTATCGCAGACATGCTGCGCCGACTAGACTGTTACCAGGGCACAGAGAGCGGCATTGAAAAAGTGGAAGAGTGTGGTAGTGTGGTCTTGGCGTTGTTTTCGAGGGGTTTTGGTGAGGTCTGTTAATTGGTTGGGTTTGGGGTAGAAAGGTATGTTCCTCACTGTGGTTATCCGGACTCAGGTTGGTGTCTCCTGAAAGTAAGATGTAGGAGCTTTGATTCTGACCCCGGCAAGAATGCGCACGGGCTGGGGACAACGGCCTCTGGTGACTCTAGTTAAGCGCCAGACAGGACGACAGCTCAAGCATTTGGGGCCCTCCATGATCTTCCATGGACATTTCTTTCAGGTACGGTGTCGAGCTCACTGAGGATGAGGCTGGACGGGGGCCATACATCACCTGCCTGGGCAGCACGGAGAAATCATTTCTCTCTCCAGTCTCTCTCCCTCTCTTGTCTCTCTCTCTGGCTCTGTCTCTCTTCCTCCGTTATTGTCTCAGTTTTTTTCTGGTAGAGGTGCAGCGGATCGCTTCCATGGAGCAGGAGCAGCAGATCGCAGCCTTAGTGCCGGCCTTGGCGCAGTGCCCATCCTGCCTCACTCCCTGCTGGCGGTGCGTATTCAGCGTGGTACAGCTCAATCATAGCTTTGCCACCTCTTCAGACCAGGTGAATAAGATGCCGCAAGAGTCCAACGAGCAGTTCCAGCAGTTTTTCCTCCAGCTGCAGGCCAGCTTAGAGACTGGGAGATTGCTGCGATGGCAGCGCCTAGCTGTTGGATTGCGCGTCAGCTCTTGGTCTCCACGGCTATGCGGGTGCGAAGCGGATTGGAAGATGGTGCCCCAGACAAAGTCTGTATCTCAGTTGAGCACCACTCAAGAGGGATCGGGAGACTGCACGTCCCAGCCCAGGCCGCTCAGGCACCTTCCTTGAACGTGACAATGTAGTGGCGTCGCACTTGCGCCAGGTCGCCAGCGCCCTCGATGATGCCGACAGCACTGGAGTCACCCAGCACATCCTCAGGACCATCCCGAACCGAGCTGACACGACTTGGTGTGTATGCCATGAGATGAGCCAATGACTCAATGACTGGATGTATGGGAAGAAAGATGAAGAAAGCCGCTTCAACATCTGGCAGGATGGCTGTGGTCCAGGCAGGCAATGAGGCCGGGCCGGGTCGGGGCAGCTTTCTTATCAGTGTCAGTCTCAGCTTTCCGGACAGGCCTCGATGCAGATGCAGGAGTATGAGGCCAACGGAAAGCCAAAGCAATCACAGATCATATGGAATCTGCGACAGAAGCTACTTGAGTGCAGAGGCGTGGGTTCGAGAAGCAGATGAGCAGATGGCCCGGTTAATCCGCGGCCAGGACTTCCGCATGCGAGGAAGAAAGAGTCGGAGAGTCGTGGCCGCGTTCCCATCCGGGGGACCCCAAGGCGTGAGCAGAAGCAGAAGGAGAGGCAGAAGAAGACGAAGAAGAAGAAGAAGAAGAAGAAGAAGACGAAGAAGAAGAAGAAGAAGAAGAAGAAGAAGAAGAAGAAGAAGAAGAAGAAGAAGAAGAAGAAGAAGAAGAAGAAGAAGAAGAAGAAGAAGAAGAAGAAGAAGAAGAAGAAGAAGAATAATAAGAAGAAGAATAAGAAGACGAAGACGAAGAAGAAGAAGAAGAAGAAGAAGAAGAAGAAGAAGAAGAAGAAGAAGAAGAAGAAGAAGAAGAAGAAGAAGAAGAAGAAGAATAAGAAGAAGAAGAAGCAGAGACGTCGTGTCTGCGTCTTGTTTCGTTTGTTTCGCCGCCCTCAGAAGAAGCAGCAGTTGGCTGCGCTACCCCTTCGAATCAGCACGTCTTACTCCAGGACTTTTCGAAGTGATGAGCTCAAGAATCACCAAGAAGAAAAGAAAGCGCGAGACCTTGCTCCCAACCCGCGGAAGGTAGCAGGAAACTTGCATGAACCACAAACTGGACGCGTTGGCACGACCTCAAGGAAAGGCAGCAAGAGAAATGGTCGTGTAGTCGCCATCGGTGTCTCAAACGGCCACGTCCGTCGTTGGGGTTGTTCAGTAGGTTCTTCCTGCAGCCGCATCACTCTTGCTTCCTGCAACCTTGCCCTTCTGGCAGGAAGATGCCATGGCTGCTAGGAAGAAACTCGCCACGCTTCAGGCCTAAACATGAGTTGCCTCCATGCCTGCATGAAAGAAAAAGCAGGGCTGAATGCGTGAACCCGCAGGCACAGCTCCAGCATCAGCGGGACGAGCACAAGGAAAAGTCCAGCAAGGTGCAGTGCCTGAAGCCAGTATAAGCCAGTGAAATCTCGCTGCGGACTCGAGTCAGTGCTGAGGTTTGCATGAACTTTGTGTCCGGGATGACCCAGCAAACAAAGCTAGCGTGTTGGCGCCTAAGTACACAGGCAGGCAGACCCAAGTTCGAGCATTCCAGCCCTTGCCATTGTTTGTACTTGCCTCACGCTCAGGCTTTCAAGGCTGGCTTTCTTGCATGAGGCGTGCAAAGCAGGCCGGGCGGTCAGGATAGGGGAGAAGATCAGTGGAGCCTGCTTGGCCAGTCGCATCTTTCCCTGAAGTTGTTGCCATAGCTCCAGATGCACATGTTCAGGAGGGCTCCATTGCCAGGGAGTTCGAGGCAGGGCCACTTAGCAGTTCGGTGTTGTAACTCTTTCCTGAAGGTGTCGGGAGTGTGAAGCTGCGTGCTAGGAGCAGCTAGACGATGTCCAGCAGCGACTCGTCGACTACAGGCAGTGTAAGCGCGGCATTGGGCAGTCACGGGGAATGCTGGGTGCGATGTGGGAAGCTCTTCCCTTTTGGCTTTCGGGGAATGTGGCCAAGCTTGGACAAGCTTGGACAAGCTTGGGAGGCAGTCCTCGCTGGCGAACGTCCGCAGCTACCTCGCCAAGAAGGCTGATGTAGATTCGTGTGTACGCTAGAGTGTAGGCTGGTGTGTAGGTTGGCGTGTAGGTTGGTGGAAAGGGTGGATGTGGAGCATGGTGGAGCTGAGGCGGCTGTGAAAGAGGTAGACTTGGTTGCTGAAGTCCTCAACCTTTGGCTCTGACCTCATTTTGGAGCACCACTTGCAGCCACCCTGAATGAAACTCTGCATATAGTTGCAAGCTGTATTCACCGTGGTCATCAAGGTATACAGTCATCATCGACCAGAAGGAGTCCGATGCTTTGGCTGGCCAGGCTCAATCGGCAAAAGTCGCCCCCGTTCACGCGTGTTTCGCACATGTAAACATGTTGTCACATCTTTTCGTATATAGCGGCTTTTTGGATGCGAGCCCACAAACTGCAGGTTGAAGAGCTGAGCTGCAAGCTCGCCTCTGCTCAAGGTGCTCAGAAGGAGACCACGAAGAGGGTCGCTTGACGTGACGTCTTTAACAGCAGCTGTGACCATGTTGGTATCTGTGGCTGGGGCATCTAGTGATTCGTAGTGATTCGTGGTAGCGCGAGGTCATGGAGCGCATGAATGCTGCCCGAGATCTGTCACTGCTGGGACAGTGTGTGCAGTGTTGCGGCCTTGTTGGCTCTTGTGGCTCATTGCGGCTGCCCAGAGGCTGCGCCCAGAGGCTGCCGCAGCCGAGACCTGATTTCTCTGTCTCTCCATCTTTCCCAGGCTGGGTTGCAGAGGTTGAGGACAGCAAGAAGCAGGGCGTCTGCCCAACCTGTTTGGCGTGATTTGGTTTGCATTGCTACACATGGGTCCAGCCGACATGTCATTGCCTGAATCACCCGGAAAGCCAGACGATGCGTGATGTCCTGGCTGATGCCAAAGCCCGCTTGCAGTCGTTTCTAAAGGCTCGCGCTTCTTCTGCTTTTCCTAGGCTTAAGGATGTTTCGGGTTTGAGGGGGGTCGCTCTGGGGCAGTGCGAGTCTGGCTCAGGGCAAGTCGGAAGCTTCCATGAAGGCTCGGATGGGTGCTTGCATGTTGCTTCAAGTGCATGAATGTTGACCTTGGGGCAAGAGGTGTCAGCCTGTTTGCCACACATGTTGGCACATTTCCGGAATCACCCTCCTCACACTTGTGCAGGTGCTGAAAATGGCCCTCGGCGGTACCGAGACCGGACTCTTGACTCAGGCAGGGCCAAGGAGTCTTGACATGCGTTGACCTGCGATACCCCACCACCATCTCTCAGATTCCTCGGTTTTTCTCCAGGGCCCACAGAGATCACACATTCACATTGGAAAAGGCTCTTGGTTGCTGGAAGTCTCAAGTGCTTGACCTGAAGAAGGAAGTCGAGAGCTCAACTTTTTGCCAATGATCTGGGCTGAAGCTGCAGGGGCGAGAAGCTGCGAGAACACTGAGAGTACACTGAGGCAGAGTTGGAAAGAATAGTGCAAGAGAATGCGAAGCAGACGGCCGTTCCTGGCTTGCATGTGGCACATTTTTTGGGCATTCGTTCGCTTGGCGATGATGCCAGCCTTGGCACATACAGCCGGCACACGGCTGGCACATGGCCATTGTGGCATCCCCAGGTCTATGGCGACGCGAGGACAGCCAACGACAGAGCCAAGTCTGCCAGAACAAGTCACGTGATACAAGTCGCATGATGCAAGCCTTGATCCAACTGTGGCGAGCGGTTCGATTCGCGGGTCGAATCGAACAGGAAAGCCGTGGCAAAGGCTGCGATGGAAAAAGTTCAGTTGTGCGCCGCCCCTTTTCGTAGTGAAGTCTAGCAGAGTCTAGCCGCCACGCTACCCGGTCGACATTCATCAACACTCCGCATCTTGCAGTTACTCGGAGCAGTCCCTCCTCATGGAGACCTTCCATAACTGGAGGCAGTTGTGAGCAGTTGCGAAGGAGCAGCATGAGCAGCTTCAGATAGCCTCAGCTCCAGAGACCGGCAGCTGTAGCTCCTGTAGCTCCTGTAGCTCCTGTAGCTCCTGTAGCTCCTGGCAACTTCGGTAAGCCGTGCTTTGCAGGCTCGATACCAGAGTGGAGGTGACGCTCCAGAAGTGCGCAGACAATGTGTGCAGCGTATTTCCCACCTCCTAGCATCTCGTACCATCTGACATTGGCGTGACGTGAGCTGGCGTGAAGCCAGCTGAGTTTGTGATTGAAGTTCAATTTCCGAGTGTGGGAGTGTCGGAGGGTCGGAGCAGGGTTGGATCGAGCAAGTTCTCATCCGTGCCAAGCACCACGGCTCTTCGTAAAATGTTTGGAGTCCTCGAATGGGATTTCTGAAGCAACAACTGGTTGCTAGGTACCATGCACGCATTGAAGCGAAGCGCCAGCAGCTCACTGGAGTGCACCAGGTGCAATGGCTATCAGCGGCTATGCATCATCTGTATTGTCAGTGTGACACAGCACAGATGTCGAGAGTCAAGTCGATGGGCCGCAGATGTTCCGCACCTTCGCGCACCAGCTTGAAACAAGCCTGAAGAAAAGCTGCCACCTTGGTGAGTGCAGACAAGTCGGGTCGTTCACCATCGCTCCAGGACGTCAAAAAGCCCTGCGCTAAGGCGTGGATTCGGAGAGGACCTCGACCCTCAGAAGGCAGGGCCATGTTTTTGTTTTTGCTTTCCAGCCGCCCCAAAAAGGAAGGTTGGTGTCATGATGCCAGGACGCGGACCCTCCACAAAGCTGATACCGGCAGTGTCTCCCTTCCGGACATTCACAAGCCCAGTTCTTAACTTCACTGCAGGGCTCGGCAAGGTCGCGCTTTCTGCGCGCTTGTTGATGAATGCAGCATTCGATGCTCCGTAGAGACGACTCGGCCAGTTTGCTTTGGGCCAGTTCTCGTTCCTAACTTCCCGAGCTTGCATTTGTGTTTGCGTTCACCTGGGCTTGGGCTTTGAGGGGTCGAGGCCGATGCTGCAGCTTTGTTCTGGGGTAAAATCAAGTCAAGTTCGGGTTAGATTTGTTTTCGGGCTTTTCGGCGACAGGGCTCTGGGAAACTTCGCCAGAGCAGTCCTCTGACCTCTGCCGAAATCTGTCGGAGCCATCCTTATGTTTAAATGAAAAGGTTCAAAGGAAGGGTGCAAGCTTAGTCTTGAGCATTGTCTTCGTAGGAAACTGAGGGGGCTTGCAGGATCGCCTCTTAACCTCTCCGTCTGCAGGTCTTGAAGCGAAACTTGGCGTATCGGCCCGCGGAGCAAGCCTGTCGCTTCGTGCCAACCAGAGTTCTGCGGAAAAAACGAGAAGGGCGCAACAATATGGCCAACCACGCAGAAGACCTTATTGATCGAATGGTCCAGCTCCTGGATTTCTTCTGGATTTCGTGAAGAACAGGTGCCGGTCCAAACTGCCAGACCGTCCGGGCCCTGCCCAGAGAGCTTGTGCCCGTTATGAGTCCGGCGGAAGATGTCCTCACAGCTCCAGAGATCACTGTTAGCCTCCGCAACAAGTTCTTTTTGACAGCATGTCTTGAACATTCTTGGACCAGAGCCGGTGTGAGCATCACTCAACGGTGTCGCAGACTAAATCTGAGCAGGGAAGCTTGGGGGATGGAGCTCCTCCAAAGGGCCAAAAAAAGAGAAGGGCTAAAAGCATTCCAGAAACTTCAAGAAGCTTCAACTGCTTCTGTGCTCGAGATCTACACAAAGGAGGTTCGGAGACAGAGCTGTGTTAAGCTGTGTTATAGCTGCTGGGGAAGTCGGGAAATCCAAATAAACGCGAGGAACAAAATTTCTACGTCTTCGTATGACAATTTCCGCAGTTTTCGAGTGCTGGTTTCAGGCAGCTTGAAGTGGCAGACAGCGAGATCATGTGGCAAGAGGCGGTCCATTGTCAGAACAAAGTGCACCGGTTCGTCGAGCCGCAAGTTTGCAACCCGAGTGGGTCCAATGCAACCCAAGCTTCCGTCGCGAAGTTCTGCAATATTGCATGCAGACAAGTCGGTACATCAGCTGAGAAATAAAGAAGGAGTTTGTTTATGCATTGCGCTTCTGGATCCAGATTGTGAGCCCCCCCCCCGCCTCTCACGTGAAACCTTGCTCGAAGCAATGTGAAGCCTCGTTCGCGTAGATGTGAAACGCATAGATAGATGTGAAGCTTCAAATGTGAAACCTCGCTCGCATCAACGTGCTAGAGCCATGCCAGGCAGTATCAACATGTGCCATGTTGATGTTATCATGCACGGCATGTTTGGCGTGTTTGGCGAGTAGCAGCGGAAAACGTGCTAGAATCAGATACAGCGTCCCTAGTCGCTATCTCGCTCAGGCCGGGCTCTCCATCTGCAGATCCGATAAAGGCAGCTCGATTGTTCACACAGCACACGACTGTCACCAGACTTTGTCACCAGACTGAGCTTCATGCGCGTTCTCGGTGCCAGGCAGAGGCGACACTGCCACGAACGGCCTGGGGATGAACGGCAGAGGCGACGAATGTCTGTCCAGATTGGCACCAGAGACTTTACAACGCACTGGCGCAGGCAGACGCAGTTTCCACAGTTGCAGCTGCCGAGAATAGATTTTCCCGCACAGCTGGAATTGGTGGAGTGCGACGGACGCAGTGACCAGTTCCCTGCCAACACCTTACTAGACTTCGGCCTCTTGAGCCGATGTAGGGCCTAAGGGGTTTCCAACCCAACAGCAGCCCCGTACCTTCCAGAACCTCTAAACACCAGAACAGGGCCAGAACATCCAGAACCGCTAGGGCTAGGGCTGGAATTAAAGTCGCTCGACTTTCGTCTGTTCCATGCTGTCCGCATGCCGCGAAGCTCTCAGCGTTCCCCATTCCCAGTAGGGTCACTAGGGCCTTTCGGTCCAATATGCAGTCGTTCTGCAGTCGTACAACACTGACTGTGATCCATGCTGTTGCTCACTGCTTCTTCGAGTACATCTCTAAGACACAAGAAAGACTTTGCCTAGTGTTGGCGTAGTGTTCACTTGGAACCAGTCTCACCATTGCCCGCTTTCACCAGGAGTAGATGCATTCTGATAAGGTGCATACGTCTTTTGTGAGTCTTAACAGCGCATTCAACACAACCAGCGAGTTTGAAAGATAGTATGTTCGCCATCAGCTCGGGGCGGGCTTCCGAAGGAAACCCGCCCCTTGGTGTGAGGCCCATGCGCTGGGCGCCACGTGCCTTGTCAGTCTGCTTAGAGCCACGTCTCACCGTTCTTCGCGAGCCCATTTCGCATGGCTGACCGCAGCCGCGAAGCCGGGCACCCAGACGACAGATTGTGCAGTCAGCGCGTTGGCGTTGGTACATCTGCCCATCCCATCAGACGAACGAGAGTGCTACCAAGGCGATTGAGTCGCAGGCTCAGAGGCACGAGAAAAATGCGCGGAAGCCGTCTTGCCCGTGAGCCTTTTGTTGGGATCCGCGGGTGTCAATTTCAGCTTTGGGACAAAGGGCCACCCCGAATCCTTTCAATCAGCCCCAATGTGATAGGGGCAATACAGGCGGAGAGCTGTCATGCGCTAAAGTTTGTGCTTCATCAGTCTAGAGGTGGTTTCGCCCTTGGCTTCAAAAATATGATGTCTACATCGGAGGCATTTCATAGTGATTGGCTGTAAGTGCACCAGAGTGGGTTTGTAACCACTGCAGAAAGTGGACGGTGCACATTTGGTGCACACTGCATTGTACTCAATCGTCCACAGCTCGGGTACGTGACGTGCGACACCAGTATGTTGGGTAGCCTTCAAAAGGGTTTCAGAGCCACCAAGCTGCAAATGCTGCAACTTCATGTTCCTTGATTTGCTGCACGTGGCTGGTTCAGAACGGTCTGTAGGAGGTTCTTGGTGTTTGAGGCCGAATCAAAAGGCCCGTGTGCACATGCTCGCCTCCTGTGCGTGACTAATGTTCTTCCTCGTGGACTGTGAATCAAGGCGGCAATGTCGCCGCAGGCTCTGTCGCCGCAGCTACCCTCTCAGCAGTGTCAGATCAACTTGGTCGATTTGGAAAGATATTGTGCGGACCACTGCTGAATCGAGGAGCACAGGCACGATGAAAAAGAGCTTCAGCAGCGGGACGTTGCAGAAGTCCGGGCAGGCACTGGGTGAGCATCCGGCACTACCCATTTTTGTGATCCGTGCATCGCGAAACCTGCTGGAGGCTACGATCACAAGCCCAATGGCTGCAGTCCGTGTCTGAGTATTTGATTCAAGAAGAATCAAAAAGATTTCTCTCTCGTCTTCGGCTGTGCTGCAATATGCTGCTTCACATTCTTGCGCTACCCGTAGGACATTGAGATGCCGAAGCTTCCGAAGTATCTCAACGTTACGGGCCTTACGAAATTCAGGCCTGAACAAGCATGTATTCGAGCATGCCAATGGGTGCTCGAGACAACCGGGGGTGCTTGCTGTTGTTCTGACTTGTTCAGTGGTTGCCTGCTTCGAGCTGTGTTGTTCAGGAAGTTGCCAAGCAGCACGGGCAACCTCCATGGATGGCTAGCAGAGGCCGGTCTAACGCTTGTAAGTTCGGAACCTCCACCCCCCACCCTTTTCTTTCTGCACGTCTCTGCAAAGGATTACAGTCAGATCAATTGGCCGTTGCCGAAGATGTTCGGCAAAGAGAAGTATGGATACAGAAGCTCGGCAGACGTTATAATCACAGCAAATGTGCTTGAGGCTGTGCCTTGCACCAATTGGCAATGTGCATATATGTGCATGTGAGACTTGTGAGTGCAGGTAGAGTGCAGAGTGCAGTGTGGCCGGAGTGTGGCCGTAGTGTGTGGCCGTAGTGTGGCTGTTCTCACAGGTATGATCGATATAGATGATCCGCGGTATATCAAGGCCGGGTCACCGTTTAGCGGGAAAAGGCAAGAGGGAGATAAGCAGAGATGCCCGAGTAAAGGTCAGCTGCGATCAGTTTCGTTGCATGAGCTTGTGTGGCTTTGTGCACACAAGCGAGAGCAACGTGGCCCAGGGCGGTGTAAGGCTAAGGCCATGCAGGCCCTAAAAATCCCAAACATTTTTTCAAGGGACGAGGGGCTTGCAGACTGCCTGGACTCCAAGAGGGAGTGAACAGTACGATAAGGATGAGAATTGTAGAGGGGTGGCGAAGGAGGATAAGACGACAGCCCTAGTCATGGTGTTGCGTGAGCTGAAGCCACTCATCGACTTCATTGGGCTTGCAGGAGTGCGCCTTGATGTCGCAGAAACTCATTCGGTTGCACTACGACCAGCAGATCATTGACTATACGCGCAGTCCCGAGAATTGGATCTTGCACCTTTCCGGAAGCCATGCGCTGTGGGACAAGGTGGAGAAATACGTACAAAGCGTTGCTGACAGCGGAGCACCGCCAGGAGAGTCCATGCACTTGACATGGCAACTGCCATTTGAATGACCTGCGTTTGTTTTCAGGCGACTTTGCCAAACAATTGTGCTCAGAAAACCAGGGACCTGATGAAGAAGGAGGTGAGGGAAAAAGGAGTCATGTGGAGCTGTTTCTTAGCTTGCCGATACGTGTTTGCACAGGTGGATTCCTGCATGAAACAGTTGCTGGAACTCCAGCAGCAGAAGGACGGGGGTAATTCCTTAAACATGCTTCTAGTTCACGTTGTTGGCGGCACACGGTATCGCAGGACATGTATGAGCAGCAGATCAAAGAAATCTACGACAGATGCGACGCCATCAAGGCAACCATCAAGAAGGCCAGGGGACGTGAGAACAGACTCTGGATTCTCGATGGTTCTTCGTGAGACAATTAGTGTGACACCCTTTGCGCTGAAAAGGAAAATGATTTGGAAGACCTCCGATTGACGATGGAGAAGCAGACCAAGGAGCTATTGAGCCACCCGTCCTCGTAAGTGTTCCCGAGTCTCGCAAGTCCTTGCAAGTCCTTTCGAGTCCTTGCGAGTGCTTGCGAGCATTAGCGGCAGGAGAAGATCTCCAGTGACTCGCCTTTTTGGAAGGCTGGGCAGTCAGGGCAGGCCCATGCCCTCAGAAGCGCTCAGAAGCGCTCAGAGCTCGGCAGGCCAAGTTCAACATCCGCTCAGTCAATGCGCCGCCGAGGAGGGAATTGGAGTCACCTTGTCCGAGCATTGTCCAAGCACCCTAGAACTTTCAGAGGTCTTCATGGATGCTGCAGATTCTTTTCTCGAATCTCTTTCCGACGCTCAGGGGTTCTGGCGCTGGTTCCATCGACTACTAGGCCCACAGTTTAACTCCATTGCAATTGTGAACGCTGTAGTCAGCGACGACGAGGGCACTGCTACTGCTAAGGCGCCGACCCAAAAACCCGAGGGCATGAACCCCATGAACTTGCCCGACAGCTGCGTAAACCGCAAATACTTCTGCCCCTGACAACACTGCATAAACGGAAGGCAGTGAGCGAACGGCATTAAGAGGCTCTAGAGCCCTCCACCTGCCAAAATGGCTTCGGAGGCCTCCAAAAACCAGAACCTCAGCTCATCGTTTTGAGTAAGTGCTCCATTCCTTGCGCGAACTCTTTTTGGAGTCCTGCGCTGCGAACAACCTCGATGCGATTTTTTTACTTAAGCCGATCTTATGCAACTGTTCTGGAATTCGGGTGTTGTTCTTCGGGCCAGACACGAGAGTCCGTTTTTAGAGGTCATGGCTTTTAGCATGCTGCCGCCAGATTTGCGGCTTAAGTCTCTCCTAGTTTTCCCACTTCTCCTATCTCCCAAACAAACTGCACACCCGGCACGCCCTTGTGAAAGCACCCAGCTGAAGAAATCGAAAGTGAAAGCGCCTCTCATTTCCGGCTTGGGCTCTCCGTCTCTTCTCACAACGAAAAAGTTTTCCCCACGCTCAGTCTCATTCGATGGTGTTTTAGACTTGGGTCGCTTCACGGACGACTTTGGTACTCACCGATGTCGACTATGCCAAACACTTGGTTCGGAGTATCCACGGATTGGAACATGATTGGAAGATGTTGGGAATGCAACATGCTGAAGGCTGAAAGAGTAGGGTCGAGCGATGTCGAGGGCAGGGGCCGCTACACCCGATGCAATCAGCTGAGGCATAGTGCTCTATAGCATAGCTGTGCATAGCTCTCATCTCAGATGGGTATCCAGGTGGGTATTCTCTCAATCATGTCCGGCAGGTGTGCAGTGCTTGACTGCTGTGAGTTTCACCTTTTCCAACGCCATTGTAGGAGGCATTGCTGCTTGTGCATCTTAGACATATTGCTAGTCGGGGGACCTGATAATTTCATGGTATCTAAAACGTGCAAGCAAGAACCAGTGTCACCAAGTGTCACCTCAAGTGCCAGGGGCCTCGGTCTGACAAGGCATACCCACCAACACTCAGACTTCAACATGTTGCAGGTTGTTTTGTTTTGCTGGTCGTTGTAGATTTCATGCACCAACTCGGGGCGGGCTTCCGAAGGAAGCCCGCCCTTTTGGTGCAAGGCCTGGTGCCCGTGCGCTGGGCGCCATGGGCCTTGTCAGTCTGCTTTGAGCCACGTCTCACCGTTCTTCGCGAGCCCATTTCGCATGGCTGACCGCAGCCGCGAAGCCGGGCGCCCAGACGACAGCTTGTGCATTCCGGGTGTTGCGCGGAAAGGGTGTAGATGCGGATGTTAGTACATCACTGGTACATCTGCCCACCCCCATCAGACGAAGATCAGAAGCTCGCACGAATGCTGAGAGAGTGCTACCAAGGCGATTGAGTCGCAGGCTCAGAGGCGCGACAAAAAAAGGGCGTGGAGCTGCCTTGCCCGCACGCAGGCCTTTTGTGCGGGATTCGTGGGTGTCCATTTCTCACGTGGCAAGTCTTTGGTCTGTCCCACACAGGAAGAGTCCACCCATACTCGTGCCGGCTTTCCAGAAAAGAGAGCCGGCCACAGCAGCATTTGCATCTTCTTGCTGCGCAGCTTGGAGTCTAGGTCTGCAGGCTCATGTAGATCGTATCACGGATTTGGCCCAAACCTTTCGGGAGGGACGGTGGCGCCGAGACGGGTGAGTGTGAGGCATCCAATGGCATTTCTCAACGTTGATGGGATTGGGTTTTGTTCACTGTTGCTCCTGTGCATGACAATGCCTGTATCGAGGGGTGCCCAAAGACATTATCAGTGTCCCAACGAGTTCTTGTATTGAGTGTTTCTTACCCTTTCTGAATAGGCTTCGGGGCTAAAGTTGTGTATTTCCTTCCTCGTAGAATCGGTTGCTCTTGGTTGCTACTCCGGAAGAGAAGCGCTTTCCTTAAGTTCTTACTCAGAATAGTGTGTCATGTGTCAAGAAGAAGAAGACGAATGCTCTGTTTCATCTAGTGTCTCAAGAAGACCTGGGATGCTCTTTAGGTTCAATTAGAAATTTAAGAGGAGACGAGTGCTAAGACAAGCGCGAGCGTACTTTGATGATATCAATCAAGTTCAAGGCAAGCTCTGTCATTTATGTGAAGAAGTATAGAGGATAGAGGGTTTTGATAGAGGGTCTTAACTCTGAGCAAGCGCCGAAGCTCTGTCATTATTTGATTCTAAACATTGGGCTCTCCCATTTCTTTCATCGCTAATGTTCGTACGGGTAGGCCTACGGGTAGGCCTGTGGGTAGACTGCCCGTAGGCCTATGGTAGGCCTGTGGGTAGGCCACCCGTAGGCCTACGCCCTACTGGCAGGCTACCCTAGGCCCTAGGTAGCCTATACGAAGGCTACCCAAAGGCCTACGGTAGGCCTACCCATGGGTCGGACGTAGCCTTGTTCTCGCTCTTCTATATACAAGAATCAGCCGCTTGATCCCGAAAGAGCTGCGTAGCGTTTTCAGCGGAGTTTCGGTTCTTTCCTATTTTCCCTCTTTGCTTCCTCTGTCGTCCTTTCTTTTGCTCTTTTTGTGATTTTTTGCTGCTTTGTCTTTTCTTGTGCCAACGAGCGCGCGGCGTGGCGGTGGAGCCCTGCATCTGGAGCACGTCTCAAAAGTTGATGCCCCTTCGCGGACGCAGACGTCCAGAAGCGAAACGCTCGGAGAACGTAGCAGGCGCAACCCGTGAATCAACCCTTGGTCACCCCAAGCAAGGATGGCACAAACTCACGAAACTGATCATGGGCCTCCCCTGCGCTGAGTTGCGTTTTCCGGTCTTTTCCTCTGTGACAATGCGAAAGCACCGTGCCATGTTAATGCCCATGGTGCGCCGTTTTGAGTACAAGATGTGCAGCAGCCTTTGCGTCATGCCTCGTACGGTTTTTCCTGCAAACGGATGGTCTGTAAGCAGAAATCGACAGATGAACAATATTTCTGCGTCGGTGCGTGGCAGTTTCGCTGCGTGGTGTGTGCGTGTATGTGTGTGTCTGTGTCTGTCTGTCTGTCTGTCTGTATGTCTGTCTGTCTGTCTGTCTGTGTGTGTGTGTGTGTGTGTGTGTGTGTGTGTGTGTGTGTGTGGGTGTGTGGGTGTGTGTGGGTGTGTGGGTGTGTGTGGGTGTGTGTGGGTGTGTGGGTGTGTGGGTGTGTGGGTGTGTGGGTGTGTGGGTGTGTGGGTGTGTGGGTGTGTTGGTGTGTGGGTGTGTGGGTGTGTGGGTGTGTGGGTGTGTGGGTGTGTGGGTGTGTGGGTGTGTGGGTGTGTGGGTGTGTGGGTGTGTGGCTGTGTGGGTGTGTGGGTGTGTGGGTGTGTGGGTGTGTGGGTGTGTGGGTGTGTGGGTGTGTGGGTGTGTTGTGTGTGTGTGTGTCTCCTCTCTCTGTCTGTATGCGTGCTAGATGAATGTATGTGATGTATATGTGTACACAGACATTGGCGTAATTGGCTAACTCCCCAGGAAAGGAATTTTAGCGCCCATCCCCAACCTCCGCAAGCCAGATTCCACATGGGCAAGAAGGGGCAGGCAGCTGCACCAGAGGCTGTAGAGGACAGATATCGCTCAACACACGCGTCGTTGATGTTGATATTCTGTGACCGTAGCTTATATGATATTGGGCTGATGTTTGTTTTCGCTGCCACGTTGTCAAAGAACAGTTCATTGCGAGATATTGAGACTCTTGAGATTCTTGAGATTCGAGAGGACCCCTCGGAGGATGAGGAGGAACGTGAGGCCGGCCGTTTTCAATTAGCGATGGCCCTCCATTTCTCACCGCACACCGCTCTAGGGCACATCGTTTTCCCAAACCTTGACACTCAAAACTCCGCAGTAGAACGACCGGAAACCCTAGGTAAGCATGGGCTTTGAGGAAATAGCCATCACAAGCTCTTTTTTCGGTGCTTGTCATTCTTGGGATATTGGTTGCACAGTTTCCGCAGGTAGGTCCTCCGCTTCCACCAGAAGCCGCATGGTGCCCAGCAACCAGCTGAAACGGGATGATTTGCAATTCGCTTGGCAGATGTATGCACTCTAAGATGCCCCGAGGCCTCCAAGATCCTCAAGGGGTTGGACTGGCAGGCAGATAGCCTCTTTTTTCACATTCCACATCCATCGGAATCCATCCAGTTCTGTTTTTTTTTCCCGGGATGGCTGCTGGAAGGTTTGCATGATGCCCTGCACGCGCCAGAGATACTTTTACTCCAAGACGAGGCAATGCTCAGTGCAAATATGGTGCGACATGATGCGACATTGACCATGTTCCTGCTTGTGGCAGGCGGCAGGCGCGGGTGCAGCCGCCCTACCATTCCATCCTAGGCTTGGAGGACTTGTGCGGGAGCATGCGGGAGCATTGGGTCCTTCAGGTCCTTTCTTGAAAACGTGGAGCTGGTGATGCACGCGCTGCCATTTGTGATCGTAGCAGTAAAGGAGCCTCCCTTCAACAGCAGGACAAACGCATGGTGAGCGATGAATAGTGGAGTGGCGCCTGTGTCTTTTTCAGCAGCTTGCATTGTACGATGCTTCGTCCCGTAAGCAGACAGCATGCGGGGCATCTGGCCGCTACCTCCAGCTCATGACTTGCACCGCTGCTCGGATCCAAGGTAGCTCATGAGCCAGGCATTTTTGCGCCCAATGCATGTTGCTTGTGCGGCTCCTCAGGCAGCAATGTCCGCCATCGGCAAACCGTGAGCATATTCCTGAAGGCTCAAAAATCTTGTTGCTGTTGTGGCCTGTCCATCTCATTCGCGAGGTGCACCTGCCTGTCTGTTTGTGTGCCGTCTTGTGTGCTTCCTCGTGCTGCTGTCGGGGCCGCAGCGGTTGCAGAAACAGGGTTCAATGACATTTGTTCCTCTGTATTCTTACGCATTCTTAAGCTGCTTGGTGCAGACTGCCAGGCACGGCATGGCGTGGACCTCCACAGTGCTGGTTCATCTGGAGGCCCGCCCAGTTCACTTGGCGCTTCTGCGGTGTTTGTAGATGTTGGTAGTTCCAAAATGTTCCAAAAGCATCAGGCCAAGTCAAGCTCGTAGGGAAGGCAAGGTGAAAGGTTCGCACTGAATCCAGTACGACGTCGGAAGGGCTCGAAAAGTGTCTGTTTTGATATGCTGCATCTGGGGTCAACAATTGCTTGCTCTTTGTTGCTATGTTAAGCTGATCGACACTGGTGCTAGCCGATCGAGTTCCACGTGCGAGAGAGGCATAGAGTAGCGAGCTTCTACACCTGCTATAACACTATAACATACTATAACAAAGCCAAGCTGAAGCTTTTGTTTTGTCATTCGGTGCTGACCCCGGATCAAAAGTGTGTGCCACAGTCGGCAGGCGACAGGCTTGGAATGCTGACGTGCTTGCAGCGTCGGCCTTGGTCTGTTTGGTATGATGACAGAGTGGCCACTACGCTTGTTACATCGAACAAGGAGGGGTCAGCAGAGATCTTAACTAGGTTGAGAGAACCGTGTAGGCATCACATGGGCGAAACACTGTTTAAAACATTTTGGCAGCGGTGTGAACCTGGGGGTGTTGGGAGACTGCACCGACTGCACCCAGGCAATGACGGCAGGACGGGATACTTTGACGGACCCACAGATTTCCACAGTGTCGGAGTCCGCTTCCTCGGACATGGAACTTGCCAGGGCAAGACTTGAGCGGCAGATTTCCCGAAGCTTCGATGGTAACGTACTTCTGCTTTGTAAGCAGTGTCGATCAACTGTGGCAGCCCTCAGATTCTGCACGGGGAGCTCCAGACACTTCAATCCGTCCGGCTATTTGTTTCACATCGGCGAGTTTTCAAGGGCGGCAGGTGTCAAAGCGGTGGGTGAGGCCTGCTCGGCAGATTCCTGGTTCCAGGGATGCGCATGGCGCATCGCGATCTGCCGTCAATGCCAGACTCAGCTAGGCTGGCGATATGAAAGTGCTGCGACATCGGATTCTGGAACCTTCTGGGGCTTGATCTGGAACCGCTTGCTGAAGGCTCGCAGGCCAGACAGCTAGTGGCAGTGGCAGTGGTTGTGGCCAAGCTCGTGGGCGAGAACAGACTTGAAAAGAGATCTCCTGGGACTTAGGAGGAGCAGCATGCAGAGTGGTTACGGCAAGTTCGCGGACGAGAGATCATCTCTCAAAAGGCTTGGACGTCTTGATCTCTACTGCAGCAGGGGAGCCCATGGGAGCCCCTCTAACCCCTCTTGTGGCTCTCCGTCCAGCTCTGGGAAGCGACTTCTTAAGTGTCCCCTGGAAGATACGTCGGTGTGGTGTGGCTGGTCAACACTTCAAGCGACTCAGAGTGCTTCAAAGCATTCCCAAACATGAATGTTGAGCAAAGTTGAGATTAGCCCCTGCAGTCCAGATCTCATTCGGATGCAAAAGTGTCATTGCTTCTGCACTGTGGGCTGGATGCAGAAGACACTGCTGTGGTGTGTAGGGCAGGGGTCAATGGTTTGTGCCGTGTTTGCACAGGAGTCCAACTTCAAAAGCCTGACCAAAGATGACCTCTGGCAGGCCACTCCTTGTATGGCTTTGACGTCAGCTTATGAGCGAAGCGCTTCCACCATATACGGGATGCACGGGATGCACTGCGGCAGGCATTCTTTACGAAGCGGATGATGTACAAGCGCCGAGAGGCCAATGGCTCGCTGTCGGAGGCCCCTGTCGCACGCTGTTCGGGTGTCAAGTGGTTACGGCCAGGGGAGGTAAGGAAGGAAATTGCAGGGCTGCCCCATAGCCTTTAAGACTTTAAGAGGAGCTGAAGGACGCTGACGACCAGGTGGACTGGGACTTGGTCATGGAGGTGCCGGGTTGTGCATCAAGGCAGGTTGACGGAGTTGCGAGTCGTCCCGACAGGCCTTTCGCGTCCTGTCGGGGCACGAGGCAGGCTGAGCCGTAAGAAACGGCTGCGTCATGGAAAGGAGGGAGAGCGATGGACTGACGGACTGAGTGCCAACGGACTAAGAGACCGCCTCGAGGCGCGCTCGGCCTACGAGCAGGGCAACCTGGCTGCTCATGCCCAGCCGAAGTCCGAGGGCTGTGCGGAAGACAGCAGCATTGACAAAACGGAATGAAGTAGAGGCATAGGCTACAGAGAGGTATCGTCAGGTATTAGATGACCAAACTGTCCTTAGGCGCCAGCTCCTGGGGCTCCGGGCTCTTCCCCCAGTCTTTTGCAGACTTTTTGAAGCAAATTGCAGAGTGGGGGCGCTGGTGCGTCGGCTTAGCAGGCTTGAGTCTCGCTCGCAGTATCGCCTGAAGTGTCGCTTGAGTCGAGTGCGTTCGCAAGGTCATGCACGAAGCCAGAGTGCAAGAGGAGGAGCGACGAAGAGCAAAGGACGGGTGCCACAAATCTGCATCCATTTCTAGACCTTTCGCTCCTGCGTATGGTAGAGGCTCCTGCGAAAAATCTCTAGATCCCTACACGCCTCGACAGTTGTCTGTGGTGGAGCTGAGGAGTGTAGGGCACTTCGGCCAAACCGGTGAGATTTGGTGGGTAATTGGTGGGTAATGCCAGGAAGAAGAAGCAGAAGCTGCACCTGCAGATCAGGAGTGACTTGGGGCTGCTCGAATAGAGCGGCGCTGCCTCCTTCATCTTCTTCATGCCAAGAGAGCTTCTTGCCTTCCGTCCTCCTGGTTTCACATGCGTGTTGTGTCACCCAGCATTGTGTATGCGAGAACGGGTCGCCGGTTGCGAGAGAGAGAAAGAAACCGCGAATGATGTACCAGAAACTGTTTGGGGTGTAACCGGTGTAACCGGTGTAACCGGAAACTGCGGGCCCAGGCCAAGCACGGAAGCCAACAAGGTACCGGAAACTAGGTAACTAGGCCAAAGACGGGCTGTAACGCGTAAAGCGCACCAGGCCCTCAGCTCAAGGCCCCAGGTGTCCTTCGGGACTTCTGGGAAGATGACTTGCGGCTATGCGGCTATCCTACAAGGTGGGAATATGTGGCAATGAGAAGGGCGTACTTCTTCGGGTTGAGGCAGCACCTGCTAGAGTTACCGTACACACATATCCATGGTGTGTTGCTTTGCAGAGGTACTTCTCGTGTCAGGGAAGATAGCTTTGTTTCCGTTCTTGGTTCCCGCTGTAGCTGCGTGTGGTTTTCCATATGACCGGTTGGTTTTCTACGGGCTCACCCCTGGAGTTCAGCCACGGGTTTCAGCCTAGTTTCCGATATTTTCCGTTTGGATTTCCGACCACCGTGAGCAACCAGAACCGGGGTTGAGCTTGATGCATTTCATCTAATTTCAAGAATCTAGAAGTTGATAGTAGAAATTCCTGATTTGCAACAAGCATGGCCGTAACATCGCTCAGGCACTTGCTCGATTTGCTAAACGTGGCTCGGTTAAGGCTTCATGCACCAGCCGTATCTCGTTTGTTTCGCTCACTAGTAGCCATCACTGTGGGCTGCAAGACATGTATCACCCTCATCACATCTCATCACCCTATAAGCAACTCTAGAGCAGAGTTGCGGTGCCATGCTTTGCCATGCTCTGCATTGCAGAGAGCAATGCTCTGCAAAGCCCTGCAATGCCCTGCAATGTTCTGCCAGTATCTGCAATGTTGCTTGCGGCCGTGCATGGCTCGAGGGGAGGTGGTCCGTGGAAGTCTTGATGCGACCTGCTCCGGCCAACGCCTGACAAAGACTCGGGGTCTGCTGCTAAGACATGGCGGTTGCGGGCCTCTCCTCTGCATGCCTTCTTCGAACTAATTGAGAATGTAGCTGGTCGAGTGCTGCATTTGTTCGAGTCCTGCTTTGTACTGCCGAGGCATCAGATGTTTTTCAGAACTGCAGTGGCTCACTTACATGTCTTGTTCTGCATGTGGTGGGTTGTGGGAGAGCCGAGCTGACTGTGACCACTTGAGATTATCAGAGTACTCAAATGTGAGCTCAGATCATGTTAGTCTCTCAGACGGCCTCTCTCGAACAAAAGCTTTATGGGCGGTCCTGCGAGACGTAATCGCCTGCTTCAGGCTGTTGTCTGCAGCCTTTTTTCTACCGCTTATGCTCAGGCATGGTCAAGTAGTGACGCTCGCAGATTGCACCTCTGATGGCATCTTGTTGCCATGGGAAGGTGACGGACGACTATGAGTACGATCCAAATGTCCCGGATGAGCCCCTGGATACCGCAGCCAAGGCTCCTAGGCTGCAGCACTCCATATGACAGCTAACGCGGCCCGCCGCCGCTGGCCCTGCACGGCTTCTTGAAGAGGGGGGATTTCTGCAGTCTGTGCTGAGTCTACGGCGGCCATGAAAGGTGCATAGGGAGACCATGTGGGTCGAACGAAGGTCGCTGACAGGTCTTTCGGGGGCATAGGAGGTCCATGGCGTCCTAGGTCATTCCTAGGTCCATAGGGGGTCAACAGGAGAAGGTCCATAGGAGGTCACAATCACACTGATGGCGACCTTTCCTCAAACCACAGAGGTCCTGCAAAACGGTCGAAAGCGTGGGCACTGGACCCACAAAAGGGGTCGACAATGGCCCCCTCCCTTAACGTCCATTTGGCTCAAACGTCTGAGGCTTTGGGGCCTCGGCGGATGTTTTCTAGATGGCAGATGCATGTGCGGGAACTTGCCCTGCCGTCCGGTGCTTGAGGCAGTGTCCGCGTGGCTGAAAGATGAGGTTGTCAAAGCCTTGGTCCAACTGCTTCATGTCAGCTTTGGGGATGAACAGTACACAGCAACTACAGCTCATTGCTGCTTTGGCATCAGGTTGTGCCCAGGAAAAAGGATGGCTGGCAAACGGCATTCTGCCTGTGTGCTTGCGACTCGGGTGCCCAGCAATGATCGCTCAGATGCTGAGAGAATGGACAAGTCTGAACATGGTCCGAAAGCAACAAGTGGTTTGACCTGGCGTGCCAGAATCCTTGGACACCGCACATCTTATAGGTGCACCCGAATGCAATCATTGTCCTTGTTTTGTTTTGGAGATTTGCCGAGGTTCAAAACTCAAACATAGCCAGCTGGTACCAGGCACAGTTTTTCACTTTCCAGGGTTGGTGTGCTCCTGAGATTTGAGAAAATTTCGCGACTGTGCAGTTTGCCTCTTCGATGTACGTGGTGGACACCTGCAGCCATGAAGAGGGCTTCGTGCTGCGTTCTGGCCACATGCAGGACATCTGATGTCCCAGCTAGTTCGCAGTCATAGGTCCAGTAGGCGCTGCATAGCTATCTCTTCCTCTTATTTTTCTCCTGCTCAGATACCTCTGTGCAAATGTTGTGTCTGTAAAGCTTAAAGTTGCCGAAGCCTTAGACTATATTATAGCTTCCGCTGGCACTCCCAGCCTGCCTGCAAGGACCGCCACGTCCAGCCGCTGCAAGCCATGATGGCTTGTGATACCCTGAAGGTCGTGTCGTCGACCTGGCATGTTCGGCCTTCAAGCGCTGCAAGACAGACGAAGGGGAGCAAGTAAGGTGCGTGCTTCGCTAAATGTCGCATGCCTTTCCCTTGTGAAACACAAGCCGATGTGCGCATTTATAGAGACCCTCCGGATGGGTGCTGCGCAGCCCATGTTTGCGCAATAGTGACTGAAGCAGCTGGGACTGCGATCGTTAGCACGGCTTCCTGCCAACATTCTTGACGAAAGGAGTCTGCTGCTCGATTGATCTCGATTGGAATGATGCGATGTGGTCTGACCTTAAGCTTCTGTGCCAAAACCTGTGCTCGTGGTGGCACGTGAGAGGAGATACCCCAACCATATCACTATAAAACGCAATCCAGGGTCTCCACCTCACCTGCCATCAGCTCCCGGTACTTGTAGGCAGTATCAAGCTAGATTTTAATTTCCTGGCCGAACCAAAGATCAGTAGTGTCGGGATCGGCTATTCAGACTCCAGAATAGGACAATGCACATGGCAGATGTGGCAGGTACTGCTTATCGCATCAGGCACCGGAAGCTCTTCCTATGTGGAAACCCATGTGTGCCCTGTTGGCATTTGCATGTGAAACACATCGATTGCCTGACCTGGAACACCTCGAAGCAAACTGAGGCGATCATGCTCATTACACCGTTCCGTCATGCGACGCCCAGTCCTGAGATTCTTGTTTAATCACAGTTCATGTCTGACGTGAGACTGCGAGTCAACCTCGACTGAGTCCAAAGCAGAAAAGCCTGGGTCGGAAACAAACAAGCCCAAAGTCGAAAAATGAAAAGATCCCCCTATTCTAGAGTTTAGGTTTTCAGTTTTAGGGTTTAGTGTCTTGGTTACAAGTAGGGTTCAGGGCATAGGTAGAAAGGGGTTGTAGGGTCAATGACTACGTAGGGTTTTAGGGAGTCAGGCTGCTAGGTGCTTTCAGGGTTTCAGGCGTTACAGGGTTCTAAGGTTGAAGGCGCTTGATTCTGCTTTTGTCCCGTTTTTTGGCTCATGCTGTCTTGCTATGCTGTCTTGCTTTATGACTCGTGCTGTCCTGTTTTCTGATTCGGTCTCATTTTCTGACTTGTCTAATTTCTCATTTTCCATCTCACCGGTCACCCGATCTGCTCCAGGCTTTGTGTATGTGCTGCAAATTGACAGTACTTCGCGCATCTTGCTTGTCAGTCTTCACGGCGCGCCATCGTAGCATGCCGCCGTGTTTCTCTCGCGCAAGCTTAGGCCCGTTATGTCTGTACATTAGGTCCACAATCGCGTGACAGACAGAGTATACGGCAGGCTTGCTTTGATCGAAGACCATTTTGGCACAGGTTGCCTGCAACTCAGCGGTGCGCGTTGCTGGCAGTCTCGCTGGCGTGCTGGCAATTTCTCTGGCGCTGTGGCGCTAGGCACTGTGACCTTGTTTGCCACATTCCAGTATGCTCACATTATCTCACATTGGTCACGAAACCACGATACCGACAGTCACACGAGCATGGAGGACTCACACACAGGCCAGGCTTGTCAAGTCCCCTCCGTCATGCGTTCTGTTTGGATTTTTTGGTACCCAGTATGAATGTTGCTGATTGCCGATTCTTTGACAGTTGCCTGGATGTGGTGACTTGAGCCTCTGCACTCTTGATCGCGGATCCGGAGTTGTGTCACTTCCTATTGGTCTTTGGGGAAGACAGGTTGCGCGCAGCAGATATGGTGGAAGGATCCTGAAATCCTCAGTTCAAGTTTGCAGTTGTTTGTTGCTCGAAGCTGGCCCAACCATGCCTCAAGGCAACACCCTTTGGCTGCATCACGTCGGGCAGCAATTCATGTGTGTCTGTTCAGAAAGACGATCTACGATGCAGCCTGAGACAAACTGCAGCCATGGATTAGGTGAGACTCGCGTTGACAAATAAAACTGGCTACTCGCTATCGGGCAGCTCTGTGCGATTGGCATGGCCGCATGCTCCGTGCGGACAATGTCTGACTTCTGCAGCGTCTTCACGTTTCGTGCATGAGCTGCTAGCAATTGGCTCTTGCCTTGTGGGAAATCGTTGCACTTATCATGTCCTACATGGCCTGCCAGGCCCTGATGGCCCTTAGCTTTGCGACGTGATACTTTTGAGTCATCCATCCCGATCCTGCCTTGCATGGTTGCTGTCGCCATGGCCGACGCCATCCCAGACGAGGATGTGGCCCAGGCGAGCACGGAAGTCTTCAATGTAGGCGTTCTAGGGGGGGGGGACGACATGGCAAGCAAATATGAAAAAAGCGAACCACAAGCCCTTGGCTCACAATGTGAACAGCCGGGGCTAATTGTTTCCAGTTTCAAGCTTGCACATCTGCACATGGAACACGATCCACATCTTCTGCAAGCTAAGCTTGGTGTTGTGTGAGGTGGTCTGAAAGTTTGCCATGTCGACCGTAAGTGTCAGAAGTTCATTCGTTGCCAAATCTTTCCCGCTGCCGAGTCGCACAATGTCCCACACCTCCATCGCGGCAGGATGTTGTTCCATCCAAAACAATGAGAAGACTGTTTCGTCCCGAGCGCTTCAAGTGGCTTGTTGCATGCTTTGACCCTTGCCCCTACGATGTAAGGCAAGCCTGCTGTCCTGGCCTTCGAAAGAAAAGCTGCGAGCCCAGAACGTCGTTGTGTGCCTTTTCATGCTCTCGTTGGGCATATTGGCCATTGCAAGTTTAAGGCTGTGAATGCTGTAGTCTTTAGCTGCCAAAGGCTGCAAGAGTTCTCACGATCGTTCGCGCTCCTTCTTTCTATCTCCTGTGGAATAAATGAGAGTACCGCAAGAGAGGCCAGTACTTTGACCAATGGCTCAGCTCCAGATGGTCCATCTCGCAGAGCGCCATGCGCCCGGCAGTTGATTGACTTCAGAGCTTTACACCTGTTTTGAATTTTGAGTTTCAGACCACTTTGTGTTGTCGATGTATAAATATCTAGCGATACATATTCATCTGTTTGCGCTTCTTGCTTTTGTTGAGGTCTGCTTGCTGACGGTGTTCGTTCTTAGCTGCACGGAGCCCAGCAAGTTAACGCACAAAGGACTCTTTAAGAGAATCGTTCTAGACTTCAAGTAGAAGGAAATAGCTCGCCCAGGTTCCGGCCAATTTGTGCTGGGCGAAGTGGTTTACACAGATAGTACGGGCCATACCCCTTCGGCGTGTGCCTTCGTGTGCCAAGCAAGTGCTGGTATCGAAGACGCCACTTGAGGCATCAATTTCTTCTCCTACCAGGTTGTCACCAATGCAGCATCACTGCTGTCATCTCTTACAGTATCCTTCACTATCGAAGGCACGCAAGTGGAATGACGCTTAACCTCAGTTGCGACTTTCTGGACATGGGTCAGGTTGCCATGCCTATGAGAAAATCTTCTCCGGGAAAGCGCTGTGGCGATTCACAGGTGTGTCTTTCTTGTTCACCTGTGCCGGGACCTCACTCTTATCCGAGTGCTTATGCCGTCTTATGTTGCATGAGAACTGCACAGGCCAGCGCCTTGGTAGCAGTCTCCCGCTGGGCCGGCACCTCCAATGTTCAGATAGTCACGGTGCTTGCCTCAGGGCCAGAATCGTTGGCCCGTTTGCGCACAGTAGCCCACAGTCAATGATTCTACGAGGTAGGGTACTTGTACCTTCCCTTTTCCGTCATCATGAGCTACTACGTTTTCAGCCGCCGCTCGGTCCACAAGTGCAGCACAAAGACAAGTGCCAAGTGCAGCACAAGTGCAGCACAAGTGCAGCACAAGTGCAGCACAAATGCAACACAAGTGCCCAAGACCGCAGCATCACGGCAACGCAGCGTCTACTCATCCGTTGTGCTCCGAGTGAGAAATGTGAGGAAACTATGGCAAGCTGGAGTGGTCATGACCTTACGGACTCCACAAATCCCATGACCGTGCGGGTTGGAATGGGTTGGAGCACTCGGAGCACTCGAGGCTGACCCTGGGTATGATGACAATGGCTGTCCTCACCTACGTAATGCTCAGAGAAGAGTCCGCCCCCGTAGCCCAGTTGTAAGCTGATCCTGCGGCATCCTGCCTGGGTGAGTGTGTCACTGGGAGGTACCGGGACATGGAGGAGGGAGAGGGAGATGGCCACCCGCTTGCCAGGATGGATGACGGAATGGGGTGATCTTTGTGCGCGTAAATCCTCTGCAATCCTTGTGGCGTTGGCGGGTGAGAGGCTAAAGAAGTCCTTTACTCCAGCCGGTTTCTGTCTGCTAGCCTTGATCTCAGGTTCAAGCAAGTAAGCAAGGACATACATCTAAATGAATTCCTCTTGCGGTGCCTGCCGCCAAGGTCGGTGCCGTCATCCTGAGCGCCACAGGCTGGGGTGCAGTCGGTGCAAGTGGTATTGGTGCATGTCGCCGACCTCGTTTCCGCAAGCGGAAATGGGCCGTGCACAGGGTCGATCTTTGCCGAGCGGATATACAAGCACAAGTCGCCTGGGGCTTTACTTGTTATACTTGTTATCTATGACACACGTGAACGACATACCGTTTAACAGTTTGACATACCCAGGCGCGGCTTGACCTGGTGGCAGGGCCGCTTCTACATCATGAAGGTAAGCCGTGTGACACCAGGTGTTGTCCACCGAAGGTTCACCGGTGTGTTCACCAGTCACGGGAAATCCTGTGTGCCATGCTGTCGGTGGCTGCAGGTGCACATCGATGTCACTGCGCTGTTCTTTTCTCTCATCCTATGGGGCATGGGCCATGTTCTTATAGGCGCGAAGTCTGGATGCCTGGCTGTCCCAAAGCTCGGGCTGCATGACTTGGACGGGAGGACGCGAGGATGCGTTTTCGGATTGGTTCGCAAAGTGGGCAAGTACTCCGGAGTGGTTTGGCCGCTGGACAGGGTGCATGCACTGGTATGAAGATATGTGTGCTATTGTGTGCTGTTGTTGGTGAGTGTGTGATACATCTACGTGCATATTGCGCGGAAAGGACCATATGGCATGGGCTGATGATCGTTGTGGAGGTCGTCCAAGGCCGTGCCATGGGTGGGCTCTTGCTTTCTCTTTTTTTCTCTTGCTTTCTCTTCTGTGCGCCTTGATGTGTACAAGTTCTGTACGAGTTGTGTACACTCTCTACGCTTAGTGCAACCTGCCCAGACTGAGATTGCCTTGTGTTCCCGCCTCAAAGTCAGGTTGGTCCGCAGGACTGATCACCAAGGAGTGCGGGACTCGCAGCGCGTCTAGTGTCCACAGATGCAGATCATGCTCATCTGATGCTCATGTTCCCGATGTCCTAGCACCATGAGCTGTGATGTCATCCAGTCTGCTCACTGCTAGGTGATCTTCTGAGTTGCCTTGCTCAGGCACTCTACATCCTTCAAAGCCATCGTGCAGACCCTTTGCTATATCTTCACCATGCTGGTGGAGGTCGTCCTGCTGTCGTGTTCTATTAACGGGTCACGTGTGCTGATAGCAGCTGAGGACCCCATCCTTGGAAACAGGCCTCGCGAGGGCTGAGCCAATTAGGATCTGTTGAAGGTGGGACTAGGCACCTGCTGGTCCCTCTTTTTGCCTGGAGTTCTGTGGTCAGCGTTTGCACTGTTTGGACTGTTTGCACACTTTGCACTGTTTGCATGGTTTGCGCTGCCTCACGTGTCCTCAACATGAAGCGCAGCTTCGCAGGTGGGGCTTCCAGTCACGGGAGCTGCCATCCATCATGCAGGGTGCTCAGGCTATCTCTGGTTTCTCTGGTCGTCCAGCAAGTGAAGTACACACAACATCCATCTGAAGCACCCGCGGCTGAGGTTGGCAGTAATCCTCGTTCTGTCAGCTATCGTGTTCCAAACTGGCAGACACTACGTGAAGGCCTTTCTGAGTCTTACGCATGTGGCGGTTGATGCTGTTGTTTTGTTCCAGCTCGATTTTGTTTTCGCGCCGCCTTCAGGGTTTCGACAGCGTGTTGCCAGGTACGTGAGAGAGCGGCGTGCATGGCGGCTCGGAATAGACGAAGCATTGGTAGCTTGTCCAGCGGGTAAAGTTGCATAAGTTGCATACCCGACTGGCCACTGAGGACATGGGCCAATCAAGCAACGGCAGTAGTGATCTCTCCCTGCCGGAGGCCAGCTTGGGCCTGCGCTAGATGCGCTAAGCATAGGTATCCAGAACCAGTCATGGTGCCATACGGCAATGAGGGTCACTTCATCAGAGCCCAGCATCCCTCAGGCTCCAAGCACTCAAGCCCCCCTACTATGAATGTCGCTTATGCAGTTAACATGCACAGCCCCAGTAGTGTGCCTCGATCTATGGATCTTGACGGCGGGGCAAGGACTCTAGAAGCAAAGAGGCACTGCATGGGGCACTGAGGCTTGAAAGGGTGATCTGATGAACCTTTGTGATCCCAAGAGAGATTACCCCTTTTCCCCTACGCTGGGTTGTTTCACTCGGCCCAATGTATTCGTTCTGTGCGAGGTGCCGCAGTCCAGCGCCAGTGAGCTGTCGCTCCAGGATGCGGAGTTCTGGAGAGACTCAGCCCAGACACGCTCTGGCCTTGTCAGGAGATCACTCCAGAGCCACGGCACGCCAAACCGCAGATAACGGTTCTGCTGACTTCGTGGTTTGGCTCTCGGGATCCGGATTAGCTGTGACATGCTGTGACCAATGCTGGCGTTTGGCAGGAAGGCCGCGTGCCGGAAGTACTTCTTGATCGTACTGTACATTGCTTCCGCCTTATCTTCTCGAGAACGACGCTGGTTCTTGCATGGGTGCAATCGCTTACTGTTCTCGTGCAGTTGTCGGATGCCATCCGGAACCTCACGCTGGCAAAGGCTTCCATGCTCGGTGACTTATCGTCTCCTGCCCACCTGACCTCACCCTTCATGACCCTGACCCAAAACCATAGCCTAACAGAACTCAACCTTCTCGTGGCATGAGATCGTGGCTTGCTTTGTGCGAAGGCTCTCAGCTCGACGAGCATCAATCCAAACTCCATGACTTTGGTGGTTTACCTGACCGGAGTGGTTCACGACTGAGCGCATTGAGATATGCATTGGGCGTGCAGACGAGACTTTGCAGATCATTGGTGTCTCTCGTTGGCAGCCCTCGGCCTGCTCAGGTGATTGCGTCTGGGTTGACCTTGTGCGCCTTGAGTAGCGCTGCACGGCAAAAAAAGCCACCTCGATTCCGTCTTTGGAGCAGGTATGTAGAGGGATGCAGTGGCCTGAAGCCAGGGCCTCGACATGCGGAGATAGACCAGTTGTGCGACTGTGGAAGGCCGCAAACTGCGCACACTGCGCACACGGCGCAACTGAAGGACAGCGTGGAATCCGTGGAAGATCCTCAAGTGCATGCCTCCGGGCTTTCTTTATGCAGGGGGGCCAAGCCAGCACAGCAACGCAAGCTTTCAGATTCGATGTCTGCTTGTGGTTCTACATATTGCACAGGCGTTGACATCCACTCTCATGAACATGGCCTTCTCACAAGGCTTTTCAGTGATGTTCACTGAGAGGGAGAGGCTGTTTGATACTTCAGACGTATGGGGGTTAGTTCACGCTTCTTCTGAGCCTTGCCTCTTGTGGAAGGAATGAATGCCGCTTTGGCATTGATCATCGGCAAGTTTTACACACCTGTGGCAGCCATCGGTGCGGGATGGGCCGAGGTCTCAGCTCTATCAAGGCGATTTCGGCTTCCTTTCGTCAGCACTTTGTCCTAAGATATTGAAGAGATACTACATGTGGTTGGAGCCAAAGCCTCAGAGTGATTTCACGCCAACGCGTTCCACAAGCATGCGCTAGCAAACGAGTGTGGCAGCAAGGTATGTGGCGATCGGAATCCTAACGCTGGCGAGCATGATTTTTGGGTACCTGCAGGCCTTCGCAGACTTCTGTCGTAAGAGGGGAGTGTGTTGAGTTGCCGAGACATGAAGCAGAATCGATGTTGCGGCGCTTGTGCAGCAGACCGCGGACATGTCGATGTGAGATCCTGCCGACATCTGCAAGCTGTCCCGTGCAAGGCTTTCAGCCCTGGATCAAGTCCAGACTGGGCCCAGAAGACCAACTCGCTCCGGGCGCGGGGGCCCGGAGCGGAGTCACGAAGTCTAGATCACGCCCTACCATATCCCACCAGATCCCACCATCCCATAGCCTCCCAAAGACAACCACAGCCTCCCGTAGAGCGAGGCAGTGAGCGCCCGCACGTGGGGGCGTGTGAGAAGCACAACAGATTGAACACCTAAGGTGGCCATGCTGCTGGTCCTCGGCCCGCCGCTCGGAGAACCGCTGATCCGAGCTCACGTGAGCGTTCCGAGCAGTAGGATGGCTCCTGGTATGACGCTCTGCCCTTGTCCACAGGTTCCTCTGTTGCGGCGGCCTTCAACTCTCTGCTCACAGAGCGAATCCTGAAGGGGGACGAGGATCGGGTCTTAAGAATTGCTGCAACGGATGGTGTCTGAGCACTCGGTAATGCTAAGGCCCGGTACCACGTGCAGAAGGCGGCTGTGCAACCGAACGTGGTGATTTTTGGTGGGTCATTCGGGGTCGAAGGTAGTGGGCCGTGTGAACAGCAGCGCGCATGTTTGCTTCCTGTGCAGGTCGTGAAAGATCGGTAGGAGTAGCCTGGGAGTAGCACACTGCAAGCACGGATGCGGAAGACATCATGAACAAGATGAGTTCACTCCATGGCTTCGTGCGAGGTACGCTTGGATGCGTCATGTATCATTTCCACAATGGGGCTCATTCCCCTGATCGCGGTCATTTCCTCAAGAGCACAGGACTGAAAATGATCATGATCCGGAGACGCGTTGCGATGAGACGATTGGCCCGTAGACGTCGGAATGGTCGTCGTTTGGTCAGGACAACCCCTGGGTTGTGAGACCTGTTGGCCGGTACCTCGCGGAGCTCGAATAGTGTTTCCTGACCCGCACCGCCGCTAAACATTGATTGCTGAGATGCTTCGTGTCCACTAGATTCAGTCTGCTGGCAAGACAACGGTTGCTTGTGGCTCAGATCTTTTGCTGTTGTGGTGTGTTGCCGTTCTTTCCGCGAGCAAGTGTGGAATGCAGTTGAGGTGCAAATCCGGCCTGTGACTGCGCTTGTGCCAGCGGAATATTTGCTGGCTGGACCGACTTTCCTGCATCCCTGGCTTAGCTAGCCCATGCTAGCCCTGAATCCTGAAAGCAAAACTTCCCCAAATCCCGAAGCTGGACAGGCTGCACGCCGGCATGCCGTGTACAGATTTGCAGTGTTTTGATGGGAAATCCGGCGACCTGCAGGATTCCAAGCGCCATCGGTGTCATTGTTTTAGCACTGACCATCAACACAGGCCGCATCGCAAACTCAAACATGGGAGTTAGGCCTTCCCGACTTAGATGCATGCAGGCTACGGCTGGCTGGTTGGCAAACTTGTACAGGCGGGCTGCTGCTTTTCCTTGGATTCTTTTGGGAGCCCAGAGAATGCACATGAGCGCAGGCCTTCTCGACAGTAGACCGTGCCATTGCAGACGCCTTCAGCTTGCTTCTGGTCTACTTTATAGGCATGGAGCTCCCTTGTCCCTCGACGGGATGCGGGATGCCGTGGCTCCATGTGCGTGCAGGCGATCCCTTGTTGAATGGTACTAGCCTGGGCAACATGCAACTTGGCGTCGACAAAGTGTTCGTGAGTGGTTGCCACGCAAGGGTCACTAGGGTCGCAATGGCTGGCTGAAAATCATGATCTCAGGTGCTTGAATCTGGTGGCCTTCATTGTGCCTCTGAGTCGGGAACTTGAAGTTTTTTCAGATAGTCCAGTCACAACAGTCTTAGCAAAGCATGGCATGTTCATCTACCCTCGCTGCAGGTACAAGCATTTTCGCCGTGGCTTCCTCTGAGTTTCAGAGGGCCACGCATGCCGCACACCTCATAGAAGGCACTCAGCAGCTGTCTGCCTAGTGAGTGTGACACGACGTAAGCAGTAAGCATTGGGCGTTATCATGACCACAGTGCCGGTGTTCGTGCAGGCAAGCAGACCAACGAAACCGAAGCAACGGACTCTGAAGAAGTGGCCTCCTTGGGATCAGGTCTCGTGAGCTGCTGGAGTCTAGCCACCTCGTCTTGAACGCATTTCTGAATCTGGCGTGAATGTAATGCGCTAAGACCCCAAGCGACACTGGCGATTCAGACAGTAATTGTTTGCAGTGCTGCGACGATGAAGAGGCCCGTGCTCAGCACCACTCCTGGGGGACAGTTCTCGCTGTGACACATGTGGCCGGGGAGAAGCATATGTGGCCGTGTGCAGTGTGCAGGCTGTTCTTTCGCCATCCAAACGATGGGTAGAGGCCTTGACTGACAGCATTGTCAAGAGACTCATTAGAACTGAGGGCAGCAGGGAAGGGGGCATTCGAATCGCGAACCTGGCATAAGGGTTTAGACATTCATATCATTGACAAGGCAGTAGGCGCAAACGGCTCCGCAGATGGAGGGCTCACTTGGTCGTTTGCGGAAAGACATACCCGTTTTCTCCGCCCCGCCTAGAAATGACCGTTCCTTCACGAAAGCAACGGAAAGGAGTGGCAACATGTGCTGGCTGGGGCCGCTAAGCTCAGTGTTGTACTCGACGAGAGAGAAGACCACCTTCGGGCTTTGCGTAAGTGCGCGTAAGCATGTGACGCGTTCGCCTGAAAGCACCAGCGCTCCTCAGTCGATGTGTCTGGGACCGTATCAACTTTGGGGTAGTTTGCAGCGTCAATATGCGGTTCTCAAGCACAGAGCGCCTGATAGTTGTATCGCAATGAGTGGCCACCGTTCCATGCGGTATGGTTTGTGAAGAACCGATCCTTTTGACGGTTCGGTTCGTAGGGTCCTTTACTAGGTGCGCCGTTCAAGACAATCACCCCCCGCACTCGACACTGGGGCTCCTCATTTTCAGCAGGAGCAGCCCGAAAGCCCGACATTAAGAGCCGTGGGCGCTTTGGGGCTTGGAGCAAGGAGCGGCAGGGTCGAGTGTCTTCTTTCTTTGTGTCAGTCTCTGCTATGTCGGCAGCTTTCGGAGGTCTGCGTTTCGTGCCGCTCAACTTGTCAGAGCTTAATGTGCTTCAAGTTTTTCAAAGAATCTTCATCGGGTCGGAATCAGAACTTTCGCTGAGTCATGCGTGCGCGAGCATCGAGCTGTGATGTGTCCACGCTTGCCGGGTAGAATTTGACTCGTTTTTCCCTGCCCGTTGTCAAGTTCGTTGTGAAAGCCGTGCGGAACACTCATGGCGCGACTTTGCTTCTGAATCTGCTTCAAACCATGCTGGATTCTGGCATTGCTAGCTCTACATTGTCATGCTTTGCCCGGCCAGGCTGACGGTGAAAGTGGCAAGAGGACACTGCCGTCAGGCACACTCAAATTGAAGCTTTGACGGAGTTAATGGAGGGCTCAGATCTCTCTTTGCATCCGGTGCAACAGTTGGACAGGTGACACTCTGGCGTCTATGTGAGATTGCTGCAGCAATGTGCGGTGCTGTCAGTGGCAGCATCCTCGTCCCTCACCAAAAAGCTGCAGTCAAGGTGTCCCAGAAACGACTTGGAGAACGAATAAATCTTTTACTTCAGAAGGCGGGCATTCGGCACACAGTCTTGACGGGATGACTGGTAAGATTTGCCAGCGGCTGCTGGGAGCCTCCGCTTTCTGAAATTTCTCAAAGATAAGTATCTTTTCTAGTTGCACAGAGTAAATAGTAAATCCTCCAGTTGCGGAAGTGCGATGGGTTCACATTGTACTGCATGTACTTTGGTCTGCGGCGAGCGTCAGATGTTTGCCATCCAGGTGGACTTCCATGCGGCATGTGAAGCTTGAGACAAACCATTGGATGTTCGCAGACGTTTTGGCTTTCACAGTATTGGGCAGCAGCGGGGCGCATGGCTTTCAGCCTTTGCTTAGCCAGCAACTTGACGGAACCTAGTTCTAGTGCAGAGGGCCCAAAGGCTGGGCTTAAAGGCTGGGCTTGGCAGAGGGCGGCAGCCACGAAAGCAGTGATAGCGCATGCTGCCACTTGATGACCTTTTGAGTTTGTTCGTATCTCGTCCACCAACAGAAGGAAGGTTAGTGATTGGTCGGTGAACATCGGATCACTCTGTGACTTTGCATTCGTATGTAATATGTTTCGTCTGGTCTTGCTCAGGCCAGCCATGGTTCGGCTCGAAGAAAGCGATTTCTTAACGAAGTGCGAGTCCCGGAGAACGACTGGTGACTGGTAGCTGCGTGTGAGTTGCTTCTGAGTCGCCTCGGTACATCATCAAGTTTCCTTGTCCTCAAAGCCGGCTCAGAGTCCCAAGAGTCTCAAACCGCTGCTCGCACTGAAACATTGCCAAGGCTCACAGAGCTGTTCGGGCTTAACAGGGCAGGTCCGCTGGGTCGTTTTCCCTTCAGCAGTGCCATGTGTAAGACAGTAGTCCTACATTGACTACATTGTGTCTGTCGGCAGGCACAGTTTATGTCTCCATGAAGAGGTTTGCCGGAAGGCTCGGCCATGCTGCAGACCATGCTTTTGCCAGGCTTTTGCCATGCTTTTGCCAGGCTTTTGCCAACCTTGCCCCAAGTGCAGTCATCCAAAGCTTCAGTCAGCGAGCATGTCGTTTGGTTTATGACATGCTGACGGAAGAATCACTTGAGCAACGCGTTTCCAAGTTCAAAGCTCTCTACTCATCAATGCTAGGCTAGCATCGCTCCGGAGAAGAAAGCCCAAGCTCATGGAGGATGCCGCAGCGAAAGAAGAGCCCAGGTATTCCTTGCATTCATTGGGCTTGCACGTCCCCGGCATTTTGTATGCTGGTGTATGCTGGTATGCTGATCCCAGCAGGTGCCTGATTCGAGCCCACTCCAACAAGAAAAGCTCCAAGATCAGCCGGCACCCAAGCGGGTCCAAAGCGGCATCAACTTCCGGCCTTCCGACTTGCAGCACCCAGTGGGCACCCAGCACCAAAGGGTTTCAAAAGGTTTCAGCTTTCGGCATGTTCGAGGAGTAGTGCAACCGCATACAGGTCAGAGTTAGAGTCGATCGGTGCAAAGAGTTGCCTCCGTTGCCTCCGGTGCGCGATGCTGCGTCAATGCAACCTAAAGGGCGCGGGCACACGATGCTCGAACTCTTGTAGTAGGCACCCGAAACATGTGTTGGAAGGTTGCCTAACAACCAGCTTTGCAAACATGGCCGAGTCGTGCTTACGTGCCCAAAGGCTGCATCATCGAGGCGAAGGACCTTGTGAGGCAAGGCACGCATCTCCATGTCTATTGCGAAGGTCCTGTGAGCGCTTTTGGTTGTCACATGACACAAACATACGCAAACAAAGCCCCTTTCGATGCTTGACAAGGTTGACTTCAATTGGAGTGTCTCTTGCTCTGTCAGCTGTTGCCAGATTCCAGCTAGCCGTCGGCAACATCATGCGGCAGCAGATGGACCCGGGATCAGTTGCTTTCATCTTCAAACGTTTCAAAACAATGATGCATGAGCGCAAGTGAGCGAGCGCAAGTGAGGCAAGTGTAGACTCGGACTGGCCCAGACCCTGACATGCAACGGCAAGCCGAGAGGATGGGCTGAAGACGCGGGAAAGGTCAAAGGAAGAGAGACAGAAGGAAAGAGAAGAAAAGCGCAAAGCAAAGGCTGAACTTTGTGTGTGGCTACTTGATTTGGAGCTGTATCCGGGACTGCGCAGTTCATCTCTGATCCTCGGGCAAGGCAGATGCAGCGAAAGGAGTCAAGAAAGACGCCGAAGGCAAAAAGGACCGAATTGTTCTTTTGTTGATGGGTCCTGGTTGCTAGGCTCGACGGACGTATTTTGGTTAAGGCTGTGGCTCCACCTTGCTCAGCCTTGCTCCACCTTGCTCCGCCTTGCTCCGCCTTGCTCCGCCTTCCTCCGCCTTGCTCCGCCTTGCTCCGCCTTGCTCCGCCTTGCTCCGCCTTGCTCCGCCTTGCTCCGCCTGGGGTAGCGGGGCTGGGTGAGGGGTGAGGATGTTGATGTGCATCAGTTGCTTAGTTCCAATATTTGCCGACGTGCTTTTTGGGGTTGGGTTCATGATGTGCTCCACATGTTGGGATGCAAGGAGCTTTGTACAGCACACCCACATTGCCCGCTTCTCGTCACCCTGCTTGTCATAATTTCATACGTAATCCAGAGTAGCCGTTTTTTTTGCTCCCTTTCTGTTTTTCGTCTCCTTTTAGAAGTGGGTTTAGGGTTTCTTGTAGCGGTTAGGGGTTTGGGGCTTTAGGGTTCCAGTTTCATAAGGTTTGGGGCTTGGCATTCGCGGGGTTACGTATTTCTTTGTTCCTTGCCTTCTGTCTTTCAGTTTCCCTTCTCTATCCAGAGACCAAGACAAAACAATAAGATAAACAAGATGCAAGGGGAAATGGTACCCTACCGCCATGCAAGTCAAGCGGCGGAGTTTCAACTCCAGGCCACGCTGCTTCAGTGCGTCCATGATCTTCCATTCCTCCCACGCCCCTATTCACCCCTCGGGTCTCCTTGACAACGATGCGAATTGAAATAAGGGGCGCGTTAGTATGAGAAACATGGAAGCAGGTCAAGTGACTTCCACAGGTTTTATGCGTGCTATCAGGTGGTGTAGTCCCGCAGTAGTCTTTCAGTTGCAGCAGGAGGGCGCTTCAAAAGCCGCGCCCTCCAGCAGCCTGGCAAAAGTTTGGCAATACTGGGATGGCAAGGGCTTTGGCTGTGGTGCAAACGTAGACGCGATGATTGGACCCGTCCTCTTTCGTTGCGGAGTAAGGCAAGAAGAAAGGTGCCAAAAAGAAATGAGTCAGCTTTCAAGGTGCCTCCGTCAAGCTGATGCCATGACCAAATGCATTGCCACAAATTGCTCCCAGATAAACTGTGCTTGGGGGAAGTGGCCACAAGCACTGCCTCACTGCACAAGGGCAACGATGTCGCTTCTTGCAGGTGACACTGCGCCACTTGCTGAGGGAATGCATCCCGTGCAGGTTGCGAGAGGGCTGGTGATGTCACGACTAGATGTGCAATACATGACAGCTGCCCTACCTTGCACCATCTCCATGGCTTGACGCAGCAACTACAAGGCTAACTGCACGGGAAACCAAGTATGTTGAGCCGCGGAGTTCGTAGCGTCTCACCAAGTTGTAGGGTGGCATGTAGGTGACAGGCATCGCAGTGGACTCTGCGGGCAAAGCGATTAGAAGACGCAGACGCAGCACGGCACGGATGCGGATGTACATGACTTAGGCAGCTTCGGCACCTCGTATGCACCTCAAATCTGCCAGGGCACCTCTAGCAGACACCAAAGTCTTCCCAGCAGGGTGCCCAGCCCGTCAGTGCAGCATGTCTAAGATGGTCTTCATTAGCCTACGACTGTCGTGGCAAACAGTTTGAGTGTTTGTGCTGGCATGTTTGGGTTGGCAATCTGCACCAGGTTTGTGGTTGCTTGTGGCGCCCTTTTGCCTGCTTTCCGTGGTTGCTGTTGAATAATTATGCAAAGGGTGGGAGAGTTAGAGTCGTTTGAGTCGTTGGAGGCGTGGCTTGTTCCGTTTGATGCCGTCTGTTGCGTCAGGGGCGGACTCAAAACGTCCCTAAATTAGAGGGGGCGCCTTATAAACAAACCCCAGAAGGGACCATACTCAAGAGAATTGACCATCTAATCAGGCAAGAGCACATCCATCTAGGAGGCTTGGAGCGACTGGCTACAAATGGCTTACCAGATGTCCGTATGGATGCACGGCAGTGCAAGCGTGGCCTGGGCTTGCTTGCGAAGCAAGCCGCGGCGCTGCCCAGGGACAGCGTGGTGGATTTGGATGTGAATGAGGGTGTCGTTGATTGGGGGCCCGTTCGCCTGGTGTCTCCACGATCAAAGCGAGCTGGTAGCGTTTGTGACCTAGAAACGCGGCAGGATGGACGATTCTTGGGCCTGCTGTGCTGCATAAGTTTTGGTCATGTGGGATGATTGACAGGCACGTGCTAGCAAACGATGCGGTCAGACCGATCAGAATGTTGCACAAACGCATCCGCTTCGCTGCCTAGGGAGGCATTATAGGAACGGTTAACGGACATGACATGTACGATTCTGTTGTTGACGCCAAGGTTGAGTTTGATTCGCTTTACTTTAGTGCTGGCGGCAGACCAAGTGCGCCCGGACAATGTTGCGGTATGAGGTTAGGATTTGGAGATTTTTGGAGAAAGGGTGCGACGCATAGATATTTGGAAGCGGCTAAGATTTGCACGTTTGCAACTTTCGACACATGTCAGACACTGCATCTTGAAACATGCCAGGATTTTCGACAAGCAGCGATGTGGGATCCTGCTGGGAGCTGTGGATGCATGCGATAGCGCTGAACTCGCTGCCCTGAGTCTCACGTTCCGAATATGTCCATTTTAAGCCTTAATTGTGTTCTTGTTCGCAGAGCTGGCTTTGTGTGATGCGGCAGGGCAAGGGGCGAGCGTTCAGTGGATGTCTGGAAGAAGCTCCAGGCATTGGTTCAAATTCGGTGAATTTCGTCTCCTAGGTACCTTAGGTACTTAGGTACTTAGGTACTCAGGTTGCAAGTGAGGGCAGAGGTGTGCTGCTGACACTTCCTCGCCACTTCAGGCAAAGTGCTAAGCACTAAAACACCGTGCCATCAGCCAGACAGTTCAGCGGCCCGGTTCCCTCTTGTTTACAGGAGCAGTCCCCCTTTGGAGCACCTTTGTTGCTCATATCGTTGGTCAGAACTGTCGGGGCTGACAAATCAGACTGTATAGACACTGCACTGCCCTGCTGCTTACCATTGAGAATCTTTTGTGTGAGCTGCGGGCACTGCATCTGAATTCACTGCTTCAAGAGCTCTGTAGGTGCCCCAGCAGGTAGTGAACCAGAGTGCGCCCAGATATGTGCGCGGTATCCCGTCGAAAAAAACATGCAATGCATGTCATGCCTTGGCAGAGCTGGTCTCATGCCGCACCCTGACCATGTTGGCTGACGTCGAGAAGCCAGTTCGAAGCTAATTTACTCAGGAACTGAAGTGGCACGTTGTTGATGCGATTACGGCCCAAGCTGGCTCCCGGATGTGAACTTACGCAGCCCCTCCGCCAGTCCGTTGTCGGACCCCGAGCTTGCGGCATCACAGCACCCGAACGACCCTCGTGCCAGTGTCATATCATATTCATTGCATGTCACGATTAACCCACGCCAACATGCTACCGTCATCTGAATTGCAGAGCGACAAGCTGATCGCTCGCCACCAGCCGCTAGCCTGCAGGCTCTTCAATGGAGCCTGTTTCGCCACTACGGCCAGGACACGGGCTTCAGTATGAAGTAGGATCTTACTGATCTTACGGTACAATCTGTGCATGAGTTCATCGAGCCAACGTTCAGCGCTGTTGTTGGCAAGCCAGAAGGAAGCACGGCAACTATTGCTGGGCTGGGCTCTCTACACGTGCCCTGTAGCATCCCGAGCATTCCTTGGCCCAAGTGCGGCGTATGAGTGCTGATGATGAAGTTGAGGCTGTAAGAACAAGCGCTAGTACTGTCTCCGGCCAAGTTCGCTACTTGTGTGCTTGTCACGGGCATGTTTTCAGGTCCCGACTACAGCAGCTTCTCTCCAAGTGCCTTGAAGACATCTCATAGCCAAAGCCGCTTGACTTTCATGCGGGAAACACCCGGACAGTGGGGCCTCAGACTCTACAGCCCAGGGCTTTGCTCACCGAGGTCCCGATGCTACGATGTCTTCGCCATCCTTGAAGCCTTCAGCTGGAGGTGCTTCGGTGGAAGGTGTGGGGAAGCTTGACTCTTCTTTGTGCCCAGGATACGGTTATGCTAGCTTCGGCGCTCCGAACTCATTCTCAACCACGGGCGCTTGGCACTCAGAACACCGCAAAGTAGTCCACATTGCGTCATTCTCTCTTCGAACCTTACAGGGGCATCCTTGGCCTCGGTCAAGGTCTCGAGCTCTCCCCGTGTGAATGGCCTCAGTGGCCTCAGTGGTCTCAGTGGCCTCAGTGGAGTTCAGGACAGACGGCCACGAGGGGTGTGTTTGACTGCGAGAACCATTTTCAACATTCAAAGCGCATCCGCATCCTGAAACTCTGCAGGAGCTTTCCACGGAGGTGCAGCGAAAGGCGGTGGAGTGGGAGAGGCAGATCGAGTCGTTGGATGCCAAGGACGGGCGCACACAAAACCCTTCGTGGGAACAGGTCGTGTTGTGCATATAATGTCCGCAACACATGTCACAAAATGGTTGCAGCCTGAATGGCGTGCTGCAGGAGCTGGAAATCCATCAGACGCAGCTGCGACTGATCAGGGAACAGTGCCGTGGACTTGTTTAGTTCGTAGTGCAGCCCCCCAGGCGTTGTTCTGGCAGGATTAAGGTATTCCAGATATGTTGGATGATTGACAGATCCATGGCAGGACGACAGCTTTCCGATCTGACTTCGCTGCCTTGCGCAAGGAGCTCTTTGCCGGCTAAGCCCTTTTCAAAATAATGGTTCTGAAGAAGTGTTCGGTGTGATTGAACCTTCAGCACCCGAAAAGAAATGTGGAGTTTCCAAATTCGCTCGGAAGGAGAAACGTGTCTTACTATTGGCCGTGATGGGCATGTATTCAATGTCTGCCCGTTTTTGAACTTGCAATGGGCTTCTTGGCCTGGGAGATACAGGAACAGCTATGAGAAGCAGTGCAGACATGACCCGAGCAACAAACAATTTAAAGAACATGCCCCCTGAACCTTACCTGGTCGCAAGATGTCGCAAGGAGCTGGCAGACACCAAGGTCAGGCCAACGTCAATCAGTCGGCGTTGCATCACGTGCGTCCGGTCGGTACTTGAGGCCATCGTCCAGAGACAACAGGCAAGCGCCAATGAGCAGGGTGCTAGGCCGGATGCCTCTGGTCGATTCTGGTCGTGCTATGCGGGCGAGTTTGCGCTGCGAAGCCAAGGCTCGACGACATCCTGGCAAGGGAGCGCCAGGACCCAGGGCTGGAAGGTTTGAGGCAGTGCGTGCTGAGCAGATGTTGAGCGGCATGGGAAGCAGGAAGACCTAGACCTAGACCTAGCTGATCCCGTATTCCATCGTATTACTCCAGTTGCACAGATTGCAAATTTGCAGGGGAGTGAAGCGGCTCATGCGCTGAGCTGGAATTGCACGCTGGAAGAACATGACGTTCTTGTTGACGAGAGAAAGCCCTTAGCTTAGTAGTTTAGTGTTGTTGTTTCGCAGTCTTAATTGGAGGACCGTGATGCCAGCCACACCTCGCTGGGCAGCCGCGTCGAGTCCATCGAAAAGAGCCTGTCCGGGGCTAAGATGCAGACCACCTGTGCCCGAAGTAGGTCAGAAGATTCCGGAGCCTTGTTCCGTGGGGGGTGCGAACAGAGTCACAATGCAGTAAGACTGTGACGGTGACGATGACTACGAGTGTGCAGGCCAAAGCTGAGAGACGAGATTTCATCCTTCAAGATGCTGCTCCGTCACGACCTTGACGCTGTGCCGTGACTATCAGTGACTGTCAGCGTCCCTGTCAGTTCAGTTCACGAGCGTTTGTAGAAGGGCAAGAATGAAAATGCATGGAATCTGTGGGTCGTGGGCTTCTAAGGTGGTCAGGACGTGGCCATGATCCTTCAGGCCTTCAGATGCCTTCAGAAGCTCTGGGTACCAGTACCACGCAGCCTGCACACATCTGTACATGCAGATACCTTTCCTCTGCTTTGCTTGACGGTTCTGAGTGTGGTAGGCCCACGAGGAGGAGATGAAATCCATCAAAGACTCTCATTCCGATATGCGGAATAGGCATAGTGCGAGCGACCAGCACCATGCAACCTTGCAACAAAGAGTCGACTACCTTGAGAAAATGATGGGGGACTCTGCCGACCAGCACGCTGCCCACATAAAGCAGCTGGAGGAGCTGCGCCGGTGCCACGACGACTCCCAGGGCCGACACGCGAATGTTTCCGACAAGTTGGACCGCCTACGCCATGAGAAGGAGACGCTGAAGGAAACGCTGCACAATCGCCATGGAACCTTCGAAGACCGCCTTCTCAGCCTCGAGCGGTTTATGTCGGAATCCCTTGACAAGCATGCCAAGGAGCTTTCAGATTATCGAAATGCACACGGGCGGACCAGCAGCGAGACGCAGGCATTAAAGGACAAACATGCCTCCGTGGAAGAGCGTCTCAAATTTTTGGAGCAAACTGTTGGTGACTCTGCGGATCGACATGAGCGACACGCTCAGGAATTGAAGCAAGCAAAGCTTCAACTCGAGACGTTTCATGGAAAGCTTTCAGATGAGCAGGGCCACCGAGAGAGGCGAGACCAGCATCATGCGACATTGGAGGAGCGTATGCGCTTCCTCGAGCAGGCGCTGGGAGACTCAGCTGACAAGCACGCGCGAGAGCTCAAGGCCCACAAAGATGGCCGAGACCAACAGCATGCTTCTCTGGAGGACAGGGAGCTGTGTGTGGCAAGTGTGTGGCAAGTGTGTGGCATTGTATGGATTGTAAAGCTGCGTGCAGTCTACATGACTACGTGACTACGTGTTGTGGTACTTTGCGTCTTTGTAGCTGCATGCGCTCACCAAGCATTCTCTCATATTCTGTCTCTGCAGGATAAGGTGAAGTATATCGAGAAGCTTATCGGCGATTCTGCTGATGAGCATGCTAGAAAGCTTGAAGCTCACAGAAGAGAGCTGGAGGACCAGAAAAGGAATCTCAGCAACCACCAGCAGGCTTTTGATCAGCACAGGAAGCAGACCCAGAGCCAGCAGGCAAGGCTTAGATTATTTGGCATATGCTTAGAGTAAGATGCGTTGTGCAAGTCGTGTATGTGAGGCAACGGTCGAGCGACATGCTTCTTTTGAGCAGCGGCTTGACTTCCTGGAGCGTGCTTTAGGACGGGCCCTCCTGAAGCCGTCTGAGTCGGAAGCTTTCGTGCAGCAGTGGGGCCTTCAACAAAGGGTTTGCCATGTTTGCCTTTTTCGACATGATGCAAGGAGACTCGGCTCAGCACCACACCGGCCAGTTGCGGGCGGCTAAGGCCTGGGGGCCGGATGCACCGCGGATGCACCATCTCTTTGCGGGGTTTAGAGAAGTTTAGAGGTGGTTGTCGCTGGATTGTGCCAGATCCTGCCAGGCAGAGCTTGAGCAGAAACACGAGGTGGGCCGTTTCCCGCTCGTTACTCGTTACGATCGTTACGATGGTTATCTGGGGTCGTAGCAGATGCTGCGCGCAGCACCCCGCGCTGATCACGCGATCCCATCAGGCACATCATGCGGCGACCGGCTCACTGGCAGACCGGCTTGACTATGTGGAGAAATGGCTCTCGCCTCAGAGGCAGCGGAAGGTCCAGCGCTTGCAGCTTGCAATTGTATGGCCTGGGCTTCGAAATCTTCAGAAGCTTCAGAAATCCTTCAGAAGCTTCAGAAGCTTCAGGTTCGGTGGGCTGCCCGGCTTTCAACCTCCAGCTGTGAGGCTCTGCCATGGCAATGCTAGACCGTTGGGCACGGAAAGGAAAAAAGGACTGCCATGCTTGCAGGAATCGGACAGACTTTTCGCTGGCTGAGCCTGTGAGCCCTGCCACTTACAGTCCGTACACAGCTGCAATCTCAGTCAATCCGAGATGTTTTGGATATGTCGGGGTGAGATGTTTTGGATATTTCGAGGTGAGTGTGAGGGAGAGCCAGAGTTGTTGGTGAGTTCCGGCTGGTTCCGGCTTGTCAGTGATCAGCCGCTTGTGACTGTGGCCAAGGCGGTCACCAAGGTCCAAGGGGAAGGAGCTTCAAAGATGGGGGGTCTCAACAAGAATTGACAAAAACAGGGCGGGGAGAAGGACAGGGAGGAAGAGGGCGGGAGGAGGCGGGACGAGAGGGAAGAGAGGGAAGAGCGGGAAGAGCGGGAAGAGGGTGTGCTTCAAGCTGGAGATTGCTAGTCCATAAAGTCTTTTCGAGGGGTGGGCTGGTGCCGGCCAGTGCTTGGGCGCTCCCGACCAAGGCCGCCTGACAGCATGGTGCGCATTGGCCCGCCGGCATCGTCCGGTCCCGTCCACATTGGCGTGTTGGTTTAAAAGAGGTAAATGGCTAATGAAGGATGAAGTAATTTCAAGCCTCGAGCACACACAGTGCCCGGCGCGATGCTCATGGCAAAGACTGCGAAGAGCATTGGCCATGCCAGGCTTAGATGTTTCACGGTAAGGGACAGCGTGACTTTCCCCAACGAAACCATCTGTACAACTGAAAGCCACCAGCGTACGTCGCTGGCTCGAACTGTTCAAGCGAGCTTCTCTCGGGACAGTCGCGACTGCTTCCGTCAGTGGCAACTGAGAGGCAAAGTACACATTCTCTCAGCAAGTTCTGCAATCTGTCGAAAGCGAGGCACTGGCAGGATAAGGTACGATGATTTGCACGTTTCAACGTGACTTGCCAACACCAAGGACAGCTGCTAAGAATTACCCGCCATTTTAGGGCCCCCCAGGGTAAGTGTTGATCGGCATGTCGCAGCAAGGAATGCTCAAGATATTTCCGAAATACAGCATACTTCTAAGACTCTCGACCCTTTGATAGCGTGTTTGTACATGAAGTTTTGAGTACTGATACCCACAACCCTGTGGAAGTGGATGGGGCCCTGCTGGACTTGCAGTAGGCGGTGATGATCGATGAGGCCACTCCCTTCCACAAGCGATTGGAATGGATTGAAGGAAGATGGAGTAAGATGGAATGAGACGGAATAAGGACCATTTCTCAACCGGATTTGGTGAGGATGCAAGCAGTCGGCAGGCAGCCAACGCTGTCGATCTCATTTCGCACATCCAAAGGCCATACGGCCAAAAAACGTCGACCAAAAAACCCCACAAGACTCGCAGTCTCTTGCAGGCTTCGAATCGGAGCCGCGGTGGTGTCAAGCTCTGGCCTTAATGATCGCGGTTGCCTTGGTTAAAGAACCCTGCGTTGCTCGTGGTTGAATAAGGCCTTGACGCAGCTTTGAGCGACCATCTAGATGAAGCACATCTGGTACAGGCACAACCGGCCTCAATGGGTCTCAAAGGATGCCAATGAGTGTCGGTGAATGTCAATGAATGTCAGTGAATGTCAATGAATGTCAATGAGTAATTGGAGAGTGTTCCAAGAGTACGCCAGTGCCTCGGCCCGGAGAGCTCCAGGGCTTGGCGGAACCTTTGCAAAAGAGACATGTCCTCATGTGAACATTCATGCTCTCCGCTTCTCGTCGCAGACTGCTGTAGAGTAGGTGAACAGAGAGCCAAAGCTGTGTGAGGCCGCCAGAAATAGCACCCGAGATCTACCCGGGAAGAGCCTCTCGGCGTAGAAAAGTTCAGTGTGTTGGTGAGTAGTACAAGAGTGATCTAGCCGAAGACACGGAACACAGCCGCCCAAAGCATCCTAAATACAGAAAAGCGCAGGTCAGGAAGGGATTGTGCCATCCCGCATTAATGTGCAGATCACTTTGATCCAGCCGCTAGGGCGTTTTGCCATTATTGCCATGCGACAATGTGTGGTCGAATGATCTGCTCCGCGGGCTCGGAGTCGAGGAAAGGCATACGTTCTTCCTTTGTCTTCGATTTCGGGTGACGGGTACAAGTCGTAGCCCGCCTGCACATGTGCCCAACTGCGTGCGCGCAGGGGGAACGGAAGGGTAGTGGCGCTCACTCCGAAGCCCAAGACGGGCCGACGTATGCTCAAGAGTGGCAGGTACTTGTAGTGTTCGCCAAGCATCCATGCGGGCCGGCGTCTCTCTGTTTGTGTTTGGGGACGGCGTGGCGTTTTGAGATGTTATCATGTTACGACGTAGCCATTGCGCGTTGTACGCATACTGCCAAAAGCGAACAGTATTCTTCAAGTGCACGCTACTTGAGGCCCTCGACTTGAGACACTTGAGTCTGGTGGCGCTGCCAGAAGAAGTGCAGAGGGGACCAGGCACGCAGCACGGAAACCATCCCTTGCTCAACATGTTCGATGGCGTTTGCGGCATATAACATGTATCCCAGAACAGAAAACCTTCGTCAAGGACCCGCAATTTCCGTTCAGAGCAGAACCGACAAGCCCAGTTTGGGCACATGCTGTGCTGCCGGCATCGTTATTTCTGGGTAAGGCGGCCCTGAGCCACGTGATCCGGGCCGCTCTTTCAACTTGTGTTGCTATCTTTTGCCGCAGATACGACAGCCAGGAGACACCGGCAAGGTGAGCAGAACTCCTGGCTCAAAGCAGCTTGGAGTGCCGCCGCCCCGTTCGAATCGTTCATCTGCAGCTAAAGAGACTGCACGTCCTCTTCATCTTATTTGCTTGCAAGGCCTGGAAAGAACGCGCGTTTTGGGTGCAGGCTCTGTTTGGTGAGATGTGTAGATCTGCTCAGAACGGTTTGGTCTTGGGTTTTGCTACTTGAGCCTGCTGTGAGCATCGCTGTGAGGCCCTGTGTTCATTTCATCTGGACCTGGGCCGTCGCCTCGGCTTGCGTATGCTTGGGTTTTGTGTGAGCACGCTCCTGCATGCTGGGAGTATCTGCAAATCTTCACGGTATTGCCGAATACTATGTTGACAAACTGCTTCAGGCAAGACCGAGACGAAGCTGCGATGCTTGCACTGCTGGCGCTTGGCAGTGGCTGCAGCTCATCATGCCAACTGCCCAGCTGCCCTTCGAGTCCGTCATGCAAGCGAAGCAAGCGAGCACGCTATCAGCCGTTCAGGAACAGACGCGGACTGCGATCAAAAAGGACTTGGTGGCCGCACGACAAAGCAGCGAGGCGAGGCACATGGAGTCGAGTTCACCCGGACAACTCCATGAGTCCAACCAATGCATCAACCGATTGGAAAAAACTTGGCTGAGTTCATTGTCACCACAGGTACAAGAAACGTTGGTTGCGATGATAGTGGTGTGTTTGAAAAAGACGTTCACAACTAGAGTTGTGAGAGAGCGAACTTTGAATCTTGTGGACTGGAATGTTGAATCGGCGCATACATATGCATACATCAGGAAGTGTGTCAGCTGGAGCTGCAGTCCATGCAAGGAACTCGCAAGGATGAACATGCGACAGCTAGTCACTAGAAGGTAAGCAGGCTACAGGCTACAGGAGAACACACACGGGCGGAGCTGGGTTACGCGAAGAATGCTTAGTAGTTTCAGAATGATAAGAATGCCAACATACTCGTACGACAGCCACATGCCAAAACATGCCCAAACATGCCAAAACTTCGGCCCTAGATTCAGTGGCTGCGCATATTGGGGACACATAGCACTGCTTTTGGCTGTCGCATGCTGTCGCTTGCTGTCGCTGCAAGAGGCGGCGCTTCACGAATCGTCCAGTCGCAGAGTGGAGGCTCGCCCACCTTGAGCGGTAGAGTGGGTGGTTGCCTTTGTGGCTCAGTTTCCACTCTTGCCAGGGAAAAGCAGTCTACATGGAGAGGCTCGAAGATCGGTTGGTACGAGGACAAAGACATATCCTCAGGCTGGGCAGCGATGGCGGCGTGAGCCAGTCTTTTCTCACCCAAGCCCAGAATGTGCATCACCACAGTGGCGACATTTCGTTCCGAACCTCCTGCCTCTGCTTAGGGCCCGGACCTGGCAGAGCTGGAAGAACCGTGCTTTTGTCAGCCGCCTCTTGGCGTAAAACCGACCTGCAGGGAAGTTTCAAGACCAGCCACCATGTTCCTGGCACGTTCTCCCCACTGCAAGTCTCTAAGGGCATGCAGCGATCAACAATCGCAGAAGGCAGCGCTTTTTTCATGTTCTGCCATGCTGCAGCTCGCTTCAGCCTAGAGTTGCGAGCTGCATTTGGTAGCTTTGTGGTGCCATGTGGTGGCAATTTGCGCTCTGGCTCTGAGTGGAGGGATGGCCTCTGCAGCGTGATGCAGCGCCGAGCAGATGCGGCAAAGCTCCGTGTGCTCCACCGCTCCTGGCTCGAGGTGGCGTGGAAGCCCAGCGGAGATGCGAGGGAGGATGCGATGTGTTTATCGAGACGTCTATAGATGTCGAGAAGAGTAAAGTGGTAAGTAAGAGCACTAAGATCGTGGCACTAGAAGAAATGCAGCAAAACATGAGTTTTCAGTTCTCATTTAGGGGGGAAGGGGGGGATTGTCTCCTCCATCAAGGGCTGTAGCTGCCCGCCCACCTGCTGCTCCTCACATAAAGCTTTCATCAGAAGCTTTTTAACCATCGTGACCACGTCGCCGAGCCCTCAGCCAACTCTGTTGGTCTCATCACGAAAGCGAGCTCCATCCCTGGTGGGTTGATGAGCTTGACCTCACTCCCCTGTCCGATATGTCGGACAAAAGCGTTCAGGTACGCGCCCCCGACACGTGCCGATACGGTAGCTGCTGATGTGGCCCACTCTTCTACTGCGATTCAAATCTTTGGCCCGCGACAGCTTGTGTTCCGAGTCAGGCTCGACTTTCATGCTCTCAAAGGTTTAGTGCCCGCTCGGTTTGGGGAGTGCTGGAAATAGTTTAGGGCGTCCAAAGGATTTTAAGGATCTATCGATCCGTCCCTAACGGGGGTGGTGAGTCTCCGCAAGCGGGCTTCTGCGCCCGCGTCAGGCATTCAGGCCAAAGATTCCACTTCCGGTTCCCCATGCCAAAGAATGCAAAAGCCTCCAAAGTGGATGATTGAGAAAAGGGAACTGGAAACAGAGGTCATTAGAGGTCCCTATGTGATTCTCTGACACCCACGGCAGGGGCCGAGGCGAGTCTAGTTGGAGCAGTCCACCAGTGTCAGCCCGCGAGCCGGATTGGCTGAAGGCCATGACATGCAAGCTGCAGCGCCAGGTGCGATCAAGGGTGCACCGTGTAAGATTCTGAGACACAGCTGACATTGCCTCATTGCGTCCGTCCAGGATGCTGCTTGCTTCACCAAGTTTAAGACACTCCACCTTTGCCTGGAGCTGACGAGGGCATGCACGTGCTTGTGTGTACTTAGGCTCCTAGCTTGCGCTGTAGACCTCTGATGATACACTTTTATGTTCTGTTGTCACGAGGGAGACCACTTGCATGAGTTTGTTGTGCCTGGCGCCACCCGTCCAGAGTTCAAGTATGTTCAAGTCACTTGTTGCTGTCCATGCTGTCCTCAGGCTGCGAAGACAAGAGCTTTGTGGAATTGGTGCTGTTGATCTGGCCAGGGCCTGGGACTGCACGTCGTGACCACGAGTCAACAGTTGCAAGTAAATCAGGTCCCTAGCTATGCGGAGGACTTCGCAGCCTTCGCGCATCCATGCAAGAGTGACGCACGCAGAGTGGTTTTCCGACAAAGTGTACGATACCCTGAAAAAAAGCACATGACATTTCTTCGACGAAGTGCTCCAGGACGCGATTACACCGGAAGAGATTGCTAGACTTGCAGCAGCGACGGCTGCATCATGCAATGCAGTTGATGTCCGTCTGGGGCTCAGGGGCAAAAAGGGCCGAATGCCAAGCCAAGGATGGTTGGGTGATCTTGGGTGTGGCCATGCACTGCAGTGGATTGCAGTTGCAGATAAATTTTGTTGCCCTTTCGAGGCTCAGCGATTGGCAACGTCGGCCCGGCAACATGGCCTTGTCCGCCTGCCGGGGCCCTCAACGCAGCAAGAAGGACTCAGACGCGTAGCCAAGAAGCCACTATTCTGAGATGCATGGCACTGTGCGGTCCATTTAAGCAGTCGAGGCTCCGCGCTTGGCGCTGGGTTTTGGGCTGAGATGGATGGGTGGGGGGGGGGAGGGAGCAACAGTACGGTAGCGGGGTTCAAGAGCCTTGAAAAACCATCTGTGTTGAACGATGTTGGAAGTGTCTGGTGACACTTGGATCACTAGGGCTGATGGTGGATTAAGGCCACAGAACGGCAGAATATGTGGGGACCCTGGTGACGTCCATGGAGAGTTTCTAGTGGAATGCTCGGAATTGTTTGTGGCCTTCTGTGACTCTGTGACCCGGGAAGCATTCTGAAGGCTTGGGAGTCGCTTGCATGATCTCATAGAGTCAAGTCCGTCTTGCAGACCAGAAAAGAGGCTGACCGGTGCGGTGGGCGCGCGGCGTGAGGAGGCACAGGGCGGTCAAGGAGCGAGGAAAGCGTTGCACAGCCCTTCGGAGCTGCTCGGGAGGCCTGGTATGTGCTCCTTGGTATCTTCTCGAAGTCAGAGTTCTCAAGCCTCAGCCCCATTCAGCTCCGAGCCATCCTGTGCGAGACGTTGTGAGACTACATGTGACCGGCTTACCGCCAAGTGCAGCTAAGGATCCCGGCTTGCCTGTTGCCTGCACGCATGGTCATGGCTGCCGTGCAAAGCTTAATCTTTATGTGGAGATGTGACTTCTTGTGAGTCAAGAGAATGTGAACGCGAGGTGGTTCTCAGAGCGTTTCAATTCTGCCCCGGAATCTCTGCAGAAGGCAGGGTAGCTGCTCGCGGTCGTCCGTTGCGGAGTGGTCGCCTGACATCACTTGTCCGACCTCGTGCATCAGCAGCTCGAGAGGATGAGGCTGCCCATGTATGTCCGAGGTTGCCTGGCAGTGCTGCTGTGGTTGAAATCTGTTGCAAGCTGTGCCACGTCATGTCATGTACATGCCAACCTCCAAACTCATCCAAACTCATGACAGTCTCATGACGATGTCAGTGCACATAACTTGAGCCTTGATTAGATTCGGAGTTCTCCGAACGCTGGAGCCAGATGGCCGGACGCTCGCGGCCGTGACGCCTTGCTGACTTGCGGGCCAGTGGTGACCTGTCAGAATGGCCTGCCAATCTCAAAGGAAGGATGCGCTCTCGTGCGGGGTAAGCCCGCGGAAGCGTTGGAAGTTCCTCCTGCGGTTTGTCGGCCGCAGGTCTAAGCAACGGGATGCCTCAATGGAATCAAGCTCAGATCCCAGGAATCGGCTCAGCCGCCTCCGCCTCAGGCGTACCCGACTGCGTATGCACCGTATGCAAGCGCGCACGCCTCGTTTGCCTCCGCTGGCCAAAGAAGTTGTGGAGACCTTTGAACCTCCACCGCTGCCTTGTGGGGACTACATGCTGCATCTCCATATGGAGGAGTCCAGATTGGGCCTCGAGGACAGCAGCCTACAGAATGGGCTTTAAATGCTTTAGTAACAATTCTTGGTACTGTTTAGCTGTTCATGATTTTGTCGATATGTGTCGATTGGCGATATCGCGCTGACCGTCGCTGAACCCCCTGAAGGACTTGCACTCCCAGCTGCGAAACAAAGCAGGGCAGCAGGTGGCCTCTCTGAGAGGTGTCTACATATTTCGCGGGGGTGACAATTCCTTTCTGCAATTGTGTGGCTGCACCTCGGCCCCAGAACCCTTGCGAAAGTTGGCCCCCGTTCTCTTCAATGAATTTGGCCGGCCATTAGACGCTTTAAAGCAGCTCTGTGGTATTCGAGCGCGTACGGCAGGCTTCCTGTGGCTCTCCTCGGTACAGGCTCCTAACCTGGACTCTGCCGTGAAAAAGGAGTTCACCCAAAAGGTCTTCGCATGCCTTGGGGGAGCCATGAAGCGGCTGAGCCTGGTGATGTGCTCATTCCAAGCAGACCTGGCCGAGTTTGGCTTTCAATCTGCGGAGATGGCGGGAACTCATCTTTGTTTGTGGGATAAGTTGCCAGGCTGCATTGTGCTGCGTCTAGGCGCCCCTTTTCACTCTTTTGCAGTTTCGCAGAGAATGGCCGGTGGCCAATAGCAATTCAGTTTCATCAGAGCAAGCCTTCAGGTCTTACTGGTCTTAAAATGCATCGTAATTATGTGGAAGCAGGAACAGAAGAGTCTGTCCCGATCAGAACCGAGTCCGCCTGCGGCACACCTATTCTTCTTAGCAAATTGAGTTGTCCGCATGGTCCGCATAATCTTGGCATTAAATGTCCTTGATCCCCCAAAAGGGACAATGTGCCGATTGCGTGCTGGTCTTAGCCATCCAGTTTTTGCGCTTTTTGGCGCTGCACTTCCCGTACCTTCCCTGCCCAGTATCAACTCAAAGGCGCTTTATTTCATGGGCTATAACTCTAATTCGTTGCACCTAGCTGGTGTTCGCGGAGAGCCACGAGCCCTGTAGGAGCAAAGATGGTGCGCAGCCCGCTGTGACCGATTCCACCGCTGTTGCCGCATCGATTTCACAGTCTGCTGGCGGTGAAGTACCTTTGCTGAAGAGTGCCGAAGAGGTTCATTCCCCGCATTCACTTAATTAAGACATTTTGAATCCGCTCTTTGCTTTCCACAATAGTGTCCCCCAGCCTCTCTGGCATAGAAAGGTTCCGGCATGTACGGCCTTCTAGACAACCAGCAAGCGCGCGGAAGGATCACTAATGATCGCGTGAGTAATAATTCAAGTCGACGTTCAGTGATGTTCAGTGTTCCGAGGCCACGCATTATGTTTTTCAGGGCACGGCGTCATGCGAATCATGAAGAAAAGGAGAGAAGAAGGGTGTGTTGTGCACAATGTTTGTCCATCTTGCCTCCATGAGTTTTGTTCTCTGGTTTTTTGGTGTAAACTTTGCCCGTAGATACCTGTCACGGGGTAGCTTCAACCCTGTCAGTACAACGAAACTGGTTTTGCATGTCTTGAAGCTTTTAGGATTCTGGACACGCGTGCACGAATCAACGGGGATGGGCCTGAAACTCAATGCCTGTTATGTGACTTTATGCGCGTGCGATGTGACTTCTGGGGTTCTAGCCTTGCGGCCTCGTGCAGCTTCTGCCGTGACATGATGCTAAACAAGGAGGGGGGAACCTTGACTGTGCCTCTTTGTGCAAAAACGATCTTTGGGGACTGGGGCAGGTGGCCTTGCCCGTGACATTGGAGCCCCCTTCGAGTAGATTGGTGCCTAGTTAATGAACGCTGGGGTCTTTGTAGTTAAGTTCTGACTGAACACGACCTGCTTGCCTTCCCGAATGCACTACATATTTCCTGCATGTATCCAAGGCGACGGACGAAGCGGGCACTGCTGCAGGCATGTCACGGCTGGAGAGCACTTTCGGTGCCCTCCAAAAATCAACTGAAAATGAGCAGGCGGTTCCGGCAGATCCTACAAAGAGTCCAGCGGTCAGGCCCACCACGGAGGCCGAGCGCGAGGCCGAGAGCGAGGCCGAGAGTGAGGCTGAGGCGCCAAAGGCTGAAGATGTGCCGGCGCCGGCTTTTCGAACCAACTTCCGAAGTCGGTGGAAGGCCAAGGCCACTCCTCTCCCAGCCGAGGCGACCCAAAGTGCGACGCAGGACATGGCGAGGAATGCGAGGAACGCGAGGAATGCGAGGAATGCGAGGAATCCTTTGCATCCGAAGCCTACTACTCCCGCTTGCTTCAACGTTTCTGACAAGGAAGGCGGTGATGGCATTAGTAAAAGTACAGTAATTGCAGACTGCAAGGATCCCAAAGTCGACGTGGCGACAAGGACTGCCGAGAAGGCCAAGACAAACTTGACCTTACAGGCTGACAAGGCTGATTCCACTCCTGACAAATCCGTGGCCAGCAAGGCTGAGGACAAGGAGAACAAGCGCATCGCCAGGAAGAGTAGTCTTGGCATCAACGGCAAGCTTGCGGGCAGCGCTGCCACGGGCACACCTGGCACATCTGGCACACCTGGCACACCTGGCACATCTGGCACAGTCGCGCAGAAGAGGAAGCTAAGCATGATTCCGCCACCTGTGCCACTGCGTAGGAGGTGCGACCCGGTGATCCCTCAAAGCGTAAGTCTCCCGTTCAGTGGATTCAGTGCGAAAGCTGGCCCAGCTTGGTGGAGTCCGCGAGTCCAGTTGGGACTGACGTATGCAGCGAGCTTCGGCGCCGCGCTGTTGTTGCTGCAGGCTGAAGAGTTTGAGAATGGTCGTCCGGGCAGAGTCTTTTGGGGCTTCAGGCACTTGCCACACAGCATTCAGGAGCAGGGCGCCTTCAAGTCCTTCTTAAGAGGAATGGCCGAAGTTGCTCGGATCGTCCTCGCAGTGAACAGTCATGAGCCGCCGATGGCCTGCTTGATCATGCAGGTGATGTCTCCGCTTAGTTCCGTGCGAAGGAAACTTGGCATCGAGGAGCAACATAGGCACAGTCTGAGCCACTTCTTTGGGAAGGGGGGCCAAGCTGAGCACGTGTTGAGAGCGATAGTGGATGAGGCTGAGGCTTTTTGTGAATGTGCAGATGCCTTCGACAGCACCCAGGAGGTGTCACAAAGTGACTGGGCTTCCTGTTACAGGTCGCTACCGCAAACCGAAGTGGACAGACAGTTTGACTCTCTCAGGGAGAGGCTTTGTGGAGTTGCGGGGAAATCGTGAGAAAATATTGCCAACACGATGCACAATTTTCCCCTTTTGAACATCCTTTAAGTCCATAGACTCGTTTAGGCCTGTGTATTATGGGTACTGCAGAACAGCCTCAGCAAGGTGGCAGGGCACACCCAAGCAGTCATGAAGAGTTGTGAGCAGAATTCGTTCTTCGGGGGCATGGCAGCTGCAGACATTTCCCGGCAGCACCTGGGGTCCTTTTGTTTTCGGTTGTTGACCTCCTTCTGATTTGAGGAAGCTACACTACATGCCAGAGGCATTCTTATGACCCCATCGCTGACATCGCTGTTTTTGAATCCTTCTGGCAGGCGAGCTGGCTGCGGAAGCTCAGGACGCTTTTTGATTGCTGAGTCCAGGTGTCTGCGCTGACTTAAGATCTCGCAGGTTTGGCCTACAACTGGCATTTGAGGCGGAGATCCAGCAGAATAGCCAAATTGACGAAGATCTGCAGCCCGCTGCTTAGTGCATTTTCTCCATCGAGATGGGTCTTTCTGGTAGGTGATACCAGTACCCAAAGGCAGCATGAAAGCAAACAATCAGTTCTGACTTGTTAGTGCGGACGGTCGACGCTGGACACGGGCGCAGACCTGCAGTTGAGAAAATCCAGCCCCGCAGGAGTAGGGAGTCAGGATAGACAATCTGGAAGCATCGGTCCGGGCGGGTCGCGTTGAAGAAGCATTTTTCGAGTCCCAATCAGCACAGGATGCCAAACATACGCCAACTCTTGGGTCGGCGCATCATTCGCAGAGCTGTATGACCCACCGCGAAGGGCCCCACAGGAAAGGTGGGTTTGCGATCTGAGTGAGGAGCATGAGATGCTTGGAGAAGTTGAAAAGACTCGCGACTGGAATCCGCTGCAGACTTAGCCCCGTACCTTCCATGCTGCAATGCTGTCAAATGAGTCGGATAGAATCCTCAATGTAAGGCCTGGTTGAACGCCTGGTGCGGCCGACATGGCTTGCTGCATTTCCAGTGCTCGATGCTCGTGGCTGCATAATGTTGAAGTATAGCCTGTGCAGCCATGTGGATGCCAGTGGCAAAAGCTGACGGCAAACGCCAAGCATTCCAGCATCACAACTTGGCGTCAGCTGAGTGTTGGCCTGCCCCTTACCGAGCGCCCGGAGTGCTGCTCCACGTGAACATGCAATACCGTGGAATGTCACCAACCTTGAGTAATTAGCCTGAATAGCCTTAGGGCCTTACTCGCAGGGCCTTAGGGCCTTAGGGCACTGGGGTGCCAAGGCATGGAGGTCGCCATGCTCGACCGGCATTTGGAAGAGCAGCTCCGGGCTTGGCTACATGGGCCTAGCAGCCTTTCCGGAATGGCCTTCCTCCAAAACAGAGAGGTGCTAAGAGAATGACTCGAGTTGCAAAAAGGTCTTGCCGAATCAGTCAGCTCCAAGAGGAGGCAGAATCCTGCTGTTCTGTCTGGAGAGGAGCTGCCATCAACGGAAGAGTTAAGCAATTGGAAATGCAATCCAGCTAGGCATCATGTACGTGTGCCGGATAACCTGCACAACCTTCAGTGTTTGCAGCGTGGTTGTCTTTCTCTATGTGATGCGTGGAGGTGAACAGAGTGCTTATCAATGAATCGACCTTCGACATACTTGGACAACGCACGCGAAAGTCTACACCGACCCAAGGATGTTTTTTACAGCACATGTTTTGCAACACATGCTTTAGTCTCTTGGGCACTGGCATCCCCTTTAAAGTGAGACCGGGCCATGGGATCTTCGTCGAGCGCGCCGGCGGTGGAATTTGGAAGCAGTGATGGGAAGCCGATCATGGCATACACGCTGAGCAATGGCACCATGACGGTGCGCCTTGCTCCAATGTCTTGCCCTTTGTGCAAAAATCCTGATGTCTGTGCTGCAACTTCTAGAACACTTAAGCCAGACGCAGGTACGGGTCCTTGACCTGGGTGCCACCATCTCTTCTGTCCAGGAGGGCCCTGGCGGCTGCACAACACTTGGCGAATGTTTTGTAGACGCTGTGAAGGTCCCCGACTCCACGGGCAAGATCAAGGAGGCATTGCGCGGTGCAGCGGTGTGCACTTCTAGGTTGAGCCGGGGATGCTGCACGCAGATGAAGATGTGGATTGCCGCCAATGCCGCCAGGTTTGTCTGGGTTACGATGAAGTTGCACCCTACCTTGACTGGACGACCAACCCTTACTTCGGAGCAGCACCTTGGAGAATGAAGGGGAGCCCATGAAGAGGGGAGAGCCCATGAACGGGGGGAGCCCATGACATGTCGGCGGTCTGAACCTTCCTGACAGGTGGCCGGGAGATGTGCGAACCGCATCGCCAAAGGCTGCGCCTGAGTATGAGGGGAGTGGGCTCGAAACACCATGCAAATTACCATGGTTTTCAATAGCTCGCAGTTCTCTTTCCGAAGCACTTGGGGCGCCTTCACACGGTGAAGAGACACCGCGAACTCGTTCCCTTCTGACTTCGCCTGTTGCACAGCTGAGATGACCCCAACAAGAATTGAGCTTCCTTCATGACATTTCATGACATTTCGTGACAGAGCAACTCTGCAGATACTGGTGTGACGAGCAACCTTGACTAAGCCCCTCGTGTGGCCGTGAATCGAACCCCAATCCTGAGCTCGGCGGAAGGGTCCGGCCTGCGATCTGTACATGTCGGGCCCCGTTGTGCATTCTTCGATCTCTTTCCTGTCGTTTCCTCTGTGGGGGCTGGCTTGCAGGGCGAGGCGCAGGATTTCGATTCTCACCGGTACCTCACTCCAGTTGACTAGCGGAAAATCCAGAAAATTGCCAAGTCTGCGAAGAACAGAACAGACCCAAAACAGCGAGTCACATTTGGCAGCGCCGCATGTGCCAGGGTTGGCTCATAGGGGTTGATACATACTCTCACATGACGCTTCCGGAGCCCAGCACCCTGTTTGCTTAACAGTTTTCTGTTTATTCTTTCTTTTCGGTCTCTCTCCCTCCCTCTCGCTCTTTGTCTCCTAATTCCCTCGCTTTCTCCCTCCTTCGCTCGCTTTATCACGAAAGCTAGCTCCTTGAAGCTTGCGAGAGTTGTCGTTTACAACCTTTCTCTCAAATGCATTGCTTTGCTGTCCGGCGTTCGTCTAGCTTTCGTAGCCCCGATCTCAAGTTTCTGCAGTCTTGACAAGCTTGTCGTCCTCCACTGGCGTCACTAGCTTGCTTGATGGTTCAGGCAAGTTCACGCTCGATGGCCAGGATTACCAGCTGGCGACGAACAATGGCACCTGGGCCTCTTTAACACCTCTGATTGTTTGGGCATCGGCTCAATATTGGTGGCTCAAAATGTGGGTGGCTCTCAGTTCTGTTCAGGTCCCAACCATCTTCATGGAGGTGACCGTGGTTTTGACAAGACCATTTGGACGTGCGACGTGACTTTCCCAGCCACTGACGTGCGCTTAACCACTACACAAGTCTTTCGCTGATGCCAAGGCCTCGGATGCAACTTCCATCACGCTTTCCTTGCTCTCGCCCGATGGTGACGAAGGATATCCTGGCAACCTCCGTGCCAGGTGCCCTCGGGATGCCCTGCAGCATGTCCTCCGGTGTGAGAGCATAGTCTCGCACATAGGGAGCACGAGCCATTGAAAACGTGCCAAGAACCTTGTTTCGTTTGTGGGTAACGATTCAAGTACTTGTAGGAATAGCCTCAGTCTTCACAAACCTCTGCTGGCAGCTCACCTAGTCAGCCCTTGTGGTGTCCTAACGGATTTGCATTGTGGACATCATGCTTTCGCGGCGGTTTCGTTCATGTACTTGTTCAGCCTTGGCATGAACATTGAACACTGCGCTCATCTGCTCTCACCCCCGAACCTCTAGAAAGCTACTGGAGAGGATAAAGGGGTGCGGGACATGCCGAGGCCATGTGAACAGTATCCGAGGCCCTTGACATCACGTTGCAGACCATCCCGGATAAACAGGTTCGAAGCGCGAAAACTACCGCTACTACCGAGTCTAGGCTCCTTTATGCAAGCGAGTATCTGACACCAGCAAGGTTGTCGCGAAAGCTCCTTGGAGGTTTGCATCGATGTTTACACTCAATGGCCTGGAGGCTGCATCTGGTTGAGAACATTCCAGAAAGGTACGCGCGGCGGGCCCGCTTCCCACAGCCCGGGCCGGCCGAAGCAACGGGACGTGCACGGTCGGGCTGCAGATAGCAAAAGCGCGCAAAAGCATGCAAACAAAGCAACCACGCGGGTCGAGGAAAAAGATGACGGAGAGCAGCCCCGTGAACTGAAACCTTGAGTAAAAATAGCTCGGGGACTTGTCGCTTATGGTCATGCCGGCCAGGGTCACCTACTCGTTGCCGACGTCTAGCTCGTTGAAGTTGGAGTATGAAGCGACAACCGATGCGCAACTCGATTATGTCTTCATGCAGGATTGGTCAGGATAGGAGGTCTCGTAGCTTGGCAAGATCTCGTTGTGCCTGGCCAGGGCCTGGCGAGTCTCGCAACTGAGGCCAACGCTGTGCAACCTGACGAACCACGTCTCTTGCATGCAATGTGGCAAGGTGCGGCCAAGATGCAGTGCAGGACCTGTAAACAACTGGCATGGGGGCATCTCCGCAACTTGCAAGGGAGCAGCCGGTACCATGCATGGCTGACATAAGCAAAGGAAACAGTCCCTTACTTTGTGGAGGCTTGTGAAGTACGGAATGTGCACAGACTTATGTAACTTGAGCGTGGGACGCATATGTATCAAGTGCCCAGGCATACTTCAACCTCGCTGATGGGGGCAATGGTGTTCAGGATGTGTGCAATCATGAGACCCTTGGACTTCGTCAGACCGATGGTAATTGTGTGCTGCTGTGGGCGTGCTTGGTTCTATGCAAGGATTCAAGTATTCGCTGACTTCTACACGATCCTCGCCGGAAATAGCCGCATGATTGCCTCTGCTGCTGCGACACCTCGTCCACTGCAGCACCTTCTGCAATACAGCAATTCTCATTCAGTACGCGGCAACCAAGGCCTGTGGATGAAACGTCCATTCCGACCGGCGAGGTGCGGAGCGTTTCTGGGGCGATGGACCTGCGCCAGAAGACTCGGATCGGTGCCTGGGATCACAGGAGATCGTGTGTTAGCCCTGCCGGCTGATCGGACCTGCTTCGTTCTGTTGGTTTCATGTTGGAGTTGGAGCTTAGGCACGCAGATTCGACGGGCTGACAACGGCTTGACCCTTACTTCTGGGGCAGTCTCAGAGCACAGGTTAGATGTTTTTCAGCTGCAAATGCCGCAAGCGTTTTGGAATTACAAAAAACTAAGAAGTCGCGTAGGGTCGTGCTGCCATGTGTTGCCTCTTGTGAACTAGAGCTTCTCGGCAATCCTAGGAACCTTCAAGCCGGCGATAGAAAGGGAGGGGCACGCGACCTGACACCAGACAAAACCTTCTAGCTCTTCGGCTCTGGGTGCAGTTGAAACCATCCCACCGTTCCGTGCCCCGTCTGCCGCTCCATTTCATGTGTGTCCCGGAGCCCTTGCAAGTTATGTCAAGCGAAGAAGCCGCTTTACAAATTGGCTGTATGCCCGTGCGATCAGAGAGCCGGCAAAGCTACGAACAGCAACACGAGACTGCTGCAGACAAGTCAGAAAATTCGCAGACTGGATTTTTCTGGGAGGAATTGGGTACGACCACAACTACGTCCTGGGCCCACCAAACGAGTCGGGCCTCCGGCCAGCGGCACGGGCTGCGGGCTCGGAGGGTCTGCTGTGGCTATGGGGGCTGTTACATGCTCTAGCTGACTCTAGCTCCTCTAATCTGATTTCCTGGTGGTCACCTGCTTAGTCAAACTTAATCTCAGACATTGGCATGGCAGCTTTCCGGAGGCCTGGGAGCCCAGCAGCGGCCGCTGGATATCCATGAAGACGAACCAGCCTGGGGTGCTCTCGTTTTGCTGTTTGACCTTTTGAAATCCTTTTGAACCTGCCATGTTGAGGTTTTGCTTGTGCCGCATCTGCTCAGGTGCAGTTCTACACTGGCAACTACCTGAACGGCTTCGCAGGTCTGCACAAACAATGTGCATGTGTGCAGCTATGCTTGCGTGTTCCTTACCCCTGCATCTGCGCTGCGTTCAGTGCAATTCCGCAGGCCGCGCTGGAAAAGGTGCCTACCACAAGCACCACGGCTTCTGCCTCGAAGCGCAACAATATCCGGATGCGGCTCGGCAATCATGAGGGAGGGAGGGATCGTAAAGGAGCCAAGATGCTTGTTTCAAGTGGCAGTACAGCACAGCTGAAAGGGGGCGGGGATTTATTATTGCACAATATGCACTCTCACAGAACCGGCACTGCAAGCACAGGCAGCCAATCGGCCGCACTTCCCTTCAGTTGTGTGCCAGTCTTAGCCTGCCTCTTTCACATGTAGATAAAGCATCGAGACTGTCTCTCCAGTAAGGTTGCGACCAGGCGAAGTCTACCGACAGACCACTGTCTATGAGTTTGGCTGCAGCAGTTCTTTTCCACAGGGTCCCATTTGACCGGACGCTTTCGCCGTGTCCTGCTGTCGGCTCTCTGCATACGACATAGCACTAGCTCACTAGCTGAGGTATTGGGTTGAAGGAAGGATGTTAACGGGTGCTGAAGGCATTCAGACGTCAAGGGCATACATAGCACCAGTGATTGCAAGTGATCTCTCTGCAGGTTTGAAGCTTCTGGGTAATTCGAGATCACGAGAATTTGTAGACTCACTGTGGCATACCGGCGCGACTCGTTGTCTGGAGAGCCATCGATGCAGGAATCGCTTTAAAAGATGCTTGCTAGTGTTCGTCAGATGTGCGAAAGCCATTGTGACAAATCGTGGAGTGCAGAGAGTTACAGAGGGTGAACATGCATGATGTAGCCAGCCAGGTCAGGCCCATGCAACATGAAACACGGGCGCTGCGCTGCCTGCTCAGCTTGAAGTCTGATGCTGTTGAGTCCAGTGCGACAATATGCGAAATGGAACAGTCAAATTCTTAGGCGTGCTTTGTGCAAATGCTATTCTGCGTCGCCTCCGACACTGGCGCCTCGGATTTTGCCGCGAGGCAGATTGCTTCCACAGTCTCACAGCGCATTGGTATGAAATGCACATGTTGTAAGAGGTCGTAAGGGTCGTGGCGTGAGGCAGTATGATGAAGTAAGACGTTGCTGCACCCGCCATGATTGAAGCCAGCCCTCCACCGGATCGTAGAGCTACCAGGCACTATCAGGCCAGCTGTACTGAAACTGTTCTTGCCGATCCCAGAATGCAAAATTGAGAGCAAGGCGAGGTGCAATAGTTTTCAATAGCTTTTCGTTCAGCTGCCGCGGACTTTCGTTGCTGGTGCCAGACTCCACTGACCTGCCCTTAATTCCTTCTTTCTTGGTTCGGCTGGATGCTTCAATTCTCGTGCTTCCCATGTCGCACACGGACGTCAGTGAATTTGCCGAAGTAGCTGTGCAGCGAAGCGCGGAAGATTTGAACCCTTGCCATCGGTCAGCTGCACGACAACAGATAGCAAAGTACGTTGGGCATGTTGGGGTTTGTAGGTGCTGGCGATTTGGGCATGCAGCACGCACAAAGAAGCCCGCACGCAACCCAGAGTGCGGTAGCTGTGCAGTCTCCAAGTGCGGCAGAGGGCTTTGCTGAGCACAGCGCACCGCACTGCTTGGCAGTGCAAGCCAAGGAGACGAAGAGCGTGAGGCCAGTGGAATCATGCCCGATATCCTTGACGGGTTCATCTTCGCAAGAGTTCGGCAAGGTTTCCTCTTGTTATGCAGTATATGTGTCAGGCAGAGGCCCTGATGAGACAGGTGTGGTGCTTGATAGTTGAATGTGCCCTTGATGTATGACAATGAGAGGACACGACTGCACCGAGGTCAAAGACGGCACGCCTCTTCCGATCTCTTCATCCATCAACGCTCTTCTCGGTACCAAAGGCCACGGTGCTCTGACATGCGCTCATCTGCATGGGGAAGCTAAGATATGGCTTTACATGCTGTATACTATGTTTTTGGTACTCGTGCTGTTTTTTCTGCCTGACACTTTCCCGAGATGCGGAGCGGCTCAAGCACTTCGTCCTGGAGGCAAGAGAGCGGCAGAAGAGCGGCAGAGAGTGCAAAGAGAATTGAGGCGGGGGGGAGGAACAAGGGTAACAAAAAGAAACATGCCCGGCAGAGTTGTTTCCGAGTAAAGAAAGAGAGAGTCTCAAGAGACTCTTTGAGGAGAAGTGTCGTTCGATGTTTGGGGGGGATGAGTGCACATAAACCTCTGACATGTTGACCGTTTCAGGCATGGCTCAAGGCTGCCGAGGATCAGCGTCATCATCTCGCCTTGCAGGACCCGTAGTCTTGTAGTCGTCGCTGCTGAGGCGAGCTGCGCACGCGACAAGCTCTTCTCTTGGAAGCCTCCGTGAACTGCTTGGGAGGAGCTGCAGGAGGGAATGCAGCTTGTGGCTGGCTTAGACAAGTGAATGCAAAGACTGGACACTAGACCACAGCTACCTGTTTGGGCTGCCGCTCTGGCCTACCGGCTTGATTGCGGGCCGGTCACATTCTGAAGTCGCACCCGCTGCTCTCCCGCGGAAGCACATGCAGCCTGATCACGTCGTGGAGTGGCCTGGTCTCTATGTCTCTACGTGTGATTCGTTTCCAGGCCGAGTCAAGGCTTGCAGAGGAGGGCTGGGTACTGAGTTCTCCCGGGTCACAGGAGCCGCAATACTGTAGCCATCCGTAGACTCTGAACGTGAAGACGCTGCAGTCGCAACCCAGGTGCCCGTGCTCGTCGGCGTGCTTCCAAGGCAGTCATGGCTGCAACCTGAGGCAATCCGGCAAAATCGGCATGGCGACAGAATGGCTTGCATTCTGCAATGCGGGAATCCAGCGCCGAGTTGCGCATTGAGGCTTGGATCAGCCAGCAAGATGTGCTGGGTGGCAGAATGCAGGCAGAGGACGTTCGGTCCGCTGCCCAGGGGCTGTCATGGCTATCGCATTTACTTCTGTGATCTTCTGTGCCTCCCGTCTGCCAAACCACAAGGGCAGTGCTTCGAGGGTGGGCGCTGGTACGGGACCCAGCTTGAGATGAGTCGACAACATCGCAGTTCCTTCATTCAAATTGCCACAGGCAGCTTTGCCATACTTGCACAAACCACCTCTGATCACCAGCCGTGCGTGCTGTGATGGGTTGTCAGTCGGTTTCTGAGGCAGTCGCAGCGGACTTGCCTGAGCCTCAAAAATCAGAAGCGTGTCGGTGAAGCATGGTGAAGCAATGACATGTTCATTGCTTATTGTCGTACTTTGTGTGACCCCCATTGTCGTTTGACTCCATTGTTCGGATTTGCGTGACACATGCTGCCTTGGTTCGAAGATGCTGAGTTTTAGAAATAGCTCGTAAGCGCACACGGTCAAACTCGAATACCTTCAGCAGTCCGTGTGATGAGCACGGTTTCCAGACACACTCCAGAATTCGCAGCTGCCTACCTACCCTTTGAGCTGGCAGCATGAAGCCGCGCTTCGCTCCGCTGGCACAGGGAGCATGTCTGGCCGCAATCCGCCAAAGGAGCTGCCTTTACCTGCTTGGCTGCAAAGGCCATGCCTCGCGTGCTTTGGAGAGTAGCATGCCAAGATCTAGGCAGAAGCTGCCGAGACACATGCGCACCAACGCCATTAGCATGGTCTCCCATGACTCTCGTGCATTGGCTTCGAGAGTGGTTCGCGTCTTCTAATACTCGTAGCTACTGCATATTGTGTATGCCAGGGTGCACGTGCTGGAGAGCACGAGGAGGCTTTGGACATGGCCGGTGCCTGTGGCCATCTGTGGCCCCATTCCCAATCTCAATGTTGTGCTCGGCTGCACGCGCCCATTCCACAAAGCAAAGAAAGCGTGAAGGAATCTCGGAAAACTGGAAGGTCAAGGGGGCGGAAACAGGAGCACATCGGCTCGCTCCATTGGGCGCCCGTATGACCGTATGATGCCTCGTATGCCAGTGACAGGACTGGACCGGATCACGGAATCTTCACGTCTTATGGCCCTATGATGTCCTATGCCACAGTCCCTTGCGGAAACCCTTCGCCCAACACTCACCATAGTTAACGGTACCTCAAAAGTCACAAAAAAGCAGCACTCTTTGATCGAATGATCTCCACAGCACGTGCTGTCACTATCTGCCATTCGCATTCCGTTTACTCTGTTTGTGGATGGCTGGAGGTTCTGCTGCGCAGCTTCGTAGAGGATTCTCGGCACTGAAGCCAGGCACCGGATTGTTTCCAGGAAGGGTACGGTACTTCCTGGTACTTAGTCGTACCAAACTTTTCGCATGTATCCCTGCTATGGTGCGTGAGGGTACCCTCAAGCTGAGAGTTTGCGGAGGCGTGTCCTGGCCACCGCGGCTTCGACTGCGAGGTTTGCCGTTCTCCGCTACAGAAGACGCTTTGGCTGCAACAAGCTACATACTGGTCAATACTGGTCAATACCCGTTAATACCGCCCATTCCCCAACTGTTCAAGAATGCCACGCAAGGCAGATGTGCGTGCTTTCCTGCAGGGCTTTGAGCTTGCGCCAACCTGAGCATGCCTTGGTAGGGATGTCACAATAAAAAATGCTTGAGAATGTTCTAGCTTGTAGAGTGTTTGTAATGCTCGCTGCAAACCGGAACTCTACACACCTACAGGCTCGCACTGCTGACGACAAGGGCGACGTCGAGATCATCAGGTCAGTTCTGTGGCATCCACGTAAACATATTCGATACTCGTACCATGCCCTACGCTGCATATTCTTGAGTAGTGCTGCATGGTGTGCATTCCGAGCCCTCACAGTCGTCCCAGTAGTCGAAGTCAGGAGGTCAGTCGATGGCTTGCCTACAGGGCATGCCTTTGCCTATTTCAAGGATTGGGAGGACTGCTGGTGCAAGACTCCAAGACCTAGCGGAACTAGCATCCAGATTCCAGATAGGTCTGACTGCTTTCTTGTTATGCCTTCAGCTCCACGCTTGGCCTTGCAGGAGGCCTGCCGTGCACGTCGGGAGAAGCAGCGGGCATATCTTGGCCTTTCGTCAAAATCAGCTCGCATCTCGAGGCTTTTGCACGAGGATTCACAACCCTGTAGCAGTGACACATGACCCTAACTAAGGCAACCGCTGGATTGAGATGTACGTGGATTGGTCCCCCGACTGGCACCGCGAAGGTCCAATCTGAGAAAGCTGCCGTGGCTGGCAGATTCTGACTTGCATTGCTCGACAAGGGATGATCAACGATGACAATCCTGACCCATGATGACCAACGACAACCGACCCATGCTGATGAGATGACTTGAGATGACATCTCCGGAGACCTGGCAGACGGCATGAGTACGAGCACAGCATCTTGGGCTTTGCAGCATTGAGCTGACTCGAGCCAGCGCAGAAACAAGCAGGAGAAAAGTAATGCACAGTGTGGAGGACGGTCTCACGACGCCGTCACAGCCGCAACATATCGCAACATCATGCACATACACAGATGTGCACAGAACTATACAGAACTCCTTGTCGTACCGAGGCAGAGGAAGATGATGCACTTCAGAAAGCTCCAGGCCGAAGCGGAGATCACGAACCTTTGCGTGCGGAGCTTGACGACCGCATCTGCTGTGCAGCGAGAGCACCAGTGTGTCGCAGTGTGCGGTAGCGTTGCTACTCAGTTGAAGACCGGCGATTGGCTGGATCATCTTGTGCTGTGCAAAGCCCTGCAGTACTGGAAGCTGGCCGTGCTTGCTGAGTGCCCGCTGGCACGGATTGTAAGCCATCGCGCTTTGTTTTGAATCTCTCGTGTTGGCTCGGCATGGCTCGACGCACGAAGACGACGTTTTCAACTGTCATTGTAAGCGCTGCGCGCGGCCTCGGGTATGAGGACGTGCAAGTCGGCGGTCCAAGTGGCGCACCTCGGCGTTGCACAGGGGTGCCGGAGGGGGGGGGGGGGGGGGGGGGGGGGGGGGGGGGGGGGGGGGGGGGGGGGGGGGGGGGGGGGGGGCGGGTGTTTGGGGTGCGAGGAAGGGTCGGGAGGGGGCAAGGACTCCAGGACTGGTCTGCTTTTTCCAGATCATTGTCGGCCGGAGGCCGAGGCGAATACAAGATCATATACACATTTTTTTGAACATGTTTGTTGAGCATGGTTTATCTTTTCTGTATCCTGAATGGAGCCAGGACGACATCGCAGCGACTGTCTGAACTCGAAGTGGCGGAGCGGCGAGCGGCGCCGAGCTTAGGGGGTCCTCAGAGGGTCGTCAAGATCGTCAAGACATACTCCACAAAATGCTGCCCACACCCAACATGTCTCAAGTCATGGGGCGCATCACTGGGTCATTCCTTATCTGCACTTGTGCACAGGCTCGCGATGCAAGATGCCTTCAGCGGGCTGCGCGTGCCCCGAGCCTAGTCTCACGAAAGTCTGGTCAAAGGCTAGCAGCTGATTCAACTGTGCAAGTCACATCATGTAAAAAGCGTGTGCAAGCTCAGGTCCAATCCGTGCTGGATGATTCCTGGCATACTGTTTCCTGCGCCCAGGCCAGAAGCTTGAGAAGGCTTGCACCAGTCTTGCACCTGTCCTTCCAAGATTTCAGTTCGATGCTTTGGCAAAAGCTGAAAAGCCGTGAAAAGCCGAGGTTTGTTTTGCGGCCTGGGCCCGACTTGCAGCTCTACTCACGGCGCAAAAGGTCATTGAGTCAGCCAGTGGCTTTGCGTGACTTGTGTGTGACACCAGCAGGGACATGCTGGGACATGCATCATCATGCATCTCATGCATTTCGGGTTCATGCAGCATCAGGCTCGGCAGCACTCACAGGATCATCGGTCGCTGTCCCTCAAGAAGCTTTTCAAAGAGAAGGCAGGGCTTTGGGTGCTTCGGGGCGGTTTCATTCTCTGCTCCTGGCTGCAGGAAAGGCTGGCAGACGTCGTGCCTCTTGGATGCGCAATGGCATGTGCGCAATGGCATGTACGCAAATCTCCACGGAGAGGCCGATAGCTCGTCGAATACCAGATGGGAACACGTCAAAGCAGCCAAGGTCATTCTCGACGTCGGCAACCTTTGGTGCAGAAGACGTCTCAGACCCCTGCTCATCTGCACGTCTTCTGGCCAGCTTCCAAGAACTCAGCTCTCGGAGTCCCCTTAGGACGTCTAAACCCTTTTGCTGGAAGGTGAAACGATGCTTTCCGTGGTGCATAGCCCAGCTCTTCCCAGCCGTTGCTGACACATTGACATGGGAGCTGTGGCAGGTGGCGGCGGCTAGCCGCGCACAGGCCAGACATGGCCAGACGTGAGATACGTAAGTCCAGACGTGTGCCAACTTTCGGAGAGTCGAGAAACTCGTACTCCCCAGGGCTGCCAAGAACCGGCTATTGCGAAGAGCGGCGTCCAACCTCAAGCTGCAGGAGGTGCGGTCGCTGACATGACACATTCAGGCAACCTGCAACAACTCAGAATACGGAATCTCTTCGCATGGATGCATCCATGAGATATGTCGCGGCCGGTGCAGGACATGCGCCGCCGTGGCGAGGCCGGGGGTGACCTGTTAACATGATCCGATGTGTCCGAGATTGCCCTGCGCCGCCCTCCTCAACACAGTGAGGCACATCAAAGGCGTTGCGCGTCTTGGGCGGTTGGCCTCCCAGTGCAGCCAAGATCATGCCAACACGAACTCCGCATGTCCGCAGCTGCCGTGCGTTGCCCACTTTTAAGGCAAACTCCAAGCTGCGCAGGCAAAACTGGCAACATGCGCGTGAGGCGCAGACGAGAGAATATGGGAAGCTTCTGACATCTTTCCGAGCTTGAAACGTGAATGAAAGGTGTTCGAAGCCTGGAGCCGGAACCCCAGTCCGCCTGTCCGCCTTCTCAGATCTGCGCTTACGATCTGCAAGATCTGAAAAGCACTCTTTCTCCAATTTCCAAGCTTATGCCGTAGAGGTCTTGCAGAAGAGCATACTGCTAGTCCATGGACGTGGCCAAAGTCAATGAGCGGGGTTTAGAGTTCGGGGTGGCCCGAACGTAGCAGCTGGTCAAAGCACACGATGTGTACGTTGTGTGTGTCCACGGACTGCTGACTGGATGTCCCAGGCCGGGCAGCCGGGTCGAGGTCTGCAAGCACTGACGCGGCAGACATGCATGCCAAGACGCTCCTTTCAGCGGAGCGGGCTGCAACTCCAGCGTTTGTGGGCCAATGTGTCATTCACGACTCTTGCGAGTGCCCATGGAGTGCACTGTGCCATTTTGAGGTCCTTGCCAGGCAGCCCCTGGCTTCCAGGGTTGCGTTTATGGCAGACTCCTTGGCAATGGCGAGCAGTGTGAACACATGTGAACACATCGAAGGCATAATTATACAATGTCATGTGCACATACATATATTACATATGTATGTATGTATGTATGTATGTATGTATGTATGTATGTATGTATGTATGTACGTATGTACGTATGTACGTATGTACGTATGTACGTATGTACGTATGTACGTATGTACGTATGTAGGTATGTATGTATGTATGTATGTTATACATATATGTATGTATGTATGTATGTTTGTTTGTATGTATGTATGTATGTATGTATGTATGTATGTATGTATGTATGTATGTATGTATGTATGTATGTTTGTCTGTATGTTTGTCTGTATGTATGTAGCCTGATGCTCCTTTATGCTCTAAATAGTACCTGCGGTAATTAAGCGATGTATCTTTCGAAGACTATCTTAAAGAAGGCTTTCGGTAAGTGTGCTTGGAGTTTCAGGCTCATGTGCTGGAAAAGGGATTTCATCCACCTCCTAAGTTATAGGGTCAGGGATCCCCCATACCCCACACCAAAATCCCATGCCTTATACAGTTTGCGATGACGGCACCCAGTGCAGCCTCTACGGATGTCCGCGCAGCGGATGGTTGGGGTTCGGGGTGCTCGCAGGCTTGCGCAGCAAGCATGAAGTCGAGCTGGGAGGCTAACCCAGCAAGCTCTTGAGAAAGGCTTCGAAATAGTGGGAGCACGACTATGGTGGAGGGCCAAGCAAATTCCCGCTTTACGCGATATTGATTGGGAGCGGAGCGGTGTGATCTTCCTGCTATGGGGCCGAGACGCGCAAAGCAAAGCGAAGCTCGTCTACTCCTCTCGGCACACCGTGCTCATCGCAGGTCCTCCAAAACCCTGAGCCATACACCTGGAACCGTAAACCATGTGTGCAGGGTTAGGGTTAGGGGTGCAGGGTGTGTGGTTTAGAGCCGAGGGGTTCGGGTGTAGGGCTCGGGCGTAGAGGGTTTTTGCTCTAAGGGCTTATGGTTTAGGGCTTGGGGTTTCGAGTGGAGGGCGTGGGGTCCCCAAACAGAACCCTCGACCCTAAACCCTACCCTAAGCCCGAAGCCTCGAACTCAAAGCCACCAAATCTAAACCCTAAGCTCCATGCCATAAACCCTAAGCTCTAAACCCTAAACCCCAAAGCACGTGTGTAGGGCTAGGGTGCAGGGTGCAGGTTGTGTGGTTTTTCGGTGTAGGGCTTCGGGTGTAGGGCTCGGGTTTAAAGGGCTTTTGCTTTCAGGGCTTGTGGTTTAGGGCTCAGGGTTTGGAGTCGAGGGTGCAGGGTCCCTAAACAAAGCCCTCGAGCCCAAACCACGAGCCATACAGCCCTAAACCCTAAGCTCTAAACCCTAAACCCTAAACCATGCGTGCGTGGGTGCAGGGTGCAGGGTGTGTGGTTAAGAGTGCAGGGCCGAGGGTGTAGGGCTCGGGTTTAGAGGGTTGTTGCTTTCGGGGCTCATGGTTTAGGGCTCGGTTTTGAGTCGAGGGTGTGGGGTCCCCAAACAGGCAAGTCTCTTGTCATTTCATAGGCTTCTCGCAACACCTGTGAAGGTACGCGGCTGACCCAGCCGCCCTGTGCCTGGGGCCTGTTAAAAGCTCTAGGGTCTTCAAGGGTTGTCCGTTGCAGGGTTCTAGGGGGTGTGGGGCCTGATAGGGTTTTAAAGGCTTTCTGGCGCTTTAAAGGGTTTATGGGCATGTAGGCCTTGCATGCCGAAACCCTATAAGGGTTTTGGAAGTTTCTGCGGCAGTGGTCAAACCCTAAAACCCCAAAATCGGAAAGCCCGCAAACCGCAAACCCCTCTTTCCGTAAACCGTGTAGCATGCTTCATGAGTAGAAGGCCCCGCGAAGGTTTGGGGTTTAGGGTTCAGGGTTTGGGTTTGGGGTTTTGGGT